CATCTCAGGGATATGTGTGGTTTTACTAAACTCTCTTGGTGAGCTAGAAATCAGGTTGATCTCAAAGATTTTAATCATGCCGAGGGATATGTGTGGAGGGCAGTGATGCTGGAGGGGAGGCAATGCTGATGTGGCTTAAACAAGTGTCAGAACTGCCATTCCCAGGAGCAGATTTCACAGGATTCACCTGAAAGGTCTCTACGAGGTCTCCAGGGTTGCACACTCAGTTTTGGGTGCTGGTGCCAATAACAGAAATGAGGCATCAAATCCCTTGGGTCAGAGAGGCAATTTGGACACCCCACTCGTTTTTCCAAACATTTCTGGGCCCAGTTGGAATGAAGCACATTAACTTCAGTGGGCTTTGGATGATTTCCTACATACACAGAACTTGGAAAATTGCGCTTTAAAAGAAACGCCGAAGTTAAACTGGGAAATTTTAACAATTCCCTTTGTATTTTAATTTAGTGGCTGTATGCTGACAATGTAATTAGAGAGATGCTATGATAATTAGTGCCAGATGACAGTAGTGGGATGGCAAAAGCATCCAGTTTTCTAAAGAACAGTTCACAGTTGAACTGTTCCTCTCTCCCCACCCCATTTTTAGTAGAGAACTATATTCAAAAAGTCAGAGACAGCTGAATTAAACCAAAGTCAAACCATTTACAAACACCAGTAACGTGGTGTATCTTAGCATGTTACTTTCAAGCCAAATTTAATGTTGTTATTGCAGAAAAATACATTAACCACGTTCTCTTAGTGCCTACATATTAAAAAAAAGGAATGTTTGCAGGACTTGTGATATTATTGTGCTCAAAGTGGGTAGTGGACACCCAAGTTGCCACTGAAGACAAAGAAGCAGGACCTAGACTTGTGCTTTATATAGCTGAGCATTTGAAATGTAATTTTTGGTTTAGGCTTGTGGATTTTTTGGGGGTCCATCAAACAGATTTGCAGTGATGGGGCAAAGTGTGTTAACATTCAGTGTTGCTGTGTGAGTTAAGCTATGTTAAACTTCAGTCTATACATGTAATATTACTGGAGCTCCATACCACTACAGGATAGGTACAAAAATTACCACCCCATGAGAGCTGCAATAACGTAATATAGTATAATATAATATCAACTTGCATATTCAAAATTGCATATATAGATGTTTATCTACAGATGCAAACGTTTATGTAGTTAAGTTCACCTTGTGCTGTCCTGTAAGAGTCTTGTGGATGCTGTTTGGAGTAGAGTTAGCGAGCTAAAAGTCTTGGGGAATATAATTGTACCCTGCTGTGTCAGCAGGCAAAAATTTGTAAGCACATTTGTACTGCTCCAGATAGGACTTAAAATGAAAAATCTTCTGTAGGTGATCTTAACAGTAGGGTGGTGTGAACAAAGTTGGCAGGACATCTTTAAAAGTCTTAATTTTACTGGAAGGAGAAGAGGCAAAGGTAAAACCTGAAGGTTGTACCTCCCAAATGACCTCAGGCTAAACCCACTGAGGTATCACTGTGTGGCCAGGACTGAATCCATACTGGTGCCTGTCTGATACCACTACTGGCCCTACTGCTCCCTGTCACTGGGCCTACCTCTGTGTGACAGAAAAATTCCCTTTACTAACATTCCTAATTCACAGCAGACAAAGCTGAAGCTGCACAAACCCACTTACCTTCCTGTACCAGCACTGCACTGGATGCTTTGCATCTGCTTTGCATAGAGTTCAGTGCCAGGAGAAGCCACAGGAAAATTAACTCCTGTCCCAGCTTGTCTGATACTTTCTGTTAACAGGGAAAACTTACTATTTATGCTGAGGCTGGAGCTGAATTTTACATTTCCTCCCTGCTCCCCCCACCCCAAGATGGGTGGTGAATGCTCATATATTCTCAAAGTGAAACTGTCACTGAATTTATTGTATAATGTTTAGGAATGGGCAAATCTGAGTAGCCTAAATGTGGCTGATGGGATTATACTTGGCTTGATATCATAAGGGAGGCATCTTGTTGGAGTAAGGGCCTCTGACTGGTGATTTGCCCTCAATGATCCATATCCATGGAGGATCCAGAGGACCGGGCCTGGAATATTTTAATGCCAATGTGAAGAAGCCTTTGAACTGACAAATAGGCTTTTAACTTAACCAAAGTATTTAGCTCTGGAACACTAAAGTGTTCTGGGATTTGAGGATGTGCATGGTCTCTGCACATGTTCAGAATTCTCTGTGCAAACTGTACCAAACAGCAATTAACAAAATGAAGTGAGTAACTCCCAGAACAAAAATCCCACCAAATCTTAGAGGTTTTGCATGACTTGTGCTGACTTTCACCATCTTTCATATCAATGCAGTTTACAGGCTGGGACTTAATGTTTTTGATCAGCTCATTTATTTGATCTTGTTTTCGAACCACTCCACACGTGGTCACGAGAAGATATTTCTGAATGAAATTTAATTAAAGCAAACAGCAATTTCGTAATAGATACTTAGAAACAAATATGTGGACAAAAAAATAATAATTTTTTTTTTAAAAAAGTCACTCTTTGCATTCTGCTTTTTTTCCAGAATCCATTTTCCCTCCACGTGATTTGCAAAAGGATTGTTTGCACCTTTCTCTGAGATCATGTGGAGGTGCAACAGTCCAAGCTGTCACTGGGACCTGAAATTTTCATGGAGAAGGTTCTGCCAAGGGCAGCTCCTCTCTGGATACTCTTCTGATCCCTGCTGTGGCTGTGTGGGTTCAGGGTTTCCCACGTCCCAGGCTTGTGGTTTTACCACCGGGCTACTTTGAAAGCAAGTCTGACTTGTGGTTTGTACATCTGCTCATGTGAGGCAGCTTATCTAATAACCTTGATTTGCAAGATGATTTCATGTTACTCTGTCACACGGATTTTTGTGAGGGTTTTTTGTTGAGGCTGCTGGGAAACAACCTAACAACCTGTAACACAAAATGACCAGGTTACCAACGCCTAAATGCCTGGCAGGGGCAAAATGAGGCTCATAAAGAGTTTCTCATCCCTGGAAGTGTTCAAGGCCAGGTTGGACGGGGCTCTGAGCAACCTCTTCTAGTGGAAAGGGGTTGAAACAGAGGCTCCCAGAGGAATCCACGGGCCTTGTGTCACTGGTTTCAGTGACAGAAAAGACTCATTTCAAGAACACAAGGAAAAGCTCGTCTGATCCTTTGCAGTCTCTGCCTGAAGTGACACACCATTTTCGGCGCGACACCTCAAAGATGTGCTTGTTTTCCATCCAGCTCTTAACACCTTGTCACTGGGGAGCAGTGCAGAACACCACCACAGGGGCTTTGGCTTGGGAACGTGAATTAATCCCAGGCAACACGCTTCCTAAATCCCAGAGGGTGGATGCCTGCAATGCTCTGCTGGCTGTGCCCCAAAAGCAGATCCCCTCAGACACACGCCGAGAGGGAAAGAAGCTGGAAGTCGTCACACGCTGTTGAAGCCTTTTAAATTAAAACTCTCACACGCCAGATGCACAGACACAATGTATTTATCTTTGAATTTGTCTAGCGTATTTATATTTAAATTTCCAATTTAAAGAGGGAAGGAGAAAGCGGCCAAATTGTGTAAGCCAGTTGGCATCTCGGGAGTCACCCTTGGAGTTAGCTTTGTGAGGAATAAGGTTTGCTACCTTCATCTGAGACGTGGGGACGTGTTTTAAAAAAATCTTAGTGCTCAGGATGCAACACAGGTATGTATTTATATGCATATATTTATATGTATATTATAACTGGCCCTCGAAGAGTTCATAGGTAGACCCTGTGGCTGCCCCATCCCTGGAAGTGTCCAAGGCCAGGTTGGACGGGGCTCTGTGGAATGTGTCCCAATCCATGACAGGGGAGTGGAATTGGATGATCTTTAAGGTACTTTCTTTTTCTGTGTAGTTCCATATTCCAGTTAACTGGAATTGTGGTTTTGGTCTTTTAGTGAGAGGACACAGTTCACTATGTGTCTGTTAACTCACTTCCAACCCCCTCTCCCCCCCACCCCTGCGTGTTTATTAACTTTTATTCAGAGCTAACAATGAAACGTCCCATTTTCTTTTGAAAGCCAACCAAGTTTACCACATTTTCGTGGTTGGCTACAGATAAAATTGCTTTCTACGTGTGGCCAGGTGCTGCCTCACACCTGCCCCGGCCGGGCAGCCCACACATCCCCTCAGGATGAGGTGATCCTGAATCCTACGGCAGTTTTTATGCCTCTTCCCCTCCGGGGTCCCCACTGGCAGCAAGGGAAGGGGGAAACAACGAGGAAACGCTGGAATTGTCCTTATTTCCCTTCACTGCCCTCGAGCAGCACTTCCTGGACAAACCTTCCCTCACGGTGCCTCCGAGCCCTTCCCTGGGCCTGAACCCATGTCCTGCCACCCCATGGAACCACAGGATGGAAGGGAGTGAGGAATCCCATCCCATGGAATCACAGGATGGGGCATGTTGGAAGGGACCATAGTGGGTCATCTGGTCCGGCTTCCCTGCTCCAGCAGGGTCATCCCAGAGCACAGGGCACAGGGCTGTGTCCAGACAGCTCTGGAATATCTCCAGTGAGGGAGGCTCCACACCCTCTCTGGGCAATCTGTTCCAGTGCTCGGGCAGAAGTTGTTCCTCGTGTTCAGGTGGAACTTCTTGGGCATCAGTTCCTGCCCGTTCCTCTTGTGCCATTGCTGGGCCCCCCCGAGCAGAGCCTGGGCCATCCTCTGCAGACACTGACACACAGGGGTGAGGTCTCCTCTCGAGGCTGAACAGCCCGCGCTCCCTCAGCCTTTCCACTCCCTTCATCATCCTTGTCCGCTGGATCCAGGATCTCCGTGTGTGTCTCATCCCGAGGATCCCACGCCGGACACCGGAATGTCCCGGGGCGGTCTCGAACCCGCGGTCTCCGGGGGAGGGGAGGGGAGGGGAGGGAGCAGCCGCCGCCGCGGCCAGAGGGCGGGGGAGCGCGGAGCGCATCGATCGCGGGCGCCCATCGGTGTCTCGGCGCTCGTCTCGGCGGGCAGCGCCGCCCAGCCCTGCCCGTCCCCCGCCATTTCGCACCGGGACGGGAAGGGACGGGAAGGGGCGCGGAGCGGGAAGGCACAGCGGGGGAACAGCGGGGGAAGGGGCGCCGGGCGGCCACGGCGGGCTCCGGCAGCTCCCGCGGCACCGCCACACAGGTACCGCCTCACCCCCGCCGCGCCGAGCCGAGCCGAGCCGAGCCGCGGCGTCCCTCTCCCTTCCTTCTTTCCTTCGCCGCTTTCCCCTCCGAGGAAGCGCAGCCCCCTCCTCTCACCCCCCCTTCCCTTCCCTTCCTCCTGCCGTCCCTCTCCTTCGCCCTGCCCCGCTGTCCCCCCCGCCACCACCCTTGGCCGGCATCCCCCGGAGCCGCATTCCCGGTGCTTCCCGGCGGGAGGGGACAGGTGGCCAACGCCCTGCGGGACCCGCTGGCCACGCCGAGCCGATCCCCCCCTTCCACCGCTCCTTTAGCTCTCCTATATTTATATCGAGATATATATATGTATATGTTTTCCCCCCGCCTCCCCTTTTTCCCAAATCCTCCGAGCCGGAAAGTTCGGGCGGGGGTCGCCGCGGCGGTTCCCGGTGCCGGGCGAGCCCGGGAATCGGGAATTACGAGGGAACAGCGCCCTGGAGTGTGCGGGGGGAGCCGCCGGGATCGAGCCGTGCTCTCCCTGCCCCTTATCCCGGCACGGGAGGCTCATCCCGAGGGGCTCCGGGACGCTCCTTAAAAACCCGGGCGGGCTCCCGGGAGCCGCCCGGGAGGGGAACCAAATCCTTGCACGGGTTTATCCCCGGCACGGGATACTCCTCGACCTTTCCCAGAACTGAGTGTATTTTTTTTAACTTATTTGGTGTATTGTCTATTCGTTTAGTGTATTATTTTAATTCATTTGGTGTATTTTTTTACTCAGTTGCTGTATTTTTTTTAAATTATTTAGTGTGTTTTTTACTTATTTAGTGTATCTTTTACTTATTTAGTGCGTGTATGTGGGGGGGGTTAATCCCTTTGTAATCGCTGCCTCCCAGCCGAGCGCCCTCGCTGCACTCCCTGTATACATAACGTTGGAGAATTCCCTCATCCCCTCCTTTTTTTTTTTTTTTTTTTTTTTTATGTCTTGTCTTCCAGGGAGGGAGCTGCTTCCCGGTGTAAATAGTGGGAGGAACGCGAGGCTGGATGAGAACGCACAGGCAGCATCCTCGTTAGTGGGAGCCCGGCTCTGCTTTAATGTTGGTTTCTTTGTCGTCAGGTCTGCTAAAAAAATGACAGAATATAAACTTGTTGTGGTTGGAGCTGGTGGTGTAGGGAAGAGCGCCCTGACAATACAGCTAATCCAGAACCACTTTGTGGACGAGTACGACCCCACAATAGAGGTAAACAATTTCATCTCGTACTTTTTGTGGAGAGGGATTATCACTAGTAACGGTGGTTGTTTGCTTTTGGACGCTTTAACCACAAGAACAAGGCTTTATAATCGAAAGAGCTCAAAGATAATGGTCTGCACCGCACCAGCGTTGGAGGAGGAGCTGCTGTGCTGCTTCTGGCTGTGGAGCAACAGCTGCAGTGAAAAAAATTAACAATTTGGATTCATTAAGAGCGTGGTGTTAATTGCCATGCTGGCTCGGACAGTTTGGATGCACGTGGTCTCGGTGACAAGGTGTTTGCCAAACTCATCTGAAAATGCTTGGCAAAACTCTTCGTGGCTTTGAGGAACCTCTTAAATGTGACTTCTTTTCTTCTTTGATAGCAGGGAAGTAGTAGTTCTGAAATGCACGTGCCAGTCTTTCTCATTTCTCAGTGAAAAATGTGTCCTGGAATGTTACAATGAATGAAACAAAAAATGGTGCCTGACTTAATTTTTTTCTTTTCTAGTACACACCAGTGCACGTTTCTGTACCTAGAAAAATTGTTCTAAGATAGCTGCTGTAGTGAATTCTTTGAAATACGCGGCACAGTGCCTCAGAGCTTGAAATTGTATTTGAGCTTTAAAAGTTGTGCTGTTTTAAAGCTTTTTAATGAGCAAACAAGCTCTGCCTTTTAAATATAAGAAAAATACTGGTGGTGTCTGAAATCTCCTGTGGATCATTGGATTTAATAACTCTATAAAGGGAGAAATGACACCGTAATTTACCCAGGATTTTTGTGTTCCCAGCACTGAGGCTCTGCAGCCTGTGACTTCATTTATCTGTTTGTACAGTGAGGCACTTCCAAACTCACTTGAAGGAATCACAAGGGTTTAAATCTGGGCTTCAAATGGAGACTTGGAAAGCGCCTAGGTAGTGATTTTTTTCAGGTAGGCACAAGTTGAAAGGAGCCGGTGCCCTGAGGTGCAGAGAGCTGTGTTAGGTGAAGGCCTGAGTTAAAGTGCCCCAAATAAATTGAGTTGTGTTGGCTTGAGGTTACCTTAAATGTGCCTTTGTGTCTTCTTGTCTCTCTGCTGCGTGGCCAAATAGGATCATACCTGCAGAAGATTTTGTGACTAGACCCGTGGAGAGAAGAGTGTTTGACTCACACCAGGAGAGCAGCTCTTTTTTCAGTTGTTAAGGCTGAAATCTTACAACAGCAGCCACCCAAAACACTCTTAAAAAGCAGAAAACGTGCGGAATTTATTGAGAGGAATGAGCAAAATGGGGGTTTTACTTTTTCCTGCGAAAGGAGCTTTTGGAGGATGTTGGTCTTTGGTGCTTGTTCACAATTATCTGGGTTTCTCTTAGTTTAAAGGTGTGTTTTGGCACCACAGAAGGTGCTGTGGAGGTTCTGTCTTACAAGTTGTGACCGTGTAAGCAATTCAGGAACACGGGAAACTAAATGCCAGGATTCCTAAATCCCTTGGGGGATTTTGCTAATCAGCAAGCTGAGTGTTTTGAGGAACAACAAATGCATTTTAATGTGAAATAATAAAACGAAAATACAGTTCCTTGTAGAGTGAACCTGATAATCCCAGAACTGTCTTCTTTATTCATAGGATAGCCTGGGTTGGAAAGGATCATCCAGTTCCGAGCCCATGCCGTGGGCAGGGACACCTTCCACTATCCCAGGTTGCTCAGATCCTCATCCAGCCTGGCCTTGGACACTTCCAGGGATGGGGCAGCCACAAATCCAGTGGTGTGCATGATGACTGTGGTGTGGTCCAGAATCAATGCTAAATTAATTAGTTATTAATTAACCTAATGGGGTTTGCACCAGCATTTACAACTTGTCACATTCAATGGTATTAATATTCTACCCTTACAAGTTACTTGTCTACTGGTTACTTGTCTACTGTCTACTGATTTTATCTTGTAAATTCTGAGACCTTGAGGATGGAGATTTATCCTCCTACTCATGTGGTAAATCACCTTGTGTGTGCTTACAGTGCTGTAATAGTGTAGGTAAGGCAATAATTCAATTATAGTAAGAGTGGGCTCTGATTTGGAGTGGCAGATTAAAAAAAAAATGGGTTTAAATGAGTGGGCAGAATCCCACTCAGCAGAGAAGGGCTGTGTGATGGTGCTTGTTTTGCAGATGCAGTTGTGGTGGTAGGGGCTGGTTAAAGAACAATAGGTGTGGAGTGGTTTTTATTTAGTATGAGGAAATCAGGCTAAAATTGCCTTGATTTGTAAATAGTAACAGTTCAGATGGTTTAGTAGTGTCACTGCTGCTGTTTGTCACTCAGTACTGTTTCTTTCATTGCCATACAGCAAAATGCTGGTTTTCCCTCGCAGGTCATCCAGCTAAATATTTTGGGGTAGTCAGAGAAGAGAGTTTAGTGTTTGTTATCTATTCCCTCACTACACAGTTATTGAATAATTCTGAATCTTTCCTGTGATTAACAGAATGAAACTCCGTACTTCCAGTATTGTGGTGTTGTGAAGAGAGGAAAAAGATACTCGTTGCCTTTACAGAGTCCTTGATGCTGCTGTTTTCAGTGGAATAGACCTGATGATTCAACAAATAACCTGCTTGGAAAATGTCAAGTTTCATGGCCTGCTTGAGTATTTTATTTACTTACCTTCCCAGCTTAGCAGATGGCAGGGCAGGGGTGGGGAGGAATTAAAATGAGCGTTTGGGTGGCTACAGTCGCTCAGATCTCCGTGTTTCACAGTTTCATCCCTTCCCTGAAGTGGGTCTCCCGGCGTGGATTTGCAGCCAGGGCGATTTTAAGTGTTTAATTTTTAAATTCCGTGTGCAGCAACCCTGGAAATCCACACCGAGCAGCTGGGCCAGTGCCCTCTACCGGCCGAGACTTGTTAAATCTTGTGACAGCGCAGTCCCGATTCGCTTTATTTTTGTCTCTTTCACAGCTTTCGGCTGTGTTTTTAGGCCTAAAAACCCCTTGTCTTTGAAACGTCCCAGAGGAAGAGCAGCGTTCCCAGTTGCTTGTCAGGGGTTTTAGGATTGGATTAGCAAAAATCCCTCTGCTGATTTAGGAATACTGATATTTAAGTCCGTGTTCTTAAACGACCTGTGCACTTGTGAAACTCCCACCAGTAGCTTTACTCTTAAGTAGCTGTGATATTTTAACGTGAAATCGCTGGTATAATGGATTTTTAACCAAAGAATAGTTACTTGCTTAGATGGGATTTATTAAGCAGTGGGGTTTTTTTTTTAAGCTAAATTTCATATGTAGAGTAGAGCTAAGATTTCATGTGATGTTTTCTTGCCAGTGCTTGTGAACAGATGGAATTACTACTCCTTTAACATAATTCATGCTGGTTTTTATGGCTTGTGTAAGGCCAGTAAAAGCAGGTTAAGTGATCAGTGATATTAAAAAAATCACATAGACGTGTCAGGTTTGTCAAATTGCGGTTTCAAGTTTGGAGTTGGTACTACTTAGGAATCAACTTCTTGTTTGCATTTTGTTTTTACTTAATAGTCTTAATGACAATTCAGGTTTCGTGTTTTGCAAGGGGGAGGGGGGGAAGGCGAGAAAGCAAAATATTTATAATTTCAGTAGTCTGGAAGGAAATAATAACCCTGAATTTTCTCTCCCACGTCTCTCTCTTCCTTCTGCCTCAGATCCTCTTTCTAGGTAGTGACAGTTTTTTCCCCAGAAGTGGCAAAACAACTAAACATCTTGAAATAGTAATTTTTGTACCTGTGCTGTGCTTTATCCAGGTACATCTTTGCTGCTACTGCTGACATAGTAGACATGTTAAAGCCAGCAGTTCTTAAATTGATTCTTCTTCTCTCTTAAAAAATGATTTTCTTTGATGAAAATTACTTAAAGCTTTTGTTTGGAGCTCAGTCGAAGGGAATTTCTTTCCCTTTGAAGTGCTGAGATGGAAAGGAATAGTACAGGCTTTTCAAGAACTGCTTTTCATATTTTTAAACTAGCAGCCAAATGGCAAGAAGAGAGAATGAAGGCTTTGTAAATCTGTCTGGTATAATGCTAGAAGTTCTACTAGGGCTTCACTGGGAACTGTGATAAAGATATCCAGGGACATGAGGGATCTGCTGTTGAATATAAGTGACTTGGAATGAAGATTCATCCTTTGGGTTTGGTTTTTATGTTTTTCGTTTGTGGTGTTTGGTTTGTTCCTTTAAGCAGTGAGATAGAATCTTAACCTTATTTTAAAACATCCTGGAGCTTGTACATTTGTCTCAGGTGTATCAATAATGACACATGGCTTACATGTGTTTCCAAAGCAGGTTTACCTGCTTCTTACTTGAACGCTGAGTTTGCACTTTTGAGAAATAAATAGTTCCAAAATCGTGTTGGAGGTAAACTTTTTTTTCCTTTAAGGTAAACACTCAGTATTGTTTTACCTGATACTGTTAAATGTCACCCAGACCCAAGGTAAATGTGAGATTACAGAGTTTGTTTAGTGTAAGATACTAGGTCTAGTACTCAAAAAGAGATGTAAATAGACATTAATATCCACTTGTTGGGACTTTGTGCAGAATTTAGCCACTTGAATCAGTGACCTGAAAGCTTTGATTTGATAGCACTGAAATAATTTGTTCTGACATCTCTATGAACCAGCCCATTGGGGCTTTTATGTGACTCTGTCTTGGTTAAAAAGCTTGAACTTCAAATATATCAACTCAGCTTTGGTAGCTTAATAACAGATATCATTATATACACCTGCTTAGGAATACAAAACAGATTTCCTGTCCTAAACACTGAAGGGTTTTTATTTTTCCCATCTTTTTAAGTGGCACAGGTAGATTCTTGGAAGTTGCCTTGTTCTTGTGTATTCTTTCTGGTTTGTTATTTTGTGCATTGTTGTGGCACAGTGATTTTGTAAATACCTATAGAATGAAGGTCAAATTTCAGTTTAAAAAAAAAAAAAATTTGGTAAATTGAGTGAGCTTAAACACAGTCCAATCTTTTAAAATCAGGATAAGAAGCATCTTTCATTCTTCTATTAACAGAGGCAAAAGGGGAGATGCTTTTGGTCTGGATCCAGTTTGTTCTTTTTGTGCAAAATAAGAAATGAAAACACTTCCCTTGGTGTGGGGGGGGTGTGTGTGTACAGGTGCACTGTTGGTTGGAGAAGATTTGGGATACAAACAAGAACATGTGGAAAGAGCCCTAAAAGGACCTGTGGATTTCTGCATACACCTAAATATGGGACACTATTTTCCTGTTTGCCCATCTGTAAAGCTGGCTTTTAAGTGTTTTCAGTCATTCTTATTACTGGTAAATAATTTTAATATCTCCAGAGCTACTGGTGTTCGAAATCCAATTTGTTTGTGTTTAACCAAGGTGTATTTGTTTTTTTTCTTTCCTCAGGATTCCTATAGGAAGCAAGTAGTAATCGATGGAGAAACCTGCCTCTTGGATATTCTGGATACAGCAGGTCAAGAAGAATACAGTGCAATGAGGGACCAGTATATGAGAACAGGGGAAGGCTTCCTGTGTGTGTTTGCTATAAACAATACAAAGTCTTTTGAAGATATTCACCATTATAGGTGTGTACGTGCAAAGATGGTTGGCCAGCTGTTGTATTAGGTGGCTGTGGTGCTTGTTATTCCACTAGATAATCTCTTATGAAATAGCATTTTAAAGGGGAAACCTGCAAATTGGCAACACTGCAACTTATTTGTGCGTTTTGTTGGGGTTTTTTTTACCTGGAATTTTGGGTAGTGTGAAAATCTGCCTTGTTTGCACAATACTGGAAGCTCTTCTGGTATGAACTAGTGTGACTTCAGTATTCCTAGTGAAGACTTACATACAGGTAAATTCTGCCCATTCCACAGGTAAAGTTGTTTGCCAGGGTGGAAAAACTGGAGCAATTGGGATTGTACAGACAGTAATGCAAGTTGCTGCTTTTGTTTTGGGCTGGAGGGGGAAATACCCACGAATGTTGTGAAAAAGTGAACCTGTGTGAGCCACGACACCTAAGAAGGGCAGACACACAAAATCAGAGCTTTAGAATGAGCTAAAAAACAACCTGTGTTATTAGTTCCTTCATCTTCTCTTTTTTAAAATAATTAGTGAAAAATATCAACTCACTTTTTTTGTTGACTACACTAACACAGAGGTAGAAGCAATCTGGTGATTGCCATCCCAGATCACTTATAACTCAGTAGCTTACCATTATCCTGAATTTTCCTGGGAATGCTGGTAGAAGGCAGTGCAAATCCAGCCAAAGATCACTGAGTTTGCAGCATCAGAGTGCCAAACACGCCATGTTAAGTTATTGATAGTTTTAGGCATTTTTAATAACGTTATAAATGGGTTTCCTCTGGTTGTAGAGGAGGAAGGGGAAAAGGCAATGTAGATGGCAAGGCAAAAGTAATGAAATGAATGATTTTTATTTGAGATTCTTGCCAAGGACATCTAATATTTCAAGATGCTTTTTAAATAGTGGCTGTAAGGACTCTTCTTACAAAATCTCTCTTTTTGTTTGTTTGTTTGTTTTGTTTTCTTTTTAGGGAACAAATAAAGAGAGTTAAAGACTCTGAAGATGTCCCAATGGTGCTAGTAGGAAACAAATGTGATTTGCCTTCCAGAACAGTAGACACAAAACAAGCTCAGGATTTAGCAAGAAGTTATGGAATTCCTTTCATTGAAACATCAGCAAAGACAAGACAGGTAAAGCTCAAAACTTGCCAGATGCAAAAGCAGAGCTCTCATCTGAACTACCATCATGTTAATTATTCTCTAGGCAATTCTCTTTGACAATTGCTTGGTCCTGTCAATGGATATATTTCTCCAGATTGGAAATCCTTGTGGTGTCTCTTCTTTCTGTCAGCTGGTAATTGCCCATTGATGAGTGATTGGCTTCAACTGCTCAAGCTCAGAGTCAGACCTGACCTGCTGTTGTTGCTCTCCTCTCTCAGGTGGTTGCAGCATTCTGAATGTTCTGATAGGTTTTAACAGAGTCAAAGCACTTCTACTTCGAGGTGAAATGCTTTTTTTTTTTCCCCCTCAGCAAGGAGATTAAACAGACAAACAGCTAATTAGTTTATTCTGGTTGAAGTGTTCTCATTAATAACAAAAGGAGTTTTTCCATGAGGCACTGATTCTATGATTAGCAGGACATGCTTGATACACCTTTTTATAGCTAAGCAATTGACCATAAATTGTTTTGTTTGTTTTTTTTTTTTTAATTCCTGGTTTAATTGTTGGTGTAAACCAATATTTTTCCAAGACTTCAGAGCTCATTGTTGGTTTATTGTACCCCACTGGTACCATAAACTGGTCCTTTCAGTGCTTTCAGGGTTTGTGAGGGCAAAGGTGATATCTCAGTGCACTCAGGAGAAAAGAAACTAAGCAGATAGAGGTGGGACTGGTTCAGTACTTCTGGAAGAAAGCAAATGCTGGTATGTGGTTTTTCTTTTAAGAGTATAAAGTTTTACTATCAGGACATATTAGATCAGGCCTGAGTGACCGAGTAGCTCGTGCTCTCTGCATAATCAGAGCTGTTCTGTGCAAGTCCAGAGTCAGGAATCAGGTGCAGCAGAAAATAAGAGCAGAACGCTGCAGTTTGAGCGAGTGCTCAGTGCAATTGCTCGACAGATTGAGCTGCATCACTTGGCAGAGTGTCCTCATAGACAGGATCTTAAGTTATTTTTGGACCTGAGAAATGAATATTTTATTACTGCAAATTTGCTAGACCCACCCAGGTTTTTTTGACGAGTTGAAACCTGGACTGATTATGAAAACTTTGCAAAGGAGCACTAACTTTTGGCAACAGAGGAAGCTTCTGTTAGAATTAAAAAAACCAAGGCAGAAGTACAGAACTTTATTGGCTGAGAATAAATAAGGCCACAAAAGTGTCCTGAAGAATGATATATAAGTGTACTGAATAATTACAGTGTCCTTCTTTGGAAGGTCCTGTATTAGTGTCTGGCATGAAGATAGAAGGGTAAAAAACATAACTCTGAAATTACATTTGAGGCTTGAAATCATGTGATTTCTGTAGTAACATCTAGACTTTCCTTTGTTCTGTCTGTTTTATAGACCATCAGGCTTTGGGGAAATACTCTTTTGATAGGATGGTGAATTTTCCAAGATCTCCTTCTCCCCACCCCACCTGTATTTACTCCTGCAAGCAGCCCCACCGTGCCTGGCCAGTAAAAAATCACAGGCTCAAAACCCACCTCTCCTGTTCAGCATCATAATCTGGTTTTTATGTAAAGCAGCACATGCTTTGTAGTGTTTCAGACTTCCAAGAGGTCTGACAGAGGTTTTCTACTTGTTTCAGAGGACAAGAGATCAGTCAGACATGAACTGTCACCCTGTGATTTCTCATTTATCTGTGATTTTGTATTTCTGGAGGTGCCAGCTGAAATGCCAGGGGAAGGATCTGACTGTTGGCTTTTGTTTTTTTCAAAGCTGAGCTTTACACCGTCTGCAGATAAGGAGCCCCTAAAGGCATCTCATGGATATTTGAAAATAAAGATGCCCAGCAGACTCTTTTGGGCATGTTGGCTTCTAAAAGTTGGCACCACTTGCTGCTGGTTCTTCCCCAGTGCTCTTCATAACACGTGTTATGAAACTGCTTCGTAACATGCTCTGTTAATAAAGTATTTTTGAGAAGACAAAAGGGAATTGGAGGAAGAACCTGATCTTTAATTATAGCAAGATCCTCTAAGTATTAGTGTATGTGACTATATATATGTGTGTGTATACACTGTATGTACATATAATTTTTCAGTTACACTGTTATATTTAAAAAAAAAATAAAATATATATAAACACACATATCCTCTTCCAAAGCATTTTTAAATTAGAGGATTCAAACCGTGGTGCGAGCTGCATGTGGCCCATGAACTATAATTTTGTTTCAGTCTGTGTCTAAATCTAAAATTCAATATAAGTAAAAATCTGAGGGCATTGTATGAGGCCTCAGTTCCAACCAGTTTTTAAGATCTTCAAGAATTCATAGGCATGTTCAGGAATAGGAAAGAGAAAAGCACGGAAATGAAGTGCACAGATAAGTTGTTCTAAAAGTTAGTGTGTTTGTTTAACATTCTTTGGTTCTGACAATAAAGATGCAAACTTTAACTTACTGCAAAGGGATTTGTATTTTAAACTAAGTACCTGTGTGAATTTTCATATCAATCATTGAGTTCATCCGTGAAACATTGGCCTAGTGGATCCTACAACTTGGCCACAGGGTGGTGGATTATTAATTTCTGTAGTTAGACCACTGACTGAAGTGAATATAGTGGAATTGATGAAAAAGAGTGACAGTCCTGTTTCTGAATATAAACACATGGCAGTACTGGTGGTTTTGTAAGGCAGTAACACTGTGGGACTTTGTTTCCCTTGGAACTCTTCAACTTTCCTGCTGGTGTTGAATTCAGAAGACAAGCAGATAAACGACATTATTCTTAGCATAGTAAAGGGTTTCCCAAAACATTATGTATTGTGTCTGAGAATGTGGACTTAAACACACTTTTGAAGTGTGTGATGAAGAAGTTGACCCAAATCACAAGGATGCTGTTGAAAAAGAATTTATTTCAGCTGTCTGATGTACAGTGGGTTAGGCCACAGCCTTGTGATGAAAGGAACTTGAGGACCTGTGTCTTGTTTTGATGAAGTAACAGGGGCAGCATTTGCAGAAATCCATTCCTAAATCTTAGCTAAAATTCAGGGATAACTTGGGTAACTTGGTTTGCTTGAACCATTTTGTAAGGATTTGCCATATCTGTTTCATGACACGTTTCACACCAAACCATTTTGAATCGAGTTCCTGTGTGCAGGTTTCATCTTAAAACTTCCTTTTCAGTCAGTTTTAATTTTATTTGTCCAACAGTTGCTTTTAGAGCATCAGCTGTGATAAAGGGTATAAAGGTGGGCACGGGACACTTTTGAGGTGTCAGGGTTAACTTTTAGTAGTTCCTTTTAAGTGGTGTTTAGAGAAGCAGAAGATGTGAAGATTCCTGCTTGTGCTCTGGTCTGTATTTGAAACAGCTTTTCTTTGCACATAGTCATATTTTAAATTGAGTGTTTGGCTGTCATTCAGGAGTCAGAAGCATCTTGAAAATGCTGCCTCAAGGTCATGGGTTCTTTGGGCTGTAAGTTTTTAATAACTGCCAAGGGGTATTTTTGCTCCTGGTTCTGACAGCTAAAAGAACCGGATCGTCGTATTTTATATACATTGCTCACTGAAGGAAAAAATACCTGAAGAATCTTAGAAGAAATTGGTATTAAAATGACCTGAGTTTGCAAGGCTGGCACCTGGCTCTTTAAAATGTCACCTTGTGCTAATGGAATTAGCAAATCCGTGTCTGTACAGATTTTTCAGAAGACTGTTCTTGGTGGTGGCAGTAATGGCAATTTCTTTTCTCACTCTTGTGTCCCTCCGTCTCTCTGCATTGCTAAAGCAAATTACAGCTCATATTGGTGATGGGAAAGTTGGCAATAAATGTTGACTGAAGAATTGTTACCTAATTATTCCTGTGAAAGCTCCATAATCAAATTACACATTTCTGCTGCAAACCGGGAGATGTGCAAAAACGTCGATTCTTGTGCAGCCTGTGCTTTGGCACGTAGCAGCTGATCCATGATTCCTGTCTCCACTTCAGGAGATACTTCCATTCCTTCCAGAAAAACACGAAAGTATGAGCTTTACTTGGGTTTTGCCCTTTTTTTTTTCCTTTAATGGCTTTTTTTACGTTTTGCAAACTCTCAGGCCCGGAATGCGAGACTTGTCGCCTGGTCCGTCCTTCTCCACATCCTAACAGGGCACGTTATGTATATACAGAGAAATACAACTCAATAAATAAATCTAATTAATTTAAATCTTCCCATTTGTAGTTGAGAAGAACCCTCAGATGAGCAGCAGTGAGTTAGGAATGACTCCTCAGTGTGACACCCCAGGGCACAGGTCATGCAAAATGACCCAGCGACTGTGGCAGTAAATGGTAGCTGGTTTTTGTTATTGGCTGCATCATACGAAGGTGAATTGGAGAGGTAATTTGGGGAGAATCTGCCAAATAAAAGCCCACATTGTGCACTGGGTAGTAATAAAGTTTGGGGGCTTAAATGGTTGTGCTCTTTTCCCCAATCATCAATCTGCTCTGGCTTTACTTTCAAATGATGAGTTTGTATTAAATTAAGAACCCTGTTGATCTGATTGAGGAGACAAGTAGTGAGATGGATTGTAGGGCAGAGGAGACACTTGTCCTCCCCTGGAAAAGCTTCAGCAAAATATTTTGCAGCTTGTTATAACAAGAACATCTTCACAGATTCATCTAATTTTTTCAGTGTATGCAGAGTTTAAAATAACAGGTATTATAACTTAAAGTTGGTGCTGTACCTCTTTATGTCGTATTTGGTTAAAGACATCTTCAGTCTTTATACTTTTTAGTTGAAAATCAGTTAGAATCTTCCGGAGTTAGAAGATTTATTTCTTTGTAACCTCTTGAGAAATTACCTGGGGAGATTTTTTTCTGTGGTTGTTAGTTTGTTACACAGGATTTTTGTGAAGAAAATCAACCTCCTTTTAAAGAACAGAACATAAACAAGCTTGCTTTTCTTTGCCAAACAGCCCAAAAAGTCTCACTTTGGCTAAGAAGTGCCAGAAGGTGGTTAACTGTGTGTGTTTGTAAGTACCCCCCAGTTAACAATCTAAGTTTTGTGCCTCCTAAACACATTCATACCCAAAGAAATAGGAGAAATTATTCAGTAACACAAGCAATATTATTTTCAGTGGGGTATGCAATGGAAGAAAGTCTTTTTTTTTTTTTTTTTGGCCAAGTGTTACCATGCACAGGCAAAAAGGGGACCTTGAAGCGTAGATAATCACAGTAATGGCTAATCAATAAATGTGTCTCCTCTGCTTGCATTAAAAAGTATTTCTCAAGCAGCAAGTGAGCAAGCCCAGCATTTGAAATACATAAATGAAGATCCATACACTTCTCTCAAGTAAAGCTCATCATTTCAGTGGGTTTGTTGCATTTTCTCCCCCTTTCCACGGGTGTCCCGGCGTGCCTGAGTCGTTAACGAAGCGGTTTTTTTAAGGAGTTGTGTTTTGCAATGCAGAGAGTGGAGGATGCTTTTTATACATTGGTGCGAGAGATCCGACAGTACAGAGTGAAAAAAATCAGCAAAGAAGAAAAGACTCCAGGGTGCGTGAAAATTAAAAAATGCCTTGTAATGTGACAGGGTAAGTTCTGGAGCGTAACAGGGTGAAGTGGAACGAATCACTTGCCAAATATGAAATGATTGATGGTGCCGTGCAAATCAGGCGTTTTGGGGTTAATTATGATGTAATTTAAGATATGTAATCAATCAGATCTCAGTGTCCTCAGTAATATTCCCGGCAAACACCCAGGTGCTGTGGACTTGTTTTGTTTCCTGGGGTTTGGATAAGTGGATTAACACAATATATCTCCGTCTGTGAAATGGAGAGCTGGTTTTGAGCCTAAAGAAGCTGAGGGGGAAAAGTTTTATTAGAATTATACTGCAGATGCTGTTGAAGTGAATATTGATTGATTCTTCAGGTTGATGAACTGAGGGGATGAGACCATGCAGTTCTTCTCAGATGCAGAAATAGGAGGTTCCTAATCCAGCAAGGCAGTATCTGGCTGGTGTACAGGTTTCCTCAGTTCTCCCTTCCTTATGCCATGCCACTTTTTCCCTGTTTTTTCTCCAGCTTAAAAAATTTACCATTTCCAGAAATTCTCTTATTTTGGTTAGCTATAATATCCTGAGTGATCCAGATTTGGAAAAGTAAGGTTTCACCTTTTTTCTTTGAGAGCCCTTACAAGGGGGCGAGGGCTAAATTTCCCATTGTGTAAAAGAAAAACTGTTCCCTCTTCAAGGTGTGTTTTCATACAGAGGTGTAGTGGAATTTGACTTGTATCTTTTGTCAGCAGTGAATATTGTTGAGTTTTCAGTGTTTGTTGTTGGGGTTTTTTCTTCCTATACCTTATTTAGAAAACAGTCTTGGATATAAGACTCCAGAACTTCCAAGAGTCTGCTCAGGGAAGGAAATGTTTATCCTCTAGGTGGTACAGACAGTCATTCCAGCAACTCTGTATTTAGGAAGTTATGGTGGAGAAAGTGTATTCCAAATTATTATGGTACAGTTGTAGGTCAGTGGAGACTTGGGTGGAATAAGAAACCTGGCATTTAGAACAGTGTTCTGTGAATAATCAGATTGGATGGTTCAGAGTGTTCTGCTCCTCTCTTGGAATAGAATTGGACTCTGATCCTTGTGGATTCCTTCTAACTCCAGAATATCCTGTGATTGTTTTATCTTCTTGCTGCCTCCAGGATGCCTTAGTTATATTAGCCATAGTAATATACTGAATTACAAGGTAGACTGAAAACTCTGACTACCCAAGTTGCTCTTAAGCTGATGCTTTCCAGAGTTTCATTCCTTTGGCTGTCACACAGTAAAGCAGAAGGTACAGAACATCTTTTTCCCCATCTGTGATTTTTCAACCAGCAAGAAGAAAGTTCTGTAACTCAGTGTAAAATCCTCAAAAGAGCTCTTTCTTGAAAGCATCAGAGTTTGTACATAAAAAGTAGACTGGTTTCTCCAGGGTGTAAATTAGATATCTAGGTAATGTAATTCAGAATGAGCTCAGTTAATAGTGGAAAGTTTGAATTACAAAAGTTCTAGATTTGAATTTAAAAATGTCTAGATTCTCAATTTAAATTCTAATTAAGTGATTTCTCCATAGTAATACAGAGGGGTACAAAATATTTCCTTATGACTGATACATGTATGTATGTAGTATATATTAAAAAAAAATACAAAAAAATTACAGTTTAAAACTTGAACAAAGGTCTGTTTTTGGGGCTCGGGTATTTAAGGAATTCTGAATTCCTTATGAATTTGGTGTTTCTTGATAGCTCTTATAGGTAGTAACCATGCAAGCACATCTCCAGACTTCTCCACGGTCATGGGACCGTGTGGTGCTGCGAAGAAAAGCCGTAGCCAGGAGCAGGCTGTTCTGTGGGAACACTTCTGACATTTCTGTTCCCTCTGCCTTCCTTAGTTGCCCTTTGGAGAAACAAATGCCAGGAGCAAACTCTCGTCAAAGCACCTTTATTGAGGCAGTGGGGTTTAGTTCTGAGCCTGCACGAGGAATTGTGAGTTTCTAATCTGAGCCTGGATTTAAAGCACTCATTCAGTACGACTTAACCTTCCAAAAAGCTTGCACACAACAACTCCATTGTTAGGGGGAGGAAGGTCAGCTGCCTGCAGCCCCTTCCTGCTCAAAGAGCTGCCTGGAAAGGTTTGACCCAAGCCTTTGATCTCACCCCATCGATGCCTTCAGGGACCTTCTGTCAACAGAGCGTCCACTCCTCACATTTAAAATTTAATGGACAGGCTGGGAAGTGGAAAGACCTCACTCGATCTCGAGTTCTCCACTTCTGACTCACAAGTGTTCTGTTGAGTAGTTTTGTGTGTCATGTTGGATTAATTACCTGAATTGAAGGTGAATTGTGGCAGGGCCAGACTACTAAGTACCTCATCAATAATTAATGATTTACAGAGGTGTAAATGCAAGGATGAAAGCTGAGTCAGTTCTGCAGCCTGGTCGAGGGAAAGCTGTCCCTGCCCACAGCAGAATCACTGAAGATCACTGGGTGATCTTTAAGGTCCCTTCCAGCCCAAACCATTCTGTGATTCTGTTTTGCAACAGGTTTGAAAGATCATCATCTTCGTAGAGTGAAAATTTCAGCCTCGATGATCAAGTCGTGTGTTTAAAGGTCCATAATAGTATCTGGATGTTACTTTGTACAAGTTATTTTCTCTGCATTTATTTTAAGACCAGTTTAGTGAGGAGGAAGGGTTGCACATTTGAAGACTTACTTTGCAGTGAAAGCCAGTTCTGAGAAGTGGTTCTGGAAGGAAATGTAGAAGAACATTGTGCAGAGATTTTTCTTATACCATTCTTATGTTCTGAGGAGGAAACCGTTCTTCTCTCTGTTGTGATTGATTCTTAATGCTGTCCTCCTTCTTAATATCAAGACCTGCAGTAGAACCACTTTGAATGACACCATTTCCCTACATGAATATTGCTAAGTATTCACCTTGTGCAGTAATGCTGAAGATAGAAGCAAACAGCCCTCTGTAAAATAAGACCAAGGGTTTTTAATTCTCAAAGGATTAATGGGGGATGTGACCTGCATTGATTTTATATTGATCAATAATAATACCTCAGAATGTAGAACAGATTATTTGCAAGGTCTTGCAATGTAAAAAAAAAGAGTGCTATTAATATTGGCAGATAGACTGCCAAAGACTTTGAGCATCAGTTTATATGTAACTGTTTTATGAACTTGAAAGTTTTAATTCAATTTAGCCTATACTGGAAGTGTTGCTTTTTGAGTGAAGCTATTTAACACCTCACTGTTGTTTGGACTTTTCATATTAAATTTCAGCACCACTTGGTGTTTGGCTGAAACAGCGAATTAGGAGATTTCTGGCTTTCTGTTGTTGTGTGTTTTTCAGAGTTCACTTCCAGTTCTTTACTGAAGTAGGCACAGAGGAGTAAAACAGAGTGTTGTTCATTTTTATTGGCAGCTTGAAGGGAAAACTGTTTGGCTGACAAGAGGTAGCAAGCTGCCTGCCACTTTTAGGGCTGAATTTCTAGACTCAGTTCTGCAGTGATCCAGTAACACTATACAGCTATTTCTGATCCCTCAAAAGATATCACAAGGAGTAAGGCAGCAAAGAATCAAGGAATTTTTTTATATTCGTGATTTTATAACTGCTTCTACTTCAGTTACTAAAGGTAAAGACGGACTGTCAACTTACTGGGAATTTGAAGCAAGGCCAGAAATTGTTGGAGGCAAATAGGTTGTTATATAGTTCACTGTACAATATTGTACTTGATAATGGTTCATATCAGGCTCTTGGATAGACTACTCTCTTTTCACTAGTTCAGTTTTTTCAGCTATAATTACCCCCCAAAATAATGAAAAATCTACTCCATGTGAACAAATGTGAGCTTTTGTGTGTGTAGCTGTGGTATTGGAGCCATGGATATTTTAAGTGCCTGTACATGATGCAGCACCAGAGAGAATGTGTTCCACGTGCCTTTAACTATACAAGTTGAACAGACTTGATTGATCAGGTGATTAATTTATCACTGGGATGTGGGATTGATTGGATTGATTTGTATGGCAGGCAGCAAAACACCTGCTGATTGAAGCCCCTTCACCTGGCCAGGACAGGTGGACACAGGCTGTAAGTGTTGATCTGATCCTAATGTGTCCATGTTTTGTATCTTTTCAGGGTGTTGATGATGCCTTCTACACATTAGTCCGAGAAATCAGAAAACACAAAGAGAAGATGAGCAAAGATGGTAAAAAGAAGAAAAAGAAGACAAAGACAAAGTGTATAATTATGTAAATACAATTTATCCTTAAGAAGTACTGAAGTAATTTTGTACATTACACTAAATTATTAGCATTTGTTTTAGCATTACTTTACTTTCTGCTTCATGATCCTGTTAGCTTTACCTGAATGCTTGTTTTAAATGACAGTGGAAACTTCATTCCTCTTAAAAGTGCCAGTATTCTTTGACTGTTGGTTCTTGAACTAGCAATGCCTGTGAAAAAAACAAACAAAAAACCAGAAAACAAACATTAAAAACCACACAAAAAAACCTGAGAACTGTCTTAGGACTCTTTGGTGCATGCACAGTTGCTAACTTCCTATTTTTCTTACTGATTGTGAACTTCCGTGTGCAAAGCAAACAATTAAATGATGCTCTACACATTCTAACATCCCCTGTAAATTTTTTGGGTTTATAAATCTGGTTGGGAAAAAGGACTAGTTAGCAAAAGAGACTCTCATTTCAGCCTTTCCTTTACTTTAGACTGATTATTGCAATAGAGACCAGAAGCCTTTATAGTCTTCCTGTAGATTTTTGCTTCTAGGCATCTAGTCTTGTAGCATTTCAGATCAACTTAAATGAATGTAAAGATAAAAACTTTCAGAAAAAAAAAAAAGTTTCACTGCAATTTGTCACAGTCACTCCTTAAAGACTCTATTTTTTCTAAAAAAAAAAAAAAAAAAGAAAAAATGAAAAAAAAAGACAGCAATGCACATCTGGCAATGGAAAAAGTAAAAGTTCTAATTAGGTTGATTTGCTATTGTTAATGCTTTGCTTTAAGACCTTCACTGACTTTTTGTGTCTGAAGACCGAGGTGAAATCCCCCCCAGTGTCAAACCTTTAAGTAGCTTTGTTCTGTAGGTGCAGGATTTCACCCTTAGTGTCTCTAGGAAATACTAAAAAGCCTTAACAGATAAATTGATTCAAATTCTTAGGTTAATTCATACATGGATCCAGAATTTACCATAAGAATTAAATCAGAATTAATCCTAAATTATATAGTGGAGTAAAACCATTCTTTCCCCCACCCCCCCAAGAGTGGCATTAAATATTTCCAGATGCCCAAGTTTTGTGTAAAATAGGGGAGAGATCTTAAATTCTAGTAACATCAAATGAGTGAATGAATGAGTTGAATTTAGCTGCTTCATGCAAATAATTTGGGAATCCACTATTCCACGGAAATGGTGTGGAATTTGCACAAACTGTCAGCATGGTTTCCAGAGTCAGTGTTGTTTGTGTGATGTCCGTGAAGTACTAGTTTTGTTGCACAGATTTAATGGTTGGTGAGTGGCATTCCAGTGTCTATCATGAAGCTAGGCCAAGATTTTAATGTTGTCTTTCTCTGTGATTAAGTTCTCTTGTGATTTTTGTTTTCCCTTCCCCTCCTTTTTTTTTTGTTTTGTTTCATTTTGTTTGTTTGTTTACTTTGTTTTCTGATTGGAATTAACGCAAGGATTTTTGTAGGAGCTTTCACTTTTTGGTACTGCAGTAGCCTAGTTATTCTGCACTGAAGTACGAGCCAGTAGTCCCAGTGTTGCCAGTTCCTGTTGTCTCGCTGTAAATGTGGAGTTGTTTGTTCCATTAGAGCTTTGGTCCCTGAAGGTTCACTTCTTCATAGTAGCCAAACTCAGCTGCAGAGGAACATCTGAAGACGTGGCTCTAGTTCAGGACACTGGACTGGAAAGCTGGGAACAGGGAAGAGCAGCATTGCCCTAAGGTACACCTAAACAATTCCATGGAAGTTTTACACAGGTATGTAAAAATTGCACTGTGTAACTCGGACCATTTGTGTGATGCCAAAGGTGCAGCTGCCCGAGAAAAGTATTATTTTGCTTCTACAAAAAAAAAAAAAAAAAAAAAATCCCAGAGTGACTGTTGGAGGTGGAGAGCTGCAAAGCTGGCAGGGAACACATCCTGTGTGTTCTTTAATTTCTATGTGGCTGAGGGAAATCGTGGTTTCCCCCACACCCTTCACCAAAACCCAAAGCCCCCTTCCCTCCTTTCAGCTTCGGTGTGAAACGTAGATAATGAAATATTCTGAAAAACAGCAACAGGAGAACCTAATGTTGTACTGTAAGGACCAATAGGAACGGATTCTTGATGCCACAAAGTGTTTCAGAGCTTCCAGGGTTAAAATGTGTTGGAGACGGTTATTTGCACATTTTAGGCACTCTTGACTATACATGAAGAACGTAGCAAAAATGATAGTATGCCTTGAGCAAATGGAAGTAATCTTAAGGTTGCTTTAATTTTGGTAACTGAGTCACACTGCATGTAAAATTAGGGCTGGTCTAAAATTCTGACGTTCATTTAACCAAAAACTCCTAGGAAATTGTAGCTGAAATGTCTTATTCATCGAATGTGGATTTATATAGCTCTACTATAAAGCTATATATAAGCTAGTGTTGGGGTTTTTTTCTCAGCAAATGTGATCTGTAGCTGCCAGTCTGATTAAATTAGTACAAAATCCATTCAGATTAGCCCTTATTTACTTAAAAAAAAAAAAAAAAAGCCCACAACCAACCCCCCATGCTTTCCCAGAACATCCCTGGGTGCTTGTCTGTCCTGAGAGCAACTACTGAACGAGCCTGCGAGTCACTGACCACGTTCACACGTGGAATTCTCATGTGTCAGGGAGTACTTCTTACTTCTTACATCAGCTTTATGTGACCCTGCTGAACACCTGCACCGTTGGTTTGCTCCAAACTCAATTCTTCTGACCAGTTTCACTGCCCTAAACTTTTTTTTTTTGCTAACTGAGAAGTGTGGACTTGGTCACAGTAACAGGATCTCTGCAGTGGGTAAATACTGACACACACAATCTTCTGCTCTTGTCTGTACTATGAAGCAATACAATTATTACCTTCAAAGACCATCAAACTGTAAAACAAATCATTTTGTCTCAAGTTTACATGAAGCTACGTAGATGGTAAATCTTTCCTAACATTTCTTTATTCCACTGTCTTGTGTTTTCATGTTGAAAATACTTCTGCTTTTTCCTCTTGAGTGCCAACTTCTTACTAGAATGACTTCTTAATGTAATATGTTTACCTGGAATGTATTTTAACTATTTTTGTATAGTGTAAACTGAAACATGCACATTTTGTACATTGTGCTTTATTTGATGTGGAACATATGCAGTGTGATCCAGTTTTTCCATAAATTGGTTGTGTGACCTAGGAATGTTGGTCATGCCAGACATTAAGTTAAAAAAAAAGGAAAAAAAAAAAAAAAAAGACCACTGTTTGTTTTAAAATTTTTAATGTTTTTAGGAGTACGTGCTGTGAGGTGATCTGGAATTTGTCATTTTTTTGTCAAACTGTACTGCTCCTATTTATTGTAATGTAATAAAAAATAGTTATTGTGAGTTTCTGTCCCAGCTTCCTTTTTCTCTGCAAGAATGTCGGTGCCTCATCCCAGTAGTGGGGCATGCCATGAACTGTGTGTGTGTTGGGAATTGTTCTCCCTTTATTTCTTGCATTTCTTTAGGTGCTGCCTGTCCCAAAGGTGCTGCCCCTGGGTGTTCCCTGCCTCTCACAGGGGAGGTTTGACTGCACCTGATTTCCGAGGAGCTCATTTGATGTGGAAGGGCACTAGAAACTGAAGTGCAGTTTTGTCACAAAGCAGTGTACCCAGCCGTGGTTTTTTAAATTCTCTTCTAGGATTTTGTGTGCGTAGGGTGTTTTGTGTGGGAGTGAATCCCTCCCGCTGCCTCCTCCTCGGCAGTGATCTCAGAAATGCTCCTTAGGCCCTGACAAGGAGCACCTGGGCTGAGCTCCTCCTGAGCCTACCAGGAACACTGTTCCCAGCTGCCTTAACGACCTCCTGCTTTTAAACCAGCCTTGGAAACTTACTTTCCTTGCCTGGGTAACATCCCCAGTGGAGCAGCATTTCTGTTATCAAGCTTTCAGAGAAAGTTACCGACCCGAATTGTGGTCAGGACGAAAAATTACTGTGACTAAATCCAACTCCCTTGTGGATGTGTAAGCAGCAGTCCTGAGGGAGAGACCCTGGGAGCTCTCCTGGAACACACCAGCACCTCCCTCTGAGTGAGGCCTCTCAGAGCCACTGAACTCTCCAGTTTGCTGTGTTTGGAGCAGCAATGGCACTGAATTCCAGGGGAATTTTTCACAGGTATATACTTCCTACGTGCTCCTTTAGATCTGGGTGAGTGTGGATATCCTACAGCAAACGTGCTGTGAATGTTGCTCTCCTAAATTCTTAAGTTCTTAGGATTTGTAAATAAAATAGGCCTATGAATTACTGTCGTGCTCACAGTAAATGCTGTATGAGCCTTTTGTTAAATTGTTTAAATCAGGGTGTCAATTAAGTGCTGTTAAGTTTAGGTGCTGTTAAACTGTTAGGCCTAAACCATTGGTCAAGTCCAGGGCTAAGTCTGGCAAGGGGGTCCAGTCTGAACATTCTGACTCCTCAGGAGCATCTCCCTTATTTCTTACAACCTTACTCTTTCCTCCACACAGATAATTTTTGGTTGATTTTAGGTTTAGATTGATTAATTTTAGACTTTAGCTGGCTTTTTCTCTGTCTGTTTTGACATCTAGTGAGTAGTGGAGTGAATTTTGCCAATGGACTTTGTCACGCGTTTATATTAAACTTGTGCCAGCGGCTCTTTTAGTGACCCTAAAATACTTATTTATGACAGTGTAAAGACTGGTATTGCCAACAGCTCTGCTGCAGTCATTCCTTACCTATTTTTCAAAGATTATTTCTATCTCCAGTGTCGTTTAGTTGGTGGAAACACCAACCAACCCTACAGTGTACAGAGTGTCAGCTCTGGCACGAGTCTGTGTGAGTCGAGCCAAGGCCTGCAGAGATACCCTGGAGCAAACAGCCATGGCCAAACTTCTCTTCCCAGAGCAAAGATCAAGTTTTCCATTCCTACAGCAGTTACACAACACCAGAAATTAGCAGTAGCAGAAATTGCCTTCAGGGTCCAATTGGCTTCAGCTGAAATCACTGTTGTTCAAACTCCCCCCTGTCCTGACCCTGAAGTCTTTCTCCTCACACAGGAAGGTGGTGCCTCTGCAGTTTAAGCAGATGAGGTTAAAAACTTTAGGAATTGACTTTCAGAGAATCACAGAATTGTCAGGGTTGAAAACAACCTCTGGAGATCATCCAGTCCACTCCCCTGCCAAGGAAGGGGCACCTGGAGCAGGTGACACGGAACACGTCCAGGTGGGTTTGGGATGTCTCCAGAGAGGGAGACTCCACACCCTCCCTGGGCAGCTGTTCCAGTGCTCTGGCACCCTCAGTGCAAAGAAGTTCTTCCTCGTGCTGAAGTGGAACTTCTTGTGTTTTAGTTTATGGCCACTGCTCCTTGTTCTGTCTCTGGGCACTGCTGAGAAGAACCTGGCACCCTCCTCTGACCCCCACCTCAGAGATATTTATATCCATTGATGAGATCCCCTCTCAAATCTTCTCCAGAATAAACAGGCCCAGCTCCCCCAGTTTCCCCTCATAAGACATACTCCAGACCCCTAAACATCTTTGTGGCCTCCACTGGACCCTTTCCAGTAGCTCTCTGTTTTCCTTGTACTATGGAGACAGAACCGAACACGGTACTCCAAATGTGGCCTCACCAGGGCTGAGTGGAGAACTTCACTTTTGAGAAGGTGAGTGGAAATCAATCATTTAATGCAGAGGACTTTCAAGTTAAGCCTCCAAGTAAAAAGCATTAGCACTTTGAACTGACTTTCAAACAGTTATGAGGTAACAAGAGCTTCTGTTCAACATATATTTTGAAGTGTGCAAAGTGAGCAGCTGTGCAACCACCCCTTCCCGCAAAATCGTTTCACACCTGAACTTTTAGTGAAAACACAACCCCAAGCGACTGCTTGAGGGGAAGCCAAGTCCTAACTTGTACCTTAGAGGGGCTGGAAGGATTTACATTTCGTTTCTTTTGAGGTTACATCTCCTTTATTGTGAGTTTTCGTGGGTGTGTTGGTTGCACGTGCAGTCACTGGTTGTCATCGCTGTAGTAGCGCTGTTTCATGGCTCGGTATTTCCTCAGGAAGTACAGAGCCTCCAGCTCCTTTATAACGAATTCTCCCCGTGCAATTAGTTGCTTAATTTTCTCGGGGTCTTTCTCGTCCTTGTGTTTCAGGAAAGCTGCTTTCAAACGGGTTCTAAAGTAGTCTGCTCCTTTGGGGTACTCCCTTCCAAGGTACAGCAGCTTGGAGAGAAAAAAAAAAAAATTATGTGTTTTTAATAAACTGAGTGTGCAGTGAAAGAGGTTCGTTTTCTGGATAAGGAAGGTGCTGGTGGCATTTAAGACACTTACATTTTTGTACAGTCTCACCACTTCACCTCTTAAAGAACTGGCCATTGTCACATTTCGGTGAACTCTTTGTTCTTGTCTGATTGGTTTGGTTTGTTTGGTTTTTTCTACCTGAGGGATAATCAGTTGGACATTAGCCTTGCCTGGGAGTCAGTAAACCCCAGCCTCCTCCTCCTCCCTGGGGCTCCTGTATCCTACTGAGCCCCCTTGGCTCTAACTCCTTATTTTCTGGTTCTGTTCTGTCTCTTCCACTTTTGGCTTTCTAATTTTTGTTCCATTTAGCTGCTCTTTCTCTTCTCCTCTCTCACCTCTGATGGAAAACAAGAAACTTCCAAAAACTTTCAACCAGAGTGGCACTTCGTGCTGTTCATCAGCCTCTTTCTCACATCCCCACAGTCCCTCTACCTGCTGGCCTGGCCGCTTCTCTGTGGTCTGCTAAAGAACTATATCTTCATATATACAGTGCTAAATATATAAAAATATATTTATAATATCTATTTCTTAATATTAAATATATTATTAAATATATTAAATACCATAACATTATATGTATTTATATTGACTATATTTACATATTCTATATTTAACATATTTATTGTAATAGTCACAATATTTATAATAATGGTTATTTGGATTTATATATTTTATGTATTTGTGCATTTTTGTGTAGTCCATATATTTATATGCTATATATATTCATATATACTCACATACATTTTGTATAGTGAATAAATTTGTACGTTATATATTTACATACATATATACGTACATATATATGCATACATATGTGTAATGCATATATAATACATATGTTTTTAAAATACATATACATACATATATAATACATACATATATAATACATGCATATATAATACATATATATACACATCTAATACATATATATAATACATATATATCTATATATCTATACATATATATATGAATTTATATATATATGTGTATACATAAAAAAAATATATATAGGAATTCCAGCGACTACTGCATTCCTAAATTGTGCTGTTTTTAAAACTGCTGAAGTGCATTACGAATTGAGGCCAGTTCACGCTGGCAAAACGTTAAGGTAAAAAGACAAATAATGCGTCAGTAACAAAGCAGGTGGGGTTTATTTATGTAAACACAGAACGGCCTGGGTTGGAAGGCACCTTAAAGCCCATCTCGTTCCAAACCCCTGGCACGGAAAGGGACACCTTCCACTATCCCAGGTCGCTCCGAGCCCCATCCAGCCCGGCCTTGGACACTTCCAGGGATCCCAAAACAAACCGCAAACGACCCGGATTCCTGGATCCCAGCCCAGCTCTGGCCGCCCCCGGGCCCCGTATCCGAGCCGTGCCCGGGGGCCGCCGCCTCCCCCCTGGCCGTGCCCGCGATCCCGGCGCCTCCCGCCCCGCTCCCCCCGGAGCCCATCCCGGTTCCCCCGCGATCCCGGGCAGGCCGGGCCAGGCTCTTACCCGGAGCCGCCGCCAGGCCGCGACAGGCGGGGCCGCCCGCGCTGCGCATGAGCCGGGGGCGGAGCTGCCGGGGGGATCCCGGGATCGGGGGAGATCCTGGGATACGAGCGGGATCCAGGGATACGAGCGGGATCCCCCGGGAACCGGGCACCGCCTCATGGTGCGGAGGGCAAGGGAGGGGAAGGGTCGGCGGGTGTGCGGTGGGGAAGGGCCAGGTGGTGGGAATGAGGAAGGATGAGGTACTCGGGGGTGGGTCAGCCCTGGATCGGAGTGCTGCCCATCATCTCGAGTACATGGAAAAATATATATCCGAAGGTATATGGGGGGGGGGAAAGGAAAAAAAAAAACAAACAAACCAGGATTTAAGACTGCAAAAACCCCACTTGTTTTTCCTGCAATCCCCAGTCCCGTGCCGTGGTTTGTTGTGGATTCCCGGCGTGAAACCCGGCTGGGAGCTCGGGCTTTGTCGCCGCAGCTGCTCCATGGTGACAAAGCTCATCCCTAGGCGGAGCCTGCCCGCTCCTTCTTCCCATTTTTGTGTCCCCGCGTGGGTAATTCATGGCCCCGCGGTCACGCCAGTTCACCTGGCTGCGCTGGGGCGCTGCACGGGAAAGGTTAAATTGGTAAAGAAATGATTTACTGCTGGATGTTCTGGCTCTCTGATCCCGTTTCCTTGTGGTGGTTTGGGGCAGTGCCCTAACTGCGTTTCTCTGGGTGCGGTTCCCCAGCTGACGGCGGAAAACTCGGTGGTGTTTCTGTGTCATCGCACGATGTAATTCAGTCTTATAGTTCAGTGTTATTTGGATTAGCACACGGTGTCGTTCGGTGAATTCAAAAAACACTGGAAAAAACATTTTACTAAACTGTGTCCTACACTAAAATACGTATTTCACATGCATCACTTTTTTAACAGTGAGAATAATACACTTCCTTAATCATAGGGGTAATTTAGCCGGATAAATTACGACGGTCTGTAGTCGTGTGTTGGTGGCTGATATTCTGCAGTATTGAAGTTACTGTCATTACAGTTTTTCAGTAGTTAACCTCATCTAATTTTACTGAATAGTTGTATTATTCTATTATTATTGTTGTATTATTCTTTTAGAGTTGATACCCTGTTCTCTGAAGTTCACTTTCCTTTTTTGTTTCCCCCTGATCTTTTAGGGTCCAAAATCGAAAAAAAAGGTAGGTAGGCAGAAACATGCTCTAGTTCATTGGTGAGTTTATTTTTTTAATCTGACTTTTTTTTTTTTTCCCCCTTGAAACAGTTGTTCAGGGTTAATTGAATTTGAAGGAGGAACTGGAATGTATAAATTCATCCCTGGATTATTCTTAATTTGATAATAATGAATTTATCCACCCTACCCCACCACTCCCCAGCTGTGTATCTGTCTTGTTAATGTTGTTATAAGAATGTGAAAAGAAATGGAGTAAAAAATAACTACAAGTAACTGAAACAAGCAAATTTCCTTTTTCGCTTAAAGTCATCAAAGATTTGTTTGTTTGTTTGTTTAAGTGAAAAAACCGTGACTCTTTCCTGAAATTTAATGGGTAGAACTGTGGGGTTTACTGATTCTATTTCAGGATAATTTTGCAAGGAAATGCTTTGGTAACAAATGTGCTGAGATGCCCTCAAACTCCGATGGGTATGTGTGTGTTGTTGGCACTAAATTGTTACCACTTGTTGTGTTCCAGCTTCGTGATAAGCTCTGTATTCAAAGTCACTCTTATCTATGTATTTACTGCCATGCAAAGTAGTGTAAAGTGAAGAGCTCTCCACGTAGTTATTTATATCTGAAATCAGAATCAGAGTCTGAAATAACAGCATTTGTAACACGCTTTGTGCGTGAAAAAGGATCAGGATGTATTTTCTTGGTGTGTTTTTTTTTCATCAACACCTTGCCTTTCAACCTGAGTTCAGGCTGCTGTCACTCTTAGGCTCCAGCATGTAGAGGAAACAGTGCAGAATATCATGGTTTGTTTCCTCGTGTGTCAAAAAATTAGCTTTATTTGTCCAACTCGTAAACAGTAATGTTGTCTGTGAATTAATTTTGCGATTTGGATCCATTTATCACATTTTTATGTGTATCATCCGTAAGAAATCTGTGAATGCTGCGAATTACAGGACAAAAGCCAGTGTTTTGTTTTGGTTCATCTGTTACGTGACAGTAGATTTTGCATGTTATTTGCCTTATTTTAATCAACTATATGCCCAGACCTCAAAGAACTGATAACACTGATTTCTGAGAAATCCAAATTTAAAATACAGTTTTTCTATGATTAGGCCAGAGGTTGAATAGTGGACTGTGTGGAGTTGCAGTGAGGATTTTATAACAGAAAAGAGAACTCTTTGTTACTTGTCTTTTGAATTAGATGCTTCTAAGTGCCAGACTTGCCCCAAAATACATTTCCCAGTATTTCCTAAAATATTTGAAGTTATAACATCTACTTTCTTAGCCAATCTACCTGTTATTCAATTTCTACTTTAAAAAACAGTGTTCTCCTGTTGTGGCCATGTTTGGGTGTGTCTAGCATAGAATAATATATTAATTGTAAGAACATATATTGCATCATGAAAATGAGATTAAAATGGGGTCCAGGATGTTTATTGCCATTCTGGGGGTTTCATTCAATGTGTGGGGAGTCTAAAATATTAATTCAGGGATCACATTAGAAGGGTAAATTTATAGAGTTATGCACCTTTCCAAATGTATTAAAATAACACTTGACATTTTTTTTTCTTTTAATTTACTGCAAACATTAAGCCCGGTGGCAAAAAAGCTGAAAAGAAAGAAGAGGAAGGGAAGCTGAATGAGGGAGGTAATGTGCACTTCATTTATAGGGAATGTGATGGGCAAGTCATTTATTTTAAAGAAACGTGCAGGAAGTCATTTCTTGAGCTACATGTGAATTGATATTTCTGTTCCACAAACACGGGTGGGTCCTCCCTGTTTTCTGGTGTGAGCCAAATCCTTTGTTGGTTGACGCCACATCTCACTTTCCCATCAGAGCAATCATCTCTCCTCTGGTTATTTCTCCTGCAGTTTGGAACTTGGGAAGAATTAACTTGCCATTAATCCATCCTGGTGGGGGCTTGGGCGTGCTGTGACTGCTACTGAGTGACTACTGATCACAGGTAGCCTTTTGTGGGTGGGAGCAGCAGCTCAGGCAGGTTTGGGAACTTCTGTTGCTCTCACCTCAGTGCAACACCTATACCCTTGACACGATTTCCAAGTAGGTGGGGACATTCAGGTCTCTGTTAGGGAACCTCTGGACTGATGTTCCTGCTTAGGCTGAAGGTTTAGAGGTTGAAATCGATTTTAATTTTCACATCTTCTCTAACTTTCTGGTCCTTATGGCAGCAAAGAGCCAGCTTTGCTGGGATGGGGAGTAGCTGATCCTGAGGAGGATTTCAATGAACAACCGGAAGTTTGAAGTTGTAGGGAAAAAGAGGGCTTGTTGATCCTTGTCTTGTCTCCACTTGTATCACCACAGGCTGGTCGGGCAGTGCCATAGAGAGTGTGTTTTAGTGCTGTGATTCAAGTTAATTTGACTCGTGGGAGATATCTGTGTAGTGCTAAACATTCATGCTGCTCATTGAAGGTTGTTCTGTCGTTACAGTTAACAACAAAATCACTTGTCTGGTTTGGTGAAGCAAAATATAGTTATGCTCTTGATCTATTTCCCAATCTTCAGATGAAGCTGAACGAGAAGAAGCAGCAAGACTTGAGAGGGAGAGACTCCAGCAAGAGCACATGGCAAGGCTGGAGGCAAAGGTTAGTTTGTACTCACTGTAAAAAGCTAATCCTATTTCTGAACTTGAGATGAGGCCTGTAAAACATTAGTGTGAGAGTAGGAATTCATTTCCTCCTGTACTTACTGTTGGGAACAATATAAAGGACATTGTCCAGCTTCCATGGATTAACATTAGTCCTAAAATCCAGCCAAGGCGCTGGGAGATGAGATCCCACAAATTGAGGAGGTGCTGAGCTGGATTAATGATGAAACATAGTGCATGTCAAGTCAAAGAAAATGATGCTGTTTGTTTTTTTTTCTTTCACTAAGCAAATGTTTGGCTTAGTGTTGCTTTGATTTAGAAAAATAGGTGAGAGAGTCTTGCCTGGTTTTGATGCATTTAAATACGTGAACTTTTGTGATATGTGATATTCCAGTTTGAATAAAAGCCCCTTTTTTCCCCCTTTCCACTACGCTTTCAATGGAATGTATTTTTTGTGTTCCCCATAATTATATTTGGTACAGCTGTGGCAAGAAAGTGTTGGTATAAATTCCTTAATTGGTTACATGTTGGGGCAGATACAGTGATTTGTGTGTGTATATATGTGGGTGTATTAAATTATTTATATTTAATTTTCTGATAAGACTGGAATTCAGAACAAAAACTGACTGGTAATATCTAAATATTTTTTTCTGTTTTCAAAGTAAAAAAGAGATTTACAACAAATATTTCTTTCCTTTTTTTAAAGAAAAAGTCATTCTTACCTATGCCTTTTTTACTTTGTAGATTATGTTCTTCCCCTAGGGAGAAGATGAACTTAAAATAATAGAAATTATAAGGGGGAAAAAATCAAACAATCTTGCACACATTTTTCCAACACATGCTTACATTTTTAGCAGCTCTCATTAGGATGGTGGTAGGGAAGATGTTCAAGAGACAGGTTAACAATGATATGACACATTATGTCTATTGTGTGGCTCACCTTGGCAACTAATGTGATGACAATAACATATTGCAAACTAACAGAGTCTTCCCAATTGAATGTTTCATTAAAAAAAACCAAGTTACCAGAGTTTGGATTTGTTTAAATAATATATCGTTCCAATATCCCAAATATTTGTTTGCTTTATGTAAAATAATTGTAAGACCTAAGCCAAATATTTAACTCTGTTTTATATATATATATATATATGTATATATTTTAACAGTACCAAGAACAAAAGGAGTCTGAACTAGCAGAACTTAATTCACTGGAACAGAAGTTTCTGTCTGCACAGCAGTGGAAAATGGGTTACAGAGAACACGAAAAGGTAACCTTTCTTGCCAAAATCCCTTGTCCTTCCTTTCCTATTTATTTAATTCATTCTACTTTTAAACGTTTCCCCAAAAAAGCCCTACTGGGGCTTAAATATTTTTTATAGATTTTGGGACAATTGACATTTGTTTCAGTGGTTCCTGGATGTCCAGGTGAGGTTAAATAGAGTTGTGGCCAGAAGGGTTTTTCTCTTTGTCCTGTTTATCACTTAATCCTCTTAAAGCCTCTGCAGAACAAATTTAGAATCATGGGATAAATCATGTTAGGGAGCACTTCTGAAATTCATGTAGCTCAGCCTCCTGCACCAAGCAGGGCAGACTCTGAGGTTTTTATTAAGGCGCTCAGTTGGGTTTTGAAAATTTTAAGGTCGGGCATACACACCACAGTATCTTCAAGCAGCCACTTTGACAGCTTTACCACTTTTTCATTTTTCTTTATATGCAGTAACCATTTTTCCTTAAGTGCAATTGTCATTTCCCTGTCACAGCTTGAGATCGTTGTTGTTTGTGGATGATTCCAGAAGTGTTTCTTGGAAGGAGAAGCATTAAACTTTTCTGCTTTGCAAAAGTAAGGGCAAAATAGGATGACTGTTTCTAAAATAAATCTTCTGAGAAAATACTGGTAGATTATGGCAAATACCAGGGTTTGTACTAGTCTGTTGTTAACAATATTTAGGGCAAAAGAGATATGTAATATCAAACTCTGAGTTTCCACATCGATTTCTGTAGAATTTCAGTTCAGATGAACAGATATATTTACAATCTGTCATAGCATTTATCCTTTTCCTCAAAGAACAAGTGCTGTTATTTTTAAGGATGTGATGATGAAAGTCAAGCTCTCTTTTAAGTGCAAAGATGTATTAAAAAATAAATAAAGGGAGATCAGATATTTTAATTACTGAAGACTGATCAGTCTTTTGTACAGGAGTTTCCAGGGCACTCAGCACTCACCTACTATTGCTTTCTTAGAAGTCAGTGGAAATGCTTGTGGAAGTGGTTGGGAATGCAATTATACAAATATTTTTGCTTTAAAAGATCCATTTTGCTTTGTAATGCAATCTGCAGTAACAGAGTGTTATTAATCTTCAGAGCAAACAGGGAGGCAATGTTTCCTTAATAGCTTATTATATGGATGAAAAAAATTACATTATAGGTGATAAGTTGATCCCATGAGCCAGTGTTAGGCTTATGTTTAGCATTAAGTGGGTTTAGTCTGTCACTAATTTTTTCTTTCCACCACTTATAAGACTGAGCAATAATTGATTTGAAAATAAAATTATTAAAAAATCACCACAACCCTAATCTAGGATTTCACCTTGCCCCCAGAGGTTTCTGTAAGAGTTCAACTTGGGCTGGTAAGGGGGAGGAAAGTTCCATTAGAGGCAGAGAAGGGAGGAATAAACATGTTGGACTAGAGGCTCTTAAGCAGCTTTATTGCCAGTGTAGGAATTTTCAGTTCTGTTGGCATCACCTGGCCTGAGAACCATCTGCCTCTTCCCCCTGCACTGGTTCCTTGTTTATGCTCTCAGCCATTTTATTCTTTCAGCCCCTCATTTGTGGCAGGTGCTGAATTAATTGCTTTTGTAGACAAACTCTACCCAGCAGAAGAGAAACCCGTGATAAATAAACATAAACAGCAGGTGTTGGGTGGGCAGAGCTATCTTAACACATTAATATCGAAGTAGACCATTTGTTTGCTGGCGTAGGGACAAGCCAAGTGGTGCTAGAATCCAACTTGGATGCATTTAGGTGTGAGTGTGTCACTATAATTGTCTTCCAGAACCCCCCTTTTTCCTGCACCTCATGCCTGCATCCTCTTTTCCTTGTTTTTTGGGGTTTTTTTTTGCAGTGGGAGCATTACCTCAGCTGTGATGGAATTCCTGACCCAACTGTACCCCAGGAAATCAACACCTTCATGAGCTTGTGGCGTGAAGAGCAAGATGAGGACGTTCAGCTTGTGATGGAGAAGGGGGAACAAGTGCTAAATGTAAGTGTTAAAGTGGTGTAGTTTGGTTTCAGCTCAGCATATCCCTAACAGCCCCCTCTCTCTAACTGTTTTCTTCCTTTTTTTTTTGTGGCTGTAATCTTCAAAACCTCAAAGTTTTCCTTCAGTTTTGACATTTTTTTTCCGTTACAGATTCACTGTTCGCCCTCGTTTATTGACTTTAAATTCGAATTTTGGGGGTTTGAGTGCAGCGTTTCTTACACTGAGCTCCAGCATCCCAACATCCCATCTTCCCTTCCACTTCAAACAACCTGGAGGCCAGAGCACATAAAGCTCATGTCCTAAATAAATGCTTTGGTGGGCAGCAGCCCCACTGTGTAACACTTGAGCCAGTAAAAATACCATGTAAGAGCAGGGTTTCCCAAAATTGATGGTTGCCAACCGTTGATGGCTCGTGAAGCAATTTTAAGCAATTGGGACCTGCTCTGTAAATTTAGGGGTTTATTTTCATTTTGGTTTAGAATTTTAGGTGTTTATTTTCCTTTGTGCTAACTTTATAGTATGACTATATATATAACTATATAACTTTATACTTCCTTCAGGAAGTTAGTTGGGGTCTTCCAGAATTTGAGGCTGAAAGTTCCGTGTGTAATATAGGTTTTATTGGGCTAGTTTGGTTCTGAGCTGTATTTCCTATCTAGGCAATTCCTGTTAGGTGCCACAATTTGCACCTTCCACATCTTGCCTTTGTCTGTGCTAGTCCTTTCCAAGAATTTCAGCTGATAACTCCTCCTGGCAAGGATTTTTCTGATAATAATTGCATTTAAATGTAACTTCTCTATGTCTTTCTGCGTATTTATTTATTTGGGGTTCCGCAATTGAGATCACTGCTACAGAAAAATAGTGGTTGCAAAAGTAAACTCATTTTGGATCAAAAGGCTTCATCATATGACCAGTCCAGGTCAAGACAATGATCAGTGGTTGTAAGCTGAGATTTCACAGCCCACAGGTTAAGGAATGAAGGAATTGGATCAGAGGAATGAAGGCAGGCACACTCGAGCTTGGAATTTCTAGCACTTTAACTGTCCTATCTGAAAAATGCTGTCTTAGCACAATTTCCTAGAGATATAATAGAAGAAGACTGTGACTAAGATTTTTTTTTGGGGGGGGGTGTAAAGGAAGCAACTTTACCTCATTCTTTATGACAGAACAAACACAGTGCACCCTTAATGGGTGGTGTCAAAACAGAGATCCTTTTCCCACACATAATGTCTTCTAGTTAATTGAGAAGTTGCAGCTCCTTTTAATGGACACCCCACCCAGTGAGGCGACAGCAAAAGAAGCAGTCCAGTACCAGGAATCTATTGTGGAACTGCAGAATCTGCTTCATCAGAAGTACAATGAAGCTACACAGCACCTGCTGAAGGTGGGTAAGATGGACTGCTTTGAATTTGTGATGTGGGCAGTGCCCGTGTTTGAGTCTTAAACCGTCACAGAGGTTGAGTCCGTGGCTTTCCCAATTTAGCACTTGAGTTTCCAAATCGTGTGTGTGGCACACACCAGGCTTGGAATTCTTCAAAACTCCTGGAAATCTGAACTTCTCATCATTAAGTCACTGAAGGTTAAATTATGGTGAGATTTGGAGGTGTTGGAAGCAAGGGGGTTGCTGTATGAAATTTGGTTTCCTGCTTTGCCTCACTGATTTAAATTAAAATGAGTTGACTCTACGAAAAAAATTGCAGATGTGAAAAGCAGGTCACAAGGTTACCTTGTGCACATTTTTTAACACAAGTTCATGTGACTAAAATATTTTTTTAAAGCAAGATCTTGGGAAGAGTGAGGATTATTTAAATAAGAAAATGAAAGTATGCTCGGGAGTCAGTTTTCTGGGTTGCATGTATAGGTGGTGATCTTGCTGTTTCAAGTATATTAATCATATATATACATAAGCATGTTTAGCAAAAGAATATTGCCAGAGGAAACAAAAACAGGAGGAAGGGTAAAGGAAATAGTGAACCAGTTGTATGTTCATAGCCAAAGCCCTCTGCCAATTAAAAAATGTGAAATTCTTGATTGCCTTTCCTGAGATTAGGATTAAAATCCTAATGTAATTATCATTTCACAGGTTTTATATTGATTAAATGGTAAAATAATCTGTGCAATGACTCTGATAGGAGTCCATTGTTGCTTGTTAAGTCTTTTTTTGGGGCCTTTTTTTCATTACTTGTCCTGAGGAGTATTTTTGAGGGCACATGATTAAGGGGAATAGGCAGTGACACTGAGGGTAATAATGTAAGAACCCATAATTGGTTGACAGAATTTGTGAAATTTGATGGACAGAAAGAACACAGTTTGAATTTTAACAAAGAAATTTGAGTTTATAACTGTTGTGGTTTAGTATAAATACAACACAGCTGGGCTTGGTCTGGTGTATTTTCATTCTTAAATGTTTTGATTTTATTTATTCAAGTGTAAATGTAAGTAAATCAAAGTGATACAAATAAGAAGAAAATATTACTTAATTGACTTTTTTCTTTGTAGACAGCTAGTATGTATGAAGATTCTGAAACTGGAAATATGCAGGCAGTCATAAAGGATAAAAATGTTACTTTCTGTGTTTGGGTCAATCTGAAGAAGAAAGTAAGGTACAGCACCCTGAAATTCTTAATTTGAAATGAGGCCTGGCCTTGTCTACCCAAGCTGAGTAAACACCAAGAACCAATTTCATGATCTTTTTTATATACCTGTATGTATATAAATTTGTTTCTTAAAATGCTGCTGTAGAACCAGTTACTGCCAGAACAAATTTTGAAGAAAAACAATAAAAACTCGTGCAGAGAATTGAAATTCCTCTGGAAGGGATGTTTCTTGCTGATGCATTAAATATTTTTCTAAGCTGTTACAGTGGCTTGCAAAGCAGTGACTGGTGCTTTGTGCTCAGTTTTACTCTGTTAGGTAAGAGATTCTGGAGCGTGGGATGCTCCAGAGTGGGTTCTGAAGCTGAGGTTTGGTTTTATATTAGGTTTGCCATTTAACTGGTGTCCTTTTCAAAACGAGATTTTTGAGCAGACTACCTGTTTCCACTGCACAAATATGAGGAATAAATTACTAAAAGGACTTTATTTTGACTCAGGCCCTGTTGCTGTAAGCAATTAGAAGGCTGAGTGCTGGGCAATGTCAGACTGACCTTCAGGAAGAGCCCATTTGGGGTGGTGTTAAAGCCTTTTGTTCAGCACAGAGATGCACTTCAGATACTCAGCCAGTAATTAAAAACTGCATATTGCTTCAGTAGAAGATTCTTAGAACTTGTGACCAGCTGACCTTATCCAAAAATAGGTATTATTTGGATTATTTTGGAGGGTGTTGAGGCTGATGTAACACGGCTGGTGGCTTCACCTAGGTAGGGTTTGCCTGTTAAATTAGCTTTACCAGGAATGTGCTGTATAGAAGAGCTGCCATCTGCCTCATTGTCATCCTGTCCAGACATTATTTTGGCAGCTCCTGATCCCCTTAGTGCAGCAGTGGCTTGGCTGGGAGGGTCTCACAGGCAGCTGTCAGTCGTGACATCCTCCTCTGTCCCTTAGGCAGTGCAACAAATCTCAGAACAGATCTGAGCGTTTCTGAAGAAACACAAAAATAAACGCTGCCAGTCTTACTTACCAGGGTCTGTTTTGGCTTTTAATTCGTGTTCCCAGGTTCAAAACTCACGTGTTCAGTGATGCCCAGCACGGCTTTGATGTTCCCAAGTCCCTGGTTCTGAACAGCGCCGCCGTTCGCATTTTGCACACCCGTTACGACCACGTGTCCCCACTGTGGCTGCAGTGTCGAGGTCTGCCAGACCTGGAAGCCTTGGAGAGCAAAGAACTGGCTGAGCATCCAAAGGACAATGCAGAAGAACCAGGAGAGGAGGAAAAGAAAGCCAGAGAAGAACTCAGCGTGCCTGCTGAAGAAGAAACGTGCCCTGCTGGGAGAAAGGTGGGTAAAAACCCCTCGGCACAGGATTTTTCCAAAAGCAGTGGCTCTTGTTAACTTGAGACACAGTCACAGATTTTTACTGTCTCCTGGGCGTGAGAGTCAAATTCTTAGAGGTTTTATATAAAAAGGCAGCTTGTGTTAATACTGTCATAGATCTTCTCAAGGGAGTGGAAAGGTGGATGACCAAAGGCTGTCGCACAGAAGGTAGAGAGGAAGGTTTGGTGCAGTTGGCAAAGGTGGGTTGGCATTTGGTTGGTGGTTTTAAGAGTAGGATCAAACCATAGGGAACATCAGGTGCTGTTGTAGGATCGCAGAATATGCCAAGTTGGAAGGGACCCACAGGGATCATCGAGCCCATCCCCAAGGGTCACACCCTGTGCCTGACAGGGTCATCCAAAAGCTTCTTGAACTTCCGTCAGGCTTGGTGCTGTGGCCACTTCTCTGGATATTTCTGTGACTCAGAAATCCAATTTTAGGAAATTTTGCAACATGCAGAATAGGATTTAGAGTTCAGCAGGTGCTGGCTGTGCAGGTACTTACCTGACCCTTTGCTGTTAGAGGGCTTTTCAAATACTATTTCTGCTGCCTGTTCTCTTCTACGGCACTCTTCCATGTTAAATGTTGGCTTTAGGTATGATGGATGTTGCTTGGGTTTCTATTTCTTCCTCCTGGGTTTGGGTTTTTCACTTTGGGCATCATCTGCGGCCTGCAGATAAATGACTTGTGCCCTCTGTCTTAAATTTCTGCAGAAATAACTGTCAGACATCAGATTTTATGCCTTCTTAGTGTGTTTGGAACAATTTGATGGATTTCACAGAATATTCTGGGTTGGATGGGACCTACAAGGATCATCAAGTCCAGCTCATAAGTGAATGGCCCGTACAGGGATCAACCCCTATTCATGGTCTTGGGTTTTCTCCTTTTCAGTCCCCAGCACCTTTGTAGTGAATCAGTGCTTGAAATCCTACTATTCTTGGTTCCTTTTTTCTTTCTTTTCTCTTTTTTTTTGTGTATGACAAATCTTTTGACAGTTTTCACCCACATTTTTCTCAGCCTTTCTTTATCCTCCTTCCTTTTATTTCTTCTCTTTTTTTTTTTTTCTTTCCCAGGTCTTTTCTCTCAGTCCAGTTTTGTGAATTTTCCTCTTCCTTCTGGAGGCTTCACTTCTCTCACCTCCTGTCCTTGTTGAGGGGATGGGTGTTCTTCCCACTTGCTGGCAGACACTCACACAGGGCTCAGGAGGTGCCTGTGCTTCCAGAGGAGTCCACTACGATAGGGATGAGTCCGTATCTGGGTTGGGAATTTGGCTGGAAATCCAGGGTAATGTTTCTCAGCATCCTCCTGTCTGAGTTCTCCCACATTCCTGTGCTTAAACACACAGTGTGAGAAAGGGGATAAATATGATGGGCTAAAAGTGCAGGTGGGGGTTCTGGCAGGGTTTCAGGAGGGCTTTGGACTCAGCCTTGGTTTTCATTCTCTTTGTGACACCCTGGCAGCTGTAAAGTCAGCATAAACATAATTTTGGAGTGCCACGCACTGCTAGAAAGGTGTCAAGTGCTTGTATTGGTACTTGAGGAGCTCAAGAGGGAATTTGCTGTGGAAATGAAGTAATTACTTTATCTCTATTTAAATGTCCAGTGCCAGATTGGAGAGTACCTTTAATCAAAACTATTTCTGCTAGCTGGGTAGCAATAATTTCTCTGAAAATCTTGACCCTGAAGCAAGATTGGTACAAATCTTGCTGGAGGGGTTGTACCCTGTATCCTTGGGCCTCCTTGAAGGAGGTGATATCCTCTTCTTTATTGCTATCTAATGGAAAAATGTCGTTTTCCTTTTATATAGAAGAGTGTTGTCTCATTGAAAGAAACCAGCAATAACACAGAGGATGTAAATGAGACAGAGGAGGAAACCGAGAAGAAATCAGAAAACTTGGACAGATCATCACAAGGTATTTGGTTTGGTTTTATCTGCAGCATCACAAAAGTACTTATGCTAAGTGTTTTATATATTAGGAAGAAATTGTTTACTGTGACAGTGGTGAGGCCCTGGCACGGGTTTCCCAGGGATGCCCCATCCCTGGAAGTGTCCAAGGCCAGGTTGGATGGGGCTCTGAGCAACCTGGGCTAGTGGAAGGTGTCCCTGCCCATGGCAGGGGATGAAATGAGATGATTTTTAAGGTTCCTTCCAACCCCACCCAACCCAAATTCTTTGATATATGGAAACACTGCAATATGGATCTCTGTGTGAATGGAGCAAAGCTTATAAATGTATTGATGTTTTGATAACACCTGAGGTCTGTTGACATTTCTATTAATGATTGTTAAATGCAGAGAGATAACAGGACAGGTAGGAAAATGGAGTTTGCCCCCATACTTATTTTCATTTATTTGTTATTTATATTTATGTACATGTTTATCAAGTTTATGTAGATATATGTGTTATTATATATATGTTTATGGGTGAGACATACAATGTGCATGAATCTACCAGGCTGTCTGGTGAGATTGACTTTCTCAGGAAAAAAAAAAAGATTCAAATGGATATAATGGATATAATGGTAGGCATTTGAGCAGCGTGGAGTGTTACTGAGTGTTGCTTAAGTGTGTGCTTAAAAAGCAGATTTGTGCTGATACACTTCCTTAAAACAGGGCCTAATTCTAGGACAAAAAACAGTTTAAGTTACAAATTTCTTCTGGCTTGTGGTGTCATCCTTTGGTTTAATAAGTAAGTGAGTTTTCTTGTAGTACTGACTGAAATAAAAGAACTGCAAACTATTAGTGTAATTTAGCTCAACTTTACAGACTTTTCCTTGTTTGAAAAAACCAAACCCCACGCCACAACGTTTTCTGCTGAGCACAGTCTAAAGAACCAGTTGCCTGACTGGACCCTAAAGACCACCTAAGCGAGGTTTTCCAGAGAATATAAAGGATTTGGGCTTCATTTGGAGGAATTTGCTGTGTTGTTTCCATAAGGCTTTGAACATCCCTGCTTTTCAGGATAGAGTGGAAAGGATACTCAGTTATCACAGACTCTGAAAACAGGGAGCCACGTAAACAAGGGTTAAAAAAAACCAGGAATGCAACAACAGGGGAAAGAGGGAGAACTGCAGTTCTCTGGATTTAACCATTCTTAGGAAGTTAAACTAAACATGAGACAATGAATAGTTATATTTCTGTATTATTATCTTTAAAAAGCGAGTTAAAGTGCAAACTACCACTGGGGCCGGTAGTAAAATGGTTTTTTACCTCCTGTGAATGTTTTGCTCAGAAAAACTGCAAAAGGACGTTATGGTGGTGTGTGAATACAGCAGAATAAAACCTCTCCATAATGCAACTAAATCTGACATAAAAATTAATGCTGTTTTCACTTGTTTTTTTTTTTTTAAAAGCTTGAAGACATTTTATATAGATAGTTGTCACTTTTTTTGATATGATCTCACTCTCTCAAGGCAAATTTCATAACACTTACAGTAGCTGTTTTTATACAGTATTGAACACTTTTTTTCTTGATCCCTGTCAGCAGTAACTTCTCTCTCCTCCTGTGGCATCCCACGTGATGTTTTATGTGGGCTTGTTTGTTGGTTTTGGTTTTTTTTGTTTTGTTTTGGTTTTTTTTGAAGAAAATACTTCGAGCCATTTTTGTCCATGACATTGATACCTTTTAATAACATTTTCCAATGAATTAAGCCTTCAATTCAAACATGTATGTAATATATAGGTAATTATGCATAGAAAAATATGACTGTTATCTGAAAATTGTGTTTCATGGTAAATCCCTCTTGCTGTTCATAATTATCACGTCTTTCGGGTCTTCATTTTTATTTATTTTTAAATATTGGTTGTGAAATGAGAGTTTTGAGGTCACTCAAAAATCACCAGTAAAGGTGAAATTTTTTTATTTTTTGCCTGATTTCTTTTCATATCAATTCAATCTTACTAAACGTGTCCAGAATCCACTGGGAAATTCTTCTGGGTTTAATGACTTAGACTTGTTTGTTTGATCAGTAAAATCCTTATATAGAGCATTTTGAACTGGCCACGGATTCAGGGCAGAGAGTAATCTGTTAAAAAAGCTCAGTTCCAAGACCAGAAGTGATTTTATTTCCCCTGTATTTCATTTATTTACTAAAAGCTCTGTGGAACACCAGCAGGTGGGGCTGACACGCTGCAGAGTGTGAAGCGCTCCAAGCGACGAGCAAATAGAGGTGGGAAATTTCAGCATCTCAGTTTGATGAGCACCGTGTTATTTTTTTTTGTTTTTTTAAGAAGGGGACCCACTGGTTCAGGAAGAACCAGGAGACAAAGAAGAGGCGGCAGCAGCTGCAGAGTGGGTGGATTTGCAGCGGTTCGTGCCGTTGGGTGGTGTGTTCCACATCGATGCCCTGCGGCTCCCGCCTCAGGTGGTGGAAGTCAATGACTGGACCATGGTGGAGGTGAGTGAGAGAAGGGATTACACCCTCTGAAGGTCTCTTCTCTGTCATCCCTAGAAAGCTGTCCCTGATTATTTTTTCGAATTATTATTTAGCAAATAATTTTCCAGTTACACTTGGCCAACTTTCACTGTGTGCTCAGTCAGCACGGCCAGCACAGATCCACCTGCTGGAAAAGGCTCTGGGCCAAGGTAAAAGCAAACAGAGAAGTCCTTAGTTTTTCCATATGGGACAGGTAAGACCTAAAAGCAGGCTGGAAGCAAAATTACTGCCAGTTCAGTGCCAGGCTCTGCAGGATAAATGAGGATTGTAGTAACTGTGTTCTAGTTTCCCACTGCTGGAGCCTGGTGCAGTGCTGCTAACATCAGAGTGCTCTTGGGTTTTTTAGACTGGATCTGTTGAAAAAAGGACTGTGCTCACTGTGTGGCACTGCCTTAAAGGGACTTTTACAAGGAAAAAAAAAAATAAGGCTGCTGTATTTTCTAATAAAAATATCATGTGTCCTTTTGCCATCTTGCCAAAGTTAGTTGATGCTGGATTGGAGGTGTATCCCTATTCCCCCGAGGAGGCTGAGGATGCCACAGAATCAATAATCCAAATAACCCTCAGGCTGCCTGACAATGTGGTGTATTTTGACAGTCCTGTGGTTGCCCGATGGGATCCTGAAGGTAGGAACTTAGAACACAGATTTATTTCAAGAAGTTTGAATAATGAAATTTATACCTGAGTTTTACTGTTGTCAATTCAGAGCCCAGAAATAATTTGGGCACTTCAGTGTTAATTGATCTGGGGACGTCAGTGTTACTTTATTTGGTTTGTTTTGGTTTTTTTAATTCTGTTTTGCTTCTGCAGCATATCTGATAATGCATTGCTTTGTTGGGGCTTTTTACTGTAGCTTTTTAATATAAAAGGAAAAAAATACACAGCATTTAATGGGCCTACCATAAATCAAGTTCTATTGAGGTGAAGTCCTCGTTAAGCCAAACTAGCTCCTACCTCCATGTATTAATATCGTTACAATATGAAATGTATACATTAAAAAAACAACTGTGATAGCCTAGTTATTAGATAAATACAATGTCCCTCTGGCTTTACATTCATGAGAGAGAGAGTAGAACCTATTAAAATATTTAGATGTTTAAAATTACTCTTCAAAATTATCTTTTGGGCTGCTGTTTAACGGGTAAGAAATGACAGTTACTTTAGGGTTAGATTTTCTTTTCTATTGAATTTGAGAAGCTTTCCTGTCAAAATTAGCCCAGTCTTGTACTTAAAGACAATTAAAAGGAGGGGAGTTTTTGCCTTAAAATAATTATCTTCATTTTGTGCCTGATATTTTAACTGTGAGTGAATATTAGTGAACCTGGGGTGTCTTTACCAGTTCCTCCCCAGCACATACCACCAGCAGAAGCTTCCCATGTCCATCCTTGTATTTTTACATCCTTTTTGTACAGCCCAGCAGTGGAGAACTGATGGCATCAGCAAGCTAAAGTATGAAGCACAAGAAAAGAGCATCACCTTTCAGATGGGTGGCTTTTATACAGTAGCACTTCTCCAGGATGCTCATCTCAACATGCCATATAAAGCATGGGAATTACAACCTACTGGGGTGGATGAAGCTCTCCTGGTAGTTACTACCTGCTTGGCAACAATTCAGATACAAATTAAGGTAATGTAAATAAATTTTTAAAAATCAAACATTGGTAGATTAAAAAAAAAAAAGAAAAAAAGGCAAACCATAATTATTATAAAGTGTCCTTTACTAAGAATTTCAGATGCTTCCACAAGGCCAAGTTGAATCTCTCTCTCTGCCAGTGAAAAGGAGGGAGGATCCTTTCCAAGCACTGTCCTAGTTATTTAAATTTCAGTTATTTTCTATGAGCTGGTCAGAAGGAAAAATATGTATGATTGCTCTGCAAAGTTCTAGTAAATGGTTTGTTGTGGAGAAAACACAAGACTTTCAGCAGCTAGAGACTTGAAAATCATTCCTTTTTTTCTCCCAGCTATATCCAAAGAAGGAAAGGCATTTTAAACAGTCTATTAATTCTACTTGTTCCTTCGGAAGGTTCAAGTTCCATGCCCTGTCAACTGTTTTCCCTGCTTTGCACAACAGGGTAATCAGTGTATGTTGTCTTCAGTAGTGGTGGAGGAGGAGGATGTGCTTTCCAACATCTCAGGAAAATGGATGAGTCCCCTTGCCCTCCGAGCAGCTCTGAGAAGAGCTGGTGTGAACATTTTCCCAGGGGACTGTTCCCACACCTATGTCCCTGTGACCAGGAAGGTGAGTGCAACAGTGAAGGCCTTTCCTGTTGGTTTTTATCACCCCCTTTTTTTTTTTACTTTCTTTTCACCCTTTCTTGCAGGAAGACCTGCAGTCCAGAACACATGTGTGTTCTGCCAGCTGAGCCAGGGGGTTCTGGGTGGAGCAAGATTTTCCTTACATTTGTATAACACAGCCAGTCCCTTCCCCTGAGATAAAAAAAAAAAAAAAACAAAACCACCTTGTATTTTTGCATTCCAGGCTGCCCTGGCAGAAGTTAAGGCCTGTCAACAGCTGGCTCTGGTGGCATCTGCATTTGCTTTTGCATCGAGCAGGTGGAACAGAGCAGCAGGTCCAGAGCACGTGGTGTTCAAGGTTTGTGGATTTAGTCTGATTTCATCTACTCCCTGCTGCAAAGGAGGGAATAAGCAACTTAGGTGCTGATTTGTTTCCACCTGTAAACTAAAACATGGTTAAAGCTTCTCCCTGACAGACAGATACTCCCCAGTTGTGGCTGTAGGTAGAGAACACACCACACTGATGAAACCTTGAGCAAGTTAAATGCACAACACACAAATATTTAGCCCAGTACTTGGTCTCAGGAGTAAAAACTAAAATAAATTCTGCCTGTTGCACCTAGCTAGGCTAGGAGTCAGGAACAGCAGCTGGAGTGCCCAAACCTTGGAGTTTGGAGGCAAACTAGACAGGAGATTTCAGTGTTGATAGAGCACCTGGTACACAGTGGGCTCTTAGGCACAGAGAGCTGGTATTAATATTGCTTTAGAGGGGTTGTTTCTGTATTATACTCACAAGAATTTAGAATTTCACACCAGAATTTATCCTCTGTCAGTGGCACAGGCTTCCTCTTACAGCGCATTTTTTTTTCTTGCAATAGGTAAGGGAGCATCTTGAAGCAGATTCTGTCCAAGACAACAACTGGTCTCTTTACATGTTTAACGGCCAGAAAGCACAGAAGCTCAAAATCACGGAAACCAGTGAAGCTTTTTCAGAAGAGATAGAAGAAGATTCTAAACTTCACTCCACACTCTACCATCTGCTTAAGGATGTTGCCAGCAAAGCAGCAATGGACAAAGTGGAAGGAGCCAGCTGCCTGTTCGTTGATGTTGTGTATCAGCTACTCCTTGCTACAAGGGTTTTAACATACTCTTAAATACTGTACGTTTTCTTTTAAAACTTTATTATCAAAAGTTCTCAGTAAAGTTACATTTCAAGTCTAGAACCCTGTTCTGTTCAAATCATTGAAACAGCTCCGATGACTAAAATGCAAACAATTTTCCCTTTGTTCAGGCAACGTAAGTTCTTTATTCTCTTGTGGCCAGGACCACTTAGTCGTATTTATTGTTAGCTGCTTTCAAATTGTAAACCTGAACAGAACTGAGACCCTCTTAGCTACTGGTAAAGATGACTTTTGTCAGAATAGGGGAGGGGGAATATATATATATATACACATTTTCATTTCAAGTCATGCTCTAGAGGAAAAAAAAAAAAAAAATCTCCCCAAAAAATACCCACAACCCAACAAAACAAATCCAAACGTGTAACCTTAAATAAACTATCTCAGCTTCTTGGAAAGTAACTGGGAAGCACAGCTGCAAGAAGTCAGAACCTCGGTTATACCGGGGGAGGCCCGTTGTGTTGGAGCCTCGTGTAGGGCCACAGCAGCTGCTGCAGTGACGTCCAGGAGTCCCCAGTTCCTACAGGTGCTGCATCTGCAGGTCTCTGGAGGGACAGCCCTGTGAGGAAGCTCGTGAGGGCAGCCAGGAGCACCAGGATGGAGACGGAGACCCAGAGGGTTTTGTTGGCGTTGGAAAAGGAAGCCTTGAGGTGGGACGCCCACGATGACATCAGGTTGCACCTGTGCAGGAGAGTAAGGCAGGGAATGGTTTTCCCTCACAGCTCGGAAGCTCTTCCCACCCCACCTCAAAAAAAAAAACCCTCAATCAGATCCCACAAACAGAGATCTTTATCAAAAGTGACAAGGTTGGTACTGTAGGTTGTGTTCTGGGTTTAAAATGCAGTCCTTGGGAAAGCAAGTTTTAGGTGGCTCACCCAGATAACAAGTCCACCCCTGTCCCCTGGACCACACACTATTTCTGAAGAGGATTCACAAAAGCTGCCTTGCAAGATCATCAAGAAATCTTGCTAAAAGTTCTGGCCTTCTGTTGTTTTCTATGGCTCTGGTGCCTTCCCTGAGATTAGGAGAAAAGTCTTACCCTCCCTGACTATCCAAATCCTCATGACATTGGGTACCTCCATCCTTTATGGAACAACTGAAAATAATATATTTTTGTCCTTGCTGTCTTGGTTTCACACACTGGCATAATTGTCTTGTCTCTCCCTCGATCAGGAATGCCTCCAGGGGAGGTTTAACATTCCGTGTTCATATGGAATAAATGGTTTTATTCTCCCCTGCAGAGGCAACAAGCCCCCTTTTCTGTAGGGCAGGGGTTTCCCAGGGATACATGGACAGCATTAACTGGAATATTCTGGAGTTAGTCTGGGTAACTGCTTGTGCCATCCTTAGTCATTTTTACAAGATTACACGCTAGCATGACCAAGTAGCTGAGCTGCAACAGCTCCCACAGAGTAACCAAAAGAGGTCAGATTACTGCATGAGGCTTCTCTTTCCCTCAGCATTGAGGCTTAGGAACGAATTCCTGGAGGGGTGAGTCTCTGGCAGCCAAGGTAACTTCCTCACAGTTGGTTTAAGTGAGTGTTAACAACCCAACCACCGCTCCAGCTTTGCTTCCCTTTTCCACACAAACAATACTTTAACTCATGAAAAAAAAAAAACCAACAAAAAAACAACTTACACTGACTCCAGGGTCCATTTTGATGAATATTTTCCTTTCTCAGAGACACTTTCCTTCCTGGTGGGTTGTTCCTGTGCTTCAGCAGGAGACTCTGACTGCTCATTTCTGTAGGCAAGAACCAACAGCTCCAGAGTTTTGCCACCAAGCTAAATTCACAACAGCTGGATTTTATAGCCCTGATCATCAAAAACAAACCAATCCACCCTGCTCACAAATCCCTGAGGAGGCTGCTGTTGGACTTACTTCGTTGCAAAGTGCTCCTCTTCGTACTCTGCCCAGGAGTAGGTGCTGAGGAACCGCTGCAGCGAAGGACGCTTTCGTTTTGCTTCGCCCCAAGTTTCCCCCTGGCACATTTTAAACAAATTTGCCTTGAATTTCCCCAGGAAATAGCAGGAAATTAGAAACTTAGCAACCTGCTACTCACTGAGGTAGGCCTTAGACAAATAACTTTCAAAATTAGTAGCCTGAAATTATGATTATTGGGGAAAAAAAACACAAACCAAAAACAAACCCAAACAAACAAAACCAAACAAAACCCAGATCCATCAATGGCTGATACTTACAGTTTACATTTTAGATGTTTGTTGTGTTTTGGTTTTTTTAAGTTTCCAATGTTTAATAAAAAAATAGATAAAATAAAAGAGAGCAGCTGTAACATTTAGTCCTGAAGGCTCATCTACCTGTTGCTGCACCTAAAACTAATGTGAAAGGCATAGTATAAACACTGTTATACCTCGAGAAGCCCCATAAGCTACAGGCACAGTTGAGAGATGAAAAAAAAAATTAAATTTCACCCTTTACAAAGACAGGCCCAAAGGAATTTACCAACTGCTTGATCTCCTGTTGAACCTCTCACTCCGCTCATCTCCGTCGGGGTCGTGGAGTTGGGCCTGGAGAAGAAATTTGGCCCATTGACTGCACTGTCATTGTCAAGCTTCAGCCCAGCCAGTTTTGAGAAGATCAAGCACCTCCTCATCCCTTTGGGAATCCTCTACTTACCAGTGGCAACCCAATCCCTGCATTCCCAGCGCTCCTGGGCACTGTTGCAATGCTAACTCTCCTCAGGGCTGACGATGGCTACACAAATAAGAGGCATTACTGGCTCTTATCAAGGAACCATTGGATTACTCACTGAGCACATAAAACACCATCTGTTTTTATACAGACTGTATTAATAAAATAGGTGTTGATACTTGGCGTGAAGTGACACACACAGAACCAAATCACAAGTGCAGGCAAAGTCATTCTTTAAAACATCATTAAGTTTTTAGCACCTGACTGGGGCTGCTTACTCAGCTCCCAGCAAAACAGCAAAACTGAACGTGCCTGAATTCCCCTAATGCTGCTCACAAGAATTCCTATACTGAATTTGAATCGCTCCCATCTAATTTTTTTTCATATTTTCTGTGCTAAACCCTTTTTTAACCCAAATAGGAGAACCATACGTGAACAGTATTTCTCAACCACTGAGATGCCTGACCATTTCATCTTCTATGTGGGACTTAGAAGGTTGGTGGGGTGTCTGAAAAGTAGATCCTCATGTCTGATGACATCAGCCCATATTTGTGACAGAAAAGCAGCAAGCCAAGCGTGTAGCAGAGCACCAGCACATGACAAAGCAAAGGAAGACACACGTGCACAACACTGAAAAACTTGGCATTTCATGTAAGGCTGTACCTTAAAGTTAAAAGGACTCGGTAGCTTTTTATTTGTAGATTCATCTGTGAAGAGATCAAACATCAGAACAGGCTAACAGGAACACAGTTTGAGCTCTATTTTCAGCTGAAGGTCTGACTTTTTGCAGTGTTTCTTTAGGCAAAGAGTGTATGAGAGCACTCTTAGAAAACAAAAATGAGATCTCAGGAAAAAAGCTTTCTAATTCATTAAATAAGTTCTTAATATCCACACATTGCACATCCTCTGGATGCGTCAATATCTGTCACTATCATCAAATATATTCTATTAGCAAGGCAGTGTCCTGTTACAGGACTTTTACAGTCAGAAAAGAATATCCTGTGATTCAGAAGGCTCCTGCCAGGATTTTACTGGTGTGTGAGAGACTGCCCTTTTGGTTTTTAAAAAGACACATTCTATTTCTCAGAATTTAAAACTTCTCTTAATACTGCTTAATACTGGCAAATCCACAAGTGCACAGCACCATGTGAAAACCTGACTGCTGTGCCACCTGCTCAGAGAGGGAAATTCAGGCCCCTTGCTCTTAAGGAGCCTGTAATTCATGTTTGGAAAAGGGCAGGAAGCATCTGTAGAGAGCAGCCAAAGCTCAGCTGCCTAGAAATAGCTCCTGCAAGTGCTCCAGTGTGAACCAGCACCCAAATTTACTGCTCACAGGGAAGAAGATTATCACCAACACATGCAGTGCACTTTTCTGAAAGCCAGAACGTTCCTGTGTGCTTGCAGTGGTCCCACACACAAACTCCAAGATCCATCACAGTTTACAAGCCTGATCTCAGGGAGTTGTTTTTAATACCACTAATAAATTGCTATTTCCCCTTCATCTAAGCTTTACCTTTAAGGGTCTCTCTGGCAGGTGCTAGAAAGGGTTTTTTTTTTTTTCTAGTTACCTCTGTCTCCCAGGGAGCTGAAGGATCTCTCGTTCTGGAGCAGGACCTGTTTCAGCTCCTCGAGTTCCGCGTGTTCTTTCGCGTACATGCGCTTCAGGTTTTCCACGTGCTGGATCATTACTTCCACAGCCTTGCTGACCCGGCTCTCCTAACAGGGCAAGGGCAGGAGGAAAAGGAAACAGCTCTGAGGAAGGGCATCATGTTTGGAAATTTCCCTCCTTCAGCATCTGCTCTCGCCCTGTATCACCACAAAGCAGCATCCTCCCGTTTTGGTCCACCCTTTCAAAGTTTCACTACAACCCGTGTCCCAGCACATGCCCAGGTTTCATTTCTCCACTGATTCCTTTTATCCTGAAATAAATAATGAAGTCTTCAGTTTTCCCAAGCTCTTACAACTCCTCCTCATCTCTTTTCTCTGATCCACAGCCTCAAGCTGCCACCACGCATTTGCTGGTATTGCCAAGTTGTGTTTTCGTGCTGCTCCCGTGGCATTATTCACAATTACACCCAGCATTTCAGCAGGTCTTTTGCACGTTTCCCTACATTTAGCTCATTAGCTGCCCTTTCCATAAGGCACAGAAACATCATTAGAGCTTCAAGGCTATCTTTGACAATTTTTTGGTTTTGTTTCTCTATTAAATCAGGACCTTATTTCTTTTTGCAGTTACACTCTACATGCATCAGATTCCCAAATCCACTTCTGGATCCAGAAGCCCAGCAAGCAGATGTGACCACTCCTTTACATCTAGAAGCTTTTAAACTTTGTACAAAGTACTTCTACACAGAAATGGTTACCTGATTAATGGCTCCCAGCATCTCTGCTCTGCTGGCCACTCGGGCTGCGTACTGGCTGAGGAACTGCAAGCTTTTCTGCAGCTTCTTAATGATCTCCTGTGCTTGGTTGTCTTCTTCACACAGAGGAACTAAAGCCTGAGAGGCACATTGGTAAGAAAATAGGTGTGAGTTCTCAACAGAGAAGGAAGGGTGAACCCATCTGAGGGCTCTGTTTGGGCCCACACAGCCACAAGATCAGCATCCAACATCCTCAGTTGGTGTAATTTGGACACAGAACTCCAGAGGGCAGAGCCTTCAGCCTATCAAGCATAAAAGCAGCTGAAGACAGGGGTTCAGGTCAGATGTTTGTGCTACAGAAAAATTCCCTGTTGCCTGACTGATCACACAAACCACTCAGGTGAAGGTTACCCCTCATAATCTCTCATATTTCAATGGCACTGCTCAAAAACTTCATTCAGACTGGCCTATAATATATCACACACCCCCTTAAAAGAGCTGGTTTAAGAGAGGCACTTCCACAGCTGTTCAGCCCATCCACCCTCCCAGCCTTGGCCAACACCAACCTCCAGCATCTTCACAGCATTTGTGATCTCCTTTTTCAAGTTTTCTTCAGCCAAGTCTCGGGACCTTTCTTCGAGCCTCACCCTCTTGTCCAAGGTAAACAAGTCACATTTAAAACCTAAAGACAACCTCAGAAACTCAGCCTGTTGGGTGGAGAGGAGAAGATTTCAGAATAATCCAAGTGATGCAGAAGTTTTTTTTAAGTAGACTTGGACACTGCCATGACATTTGGGACTGTATCCCAAGAAGAAAGTTATAGAAGAGGTACAGAAGGGTAAGTGAACATGGTCTGCTTCCCCAAAGCAAGTCTTCCCATCTGTAGTGATGGGGAGAACGTTCTGCAGCCAGAATAGGTGACATCCTGGCAGCACAGGGTGTGCCATCTGTGCCTTTTGACATAACTCTCTAAAATCAGCACATTCTGCTTGGGAGGAGGTCACAGCTACGCTCTTTAAGCTTGCAAACAAATGTTACAGTGGTGACTATGTTCAGTTTTATGGATTTCCACCTTTTTCCCATCCCTTGCAAAATTTCCATTAGGCTTGAAAAGGCAGATTTCAGAAGCTAACGTGTAGAAATGCACATCCAATTTAAGCTACTCAGCATCATTCTTTTACTTAGGACAAGATATTAATCGGGGCTGATCTACAAGACCTTTCTCTTGCACACAATACTTAAGGATACAAGCAGTTGAGACTTACCTCCACTTCCTTCTCACTAGGGGATTCACTGTAGGATAAGAAGAAGAATCATGTGTCACACTGCAGCTTTAAATTCATACCTGCAGCTGATCACTCAGAGTCAAAACACTTACAGCTCGTTTTGCTTCGTTTTATCTCCTTTAATGCCACCTGCAGCGGGTGAACTCCCTGACAAGAGACAAAAAAAAAAAAAAAAATCCAAAAATCTTTCAGACAAAAGTTGAGAAACGACCTCCCCAAACCAGCCTGTGAAAGTCTTTTGAGTTTCAACACAAGCCACTGAGAAATATTTCCAGTGTTCAGCTCTTGTCAACGAAAGCAACCTCAGGGTATTTTGGGTGTGAGACAGCCCAGCTCTGCCACTTGTACCAAGCCCCAAAAGTTACTTGTTTAGATGGCTTCAACTGGCACCTTATTAGCACAGGAGTGGTTAATTACATGTTCTGGCTTCAGGATTTTACATGACATACAAAATCAGTAGCTTTTAGTGGGCTCCAAAGGCAAGAGGTGGGGGGACAAGAAGAGTGGAGATGTCTAAATAAAAACAACATCCTGCTTGTCTATATTGTACATAGCACAGAGTTGCTGCTTTACAAATATTTGGGGAGAGCAGCTGTGCCAGAAGTGTTTTGAACATCCCAACTCCTTTGCAGCTCCTAAGAATTTTTCCCTGCTGTCTAGAGGAACACAGAGCTCGTTGGACCAGTATCTGCAGAAATCAGATTCTGCATGACACCACTGTCCTTCTCTCCATTACTAACCCATTTTGATCTCTAACTGCAGTTACTACTCCTTAAAACAAAACCCCCTTGTAACATTTGGTGGGACAGGCAGCTCCCTGCCCCTCTCTGCACAGCTCAGGTGACCAAGACTTGTGCTCCAGTGGGTGACGTGAGCGTGTTCAGCAAAAACCTCTTACCTTTCCTACTGGGAGCCACAGTTGGTGCTTCCTCACCCTGCTCTTTGTTATTTTTCTTATCCTGGTCCACCTCCTAAAGGCACAGCAGAATAATTACAGCAAGGGATCAGCCACAGCACCACTGGAGGAGGTCTGTCCCCTCCTTTGTCACGGCTCAGCTGCCAAACAGGACTCTTACCGGGTCTTGCTTTAAAACATTTTGAGGTGCAGGTTTGTGCTCCTCTGGCACGGGGCAGAATTCCTTCTTGAGGGGTCCTGTGGAGAAACATTCCCAAAAAATCAAACATAACGAATGAACGAATACAATAAAATCCCACCAAGCTGCCAACACCCACCATATGAGCCACGGGCTAACAGGGCTAAAAGAAACCACAGCAAATGCCAGGAGAGGTCACTAAGGAGGAGAGGAGAGGCAGCAGCAAAAAAAAAAAAAAAGTTAGAAAGACATACAGGAAAAAGTGTGATAATTATGTCTGGCTTGGAAAAAAATCCCAATAAGTAGTATTGTATGTCTAGAGCTGAGAACATTGCTCCTGGTTGTACTTGCTGTAGTTGAAGTTGCAAGGGTTATAATAATATTTCCCTGGATAAATGAATTTCATTATATTTCTACAAGCATGGAATTGTGGGTTTTGGTTTTTATTGGGGGGGTTGTTTTTGCATTTTAAAGAGACAGCTTATAGTTACTTTTTATTTTGAATTCTATAAGCATACAAGTATTTTTTTTTTTAAAGTCCCATGCACAAAGCAACAGGACAATTTATGAGTGTGTGTATATATATATATATATATACACACCTCTGAACATGATCTGCCCTTTGTACCCAAAAAGTGAACCAGCAGGGTTCTGACAGAGCCAACAAAATAACACTTTTTCCCAGAAGCTGAGTGGTAACAAACTGGTAAATTCAGGAACTGATGATGCCAGTTCAAAAGCAACACAAACTTTCAAGTGCCACGGTTTAGGAAGGCTTTAAAAGCAGGCAAAAATAACCTTGAGGAAAACAGTTACTAGAGATATGTAAAAACAAAAGTATTTAGCAAACTGAAGAAAGTCAGAGAGTCACACTGATTTCTTGTGTAGCAGCACCTCTGGTAGCTTTAAGAATATCTAGAATTCTTTTTTTTCTTTTCTGTTTGTTTAGTCACACACACAGACAGATTTGAGCTGAAGAAATGGTACAGGGAAAAAACAAAACCAAAACCAAAAAAGAAACAAACTAAAAAAAAAAAAAAAAAAAGAAAAAAACTAACAACTAACAAAAAAAAAAGGAGGAAAAAAAAAAACCAACAACAAACAAAACTCCAGTTTCAGGGGTATGAACATGAACAAACACCTCTGCTCAGTATTCTGTCCCTACTGGTTTCTGCAGCAGCCAAGCCCTCTAGAAGACATTGTATGGTGTTAGCAAAGCCCACAAGTGGAGATTCCTCAGTACTAATACTAGAAACACTTTATTTTCAGATATGTACAACACTCAGATGGATTCTCAGACTTTAAAGCTACTGGGACTCTTTTCTGATCTGTTCTGCATATCTGTTTCCTCTCTGCCAAAGGCACCTGGGCCACATATGAAAATTAACAGTAGAGGCAAATTAGTAAAAAGAAAACACTTTTAAGTGAGGGGACTGAATTAGAGTTCAGGAAGACAGCAATAAAGAAAGAAACAAAACCAAACAGGAAGACAAAGTCTTATATTTAGGTAAAGATTAAAAAAGGGTTACAAACAAGCACATACAGGTATTTTGTGCTGCTTATTCAGATCAACTTTTATAAAAATAGCTTAAATACACTGTGTACACCTGCCCCAGTTTTTGTTTGTTTTTGTAGCTTTTAAGTGGAAGAGGCACCACCAGAAGTGGTAAGAATAATTCTTCTGGGTGTCTGTGGCTATAGCAAAAGACAGAATCATACTGAAAGGCCTCTATCCTCATCTCTCCTCTTGATCCAGCCCAGCTTCTTGTGCACTGAGCAACAGTCTTGTAAGAGAGGAAAGTGTTATTAGGTCTAATGGTGGCACTAAACTCTCTAAACCCACAAAAACACTCTCTCTCTCCGCTCCCAAAAATTACCTGGGGTTTAGCACCCCTGCATGCTTTGCCAGCTGAGCAAGCCTCAAGATGTCACTAAGCTGTTTCACGTTTACCTGCAGTGCTGTAGCCTACCAGCCTCCTGGAACTACGAGAAGCCTCATTCCCAACTCGGAGTTCCAGGGAGGGCTGAGAGGCACCTGGGGGCGAAAACACTCGCAAAAAAACCCCAGAACTTCTCAAGTTGTTGTTCTTACTCAGCTTCCTCAGTTCAAAAGGTGTGCTGGAAAGCAAGCCACAGGCTGAGTGCCAGGGTGGTGCAGCAGTTACTGTACCTGACACAGGACCAGCTGCGTCCTTGCCGCTGTTTTTCTCCGTGCCTGCGGAAGTCGGCACATCTTCCTCTCCCTCACGTAAGCCCTTGGGTGATTTTTCCTCCATAACAAGGCAGCCTACGGCACCAGGCAGAAGACACAGCCCTTACAGCTCAGTGAATGCACAGACCTCAGCACATCCAAGACTTCCAGTGCAAAAACACTTGGCACCTCTGAGCCCCAGGCGAAGGACTTACCCCCCGTCACTGGTGCCGCGCCTTCCACAGAGGACGCAAGAACTTCTTGGGTTGAAGCAAAGTGATCGCTGCCAAAGCAAAAAAACTCTTTCAGATGCTCGTGCACATTGTACACCCTCCATAAAGGCTTTTAAGTTTTGCACAAGAGCTGACCTGGATGGGATCAGACTGGCTGGTAGCGTTGAGTCCGCACGGTCAAGCTTCAGGGGGAGAGAGAAGAGTTAAGTGTCAGGGAGAGGGTTGCCATGCCAGTATCAAATCTCTGTGTCAAAGCTTCAATAACTTCCCCAGCTGGGCCTAAATTATTTCAGCAGTGAAGAACTAGATGGGAAATGCCCACAGATTCACTCTCTGTTCTAAAGCCACCAGTAGATACAGTGAGTAGAGTTTATCACATTATTGTTACTAGGAGAGATCACTACGTTTCCTCAGAACTCTTATCTCAGGGATATCATACTTAGAGATTGTATTTTGGTTCCTGACTTCATGGTTTGCTTCTAATGCACGTTTTCTAATTACCAGGGCACCACTGTTCCATCTTAATGCTGTGTATCAAGAGATAACCCTTTTGAAGGCCTTGACCTCAAACCCTACGAGTGAGGTGCACTGAGCTTCACTTGGCTCTAGGTACCAGACTCATCTAGGTAAATAAAAGTGTTAACAGTAACAGCATGACCAAGCAGATGGTTCAGAACACAGAAAACCTGCACGTTGTGTTGTACATTTTAGTGCCTTTCTTTGAATGGTTCCAGTTTTACAATATTAGATATAAATAAAAATCCTCCAGCCCCTTCAGAGGGCCCTGGGCTTCCTCCTTGGTGTGCAAACAGCAAAAAGGAATGAAGCAGTTAAATGTGGGTACATGTTTTTTCCTCATGTTCCTTTAAGCTGCTCCAGTGTGGTTCTGGACCCGAGTCTTATCACATCACAGACAAAACCAATATCCTGTTTGGTCTTTTAATGTACCAAGGGAGGCACTGCAGGGGTACTATCCCTCTTCCTCATTTTATCCTGGATAATTCCAGCTGGCTTATTCGTATTGTTAAATTGATTTGTCTTTACAGATCAAAATACAGGGTGAAAGTGAGGTTTAAAGGTTTGAGTTGGTAATGAGTTGTGATGAACTGCTCCCACTGTGGAAGAGAGATGTTGAATAGATTTCAAAAAGAAAAACAAACCAACCTCAAACCTCTCTCCAAGCAGAGAAGGTGTGAGGTCAGGCCAGCTCCCTGTACAGCAAGTCCAAGAGCACTATTGACTGGGTGTAGGGAGCCAATAGAAAAACCATGTTTTGGTATCATTCCTCCCCTTAAAACATCCTAATAGGACCCAAGAACACCCAGCAAAGTAGAGCAGGAGGAGTCCAAGCCCCCTGGTCACCTCTGAGAGCAACCAACTACTCCTAGCACCACTAAGAGCCTTCTCTTCCCTCCTCACTCCCCCACGATCACAGCCTTGCCCCAGCCAGATGGATCCTTCCTCTAATGCAAATTCAGGCTATTTTTATTATTATTTGAATGCTCTCTCAGAGCTTAAGGAAGTGCAGCACTGCTTTTGCTTTGCTCAGGCCGTTGGGTCTACGGCAGTGCCGGGGAAGGAGGAGGTGGAAAAGAAGACAAAAGAAATCTAAAGGGCTTCTTTAAAACTGATACACAGCACCCAAATAAACAGAGAGCCCCCTGCATCACCCTGGAAGCAACTAAAGCAATTTATTACTCTCCATGCCCTCTCCCTCGCCAGCCACTCACATGGTCAGTGGTTTCTGTTTGCAATGAAAGAAAATCCTCGATTCAGTGTTTTAAAAATACTATTAGGATTGTGTATTCCCATGGGTTACACTTGAAGAAAAACAAACAAACAAACAAGAAAAGCCCACATTTTAGATTTTCTAATAAAATCTGTTGGCCCAGGACATTAGGGAATGGTTCTTTCTACTCATAAAAAGACTGTGCCAGAGAAGATCCTGCAGTACGTTCCTAATCACTTTCCCCTCCCTTCCATCCCTTCCTATAATTAAGATAATAATCCAAGGATTCTCTATGACAGCAGACAAATTCTGGCCACAGTCTTTTATAACTCCTCCCAAACAAGCATTAAAATTTGGAAGACCTGGTTTTTAGACTGTGATGCAACTTCCACATTAATAAATCAAAACAAGTACAAAAAGCCCAAGCTTCACTTGGCTCTCTCAAGTAAATAGCTCCTTTAATAAATAGCCCTTAAACTCTTTTGATGACAATGCTGCAACATAAATAATTTGAGTTACTTATATGCTGAAAGACTCGATCTGCTCAAATACATCTGCAATGGCAGTGTAATAAAACTCCAAAGAAAACTAGGGAGACTTTTCCTATTAAACAAGGATATTCAGATTTTGCTGCATGCCAGTTTTTAGAACGGATATTGGGCACGGACCGTTTGCCTTCTCTTTGGGGCAAGCTTTAAGCTTATTTTTTTCCCTCCTTTAGAACATTCACACAGAAAACCTTTATTAAAAAATGGCAGCAAGAATGGAAAATGACATTTCTGAGCCCAGCTGGAATTGCAGAAAGCTCCAGAGCAATGAAGCACAGGTGCTTTGAACACCTTTGCAAGGCTGTGGCTTTCCAGAAGGACTGGATAAAGCAAGAACCCTTGAGATTATCCTCTTTAAGGTCACTTAAGCAGTAGCAGCATAAGCTGGGAGTTCCTCACCTGCTCTACCCCAAGCAAGCAGTGTGTTGAAACCACAGGCAGTCCCTACCACTCTTACTTTCTACCCTCACTGTGCTTTCTGCTTTGATTTGCTGCTGCAACTGGACCAAAGGCTAATATTGGAGGTTATTTAGGTTATAAAGGTTATTTAGTCCCACAGGTTATCCCAGAAACCACTGACCAGTATTCTTCCATCATCACCACCATCACTGGAGCCTGAAAAGCTCTTTGTAAAGCTCTGTGTGGCAGAGCTGAGGTCTAGATTTCAGCAGTGAGCAGCACTGTGGCACAACTGGGAGTGCTGAGCTGCAGCTCATCTTGCTGTTGCCACGAGAAAAACTGACTGACAGCTCAAGCTGTAGAGGCAGAATTCGAGTCAGCAGTGAAGGCATAGCTGAAGAAAAGCTTTCATACAGCAAAGATGGCATTTCTCTGCTGTTAGCATGGTGGCCGTGGGAGAAAGTGCAAAGAAAGGCAGCATCTCCCAAGTAAAGCACCCCGTGGCTCCTTGCAGGTGGATAGAAAGAGAAAGCACTCAGGGCTTCCCTGGCATAACCAAGTACTACTGCAAAACCAGCACTGTCTCAAGCCCTGAAACCACATTTAAAATACTCCTCAGCTAAAAGAATGACCCAGTTGCACATGAGAACATCAAGACGTAGATCCATAACCACGGTATTCCAGAAGTGTGCCCAAAAAGAGGGAATTACCCCACACAGCACCCTGCTGGCTTATGACAGCTCCCTTCACCTTGCAGCAGTGCTGATTTCTAACTGATCAACCTGGACCTGGGCCTGAGTAAGGCACTAAAATGCCTGAACCCGTTCAAAACCTCATCTAGGGCATCGGAGACAGCACTTACCTCAGTGAGTGAAGAGTCCATCATTGTAATGGAAACAGGAAGGTCTGCATCAGTGCAGTCACCAGCAGAGCATATTTTCCACCTGGCAACACACACTTTATTTGCATCTTGCCCAAACAACAGTGAGATGTGTTGCCCATTTTCCTTAAGCACATAACAACTGAAGGCACCACTATCTGTATCGTCAGTCAGCTGATCTCTCAGAGAAAGACAAATTCATCACCAGCATCAATCCCTCCTCCCCCGAGCAGCAAGAACCACCACCAGTCCTTTTCCCAACCTCCTCCACACTGCAAAATTCTACAGAAAACCAGTGGCAAAAGCTTCAAGAGCTGCTGAGTCTTTTGCTGCAGACTGCCTGCCTCTGCACCTTCAGGAACATCCTTATCTTTTAAAATATTCACTGCAATTCCCTTCAGCTTTCATAATCTTTAGCAGTTCAGACCTCTATTTTAAAGATCTAAGGAGGCAGCTTGGTAAGCAAAGACCACAGAATTCCTGCTCTAAACTCTGCAAATAAACAAAACAGGGACTCCTCAAAAGCACCGAATGGAAGCATCAGTTGTGAGGTACGTATGGGAAATAGGCAAGAATGCCTCAGTTCTCCAGCATGAAATGGAAACACCATCACTGTATTTGGCTGATTGCCAGCATTTCCAGAAAAGAGTTTTAATATTTGTGGATAGAAGCTGAGTGTTACCCCACACCACCATTAGCTGATCTCCCACTGTCCAGTACTTCCCATAAGAGAGGTCCTGCTGTTGAATTCAGCACATCCCACAGACTCCTCCACCTTTCGCCTCTCCAAAGAGGGCATTCTGCCATTTTACCTGCAGGCCTCTGATGTCACATCTGATGTGGACACATGTCCCAGGTCACCCCTTCCAAAGGTGCGGAGCTGCCTGCAAGGTCGGTCCCAGCTGTGCCTAGGGGGGTTATTTGGGCAGGAGGTTTCCAAGGTCAGAGCATCTAAGGGAGACAAGAGCAAAGAGAGGTGGTTCTTGGCAAAGCAGTTTTAGCCAAAAACCGACACGCAACTAAATCTAAAACAATCAAGAAGGAGAACAACCAAAGAGATTTATAATAAGGTGACTTTCATCTTGGTATGAAGGTGTTATGTGGCCCCAGTGTGTTTTGTAGATGGAGAATCTGCAGCACCTGGGGATGGGCACTTTCCATCAGTCGAGTTCCAGAAAATTCCACACTGGACAGCTTTGTGGTAGTGAATTGTGTGGCAGAAGGGGCCAGGAAATAAACGATTTTTAAAAAATATTGACACTTGATTGGTGCCAGCTGGGAAGACCTGCCTCATTTGCTGGATCATGATCTTATAAGAAGGTGCAAGAACATTCCCAGTTGGCTCACTGGAACAGCCCTTTCAGAGCAACAGAGACCTCTTATAAGGAGCACTTGCAGTAAAGCAAGATCATCTTCCATTTCCCTCAGTACGGCCCAGAATTAAATTTGAGCATTTATAGGCTATTAGTCTATTGCTTTTGCACCTATTTAGGTTTGTTATATGGAAGAAGATGCTCACTGGGAGGGTGGGGAGGCCCTGGCACAGGTTGCCCAGAGAAGCTGTGGCTGCCCCATCCCTGGAAGTGTCCAAGGCCAGGTTGGATGGGGCTCTGAGCAACCTGGGATAGTGGGAGGTGATCCTGCCCATGGCAGGGGGTTGGAACTGGATGATCTTATCAACTCTGCCTGTATTTCAGGAGAGAGACAGAAAAATGTCCAGCACCACCAGGTCTTACCTAGCAGAGGGGAACTGTGCCAGGACAAAAGATACGAGGGTCCTTCACTCCACGGCCTTTTAGAGCAATGGAGCTGCTAATTGAAAAATAAAAAGTGCTGCTGTTCAACCACACTGAAAATATAAATGCCACCAGCTTCCCCCCCCACCATCTGCATAATGGGATACTAACAATCACAAATTCATCATCTGCTGCTTTTTTGTCTAGAAAAGCTCGCATCCTCAACAGGCACAACAGGTGCAGGAAAGAGGGAGAATAATCCAACTTTCCACTGGCAAGAAACACGTATGGAATATACCTTTGTATACATTTAAACACATGCATGCCTATATACGTAGATATGGATCTCAAATTATTTTTATAGAGTGTTTAACTTGACGTTTCTCGCAAACAGAGTTATTTATTCCCCTCAGGTCACAAAGGAAAAAAAAGCCCAAACCCTTTAGGAGGCTCAGCAATGGTTAGGGAAAACACACTTACCTCCCTTTTTACAGGTTCAGCTGAGGTGGGCAGCAGACCATAGCCAGATTCTAACTCTGCACAGCACTGTTGCAGTAGGGAAATAGTTTAAGGCAGGCAGATGCAGAAGAAAAAAAAAGAACCATAAACAAATAAACAAAAAGGTGGAAAAGGAGAAGAGAGTGCTGCTACCGATTCTGAGCAAAACACAACTTCATCTTTCAAGCTGAACTGTTTTCAGCTATCAGTTACAAAACTGCAACTGCGAAACTCCGCAGTTGTTTCTCCCTCCCTACTTTCAGCCTTTAATTCTGCAGACCTTCATACCCACACCTAAGTTTTATTCACAGGCAGCTGGCCCACAGTTTTGATCCTGCTCCTCTGACGCTCCTGTCACAGCCTAGGAGACACTTCAGGATCTTCTGTTTGCCATCCTAAATACCTTGTTCTTTATTCTGTGTTAAATCCAGGCTGCTCAGACCCTGAGCTGTAGCGTTCCTTACTAGAAACTGAAGTCTTTCCACAACGTCTCCCCCTCCACCCCCTCCCAAAGTTGAAGCAAGTAATTTTATTCAAAGCAAAGCACTCCAGAGTTATGTAATTTCCAACGTATTTCCACGGAGGGCCACAAAGGTAATAACTGTTTCACTGCCTATCCCAATGCCTAGATACTGGAGGAAAAAAAAACCTAACAGGGCAGGATTTTAAATGTTTGTTTTCAAGTCTGTCTGCAGAAGAGAGGACTGATTTTGGGAGTAAAAAAAAAAAAAAAGAAAAAAAATCACACCAACACATCAGGGAAGGTGTGTGAAGAACACAACCACTTGATGTGATCACCAACAATTGCTCCCCAACACCACACCTGTAAGTCCCAGCCCATTTTTCCCACAAGGCTGAACAAGGAAAACAACAACGTGCAGATTGGTACGTGCAATTCCCTGCATCCACATGCAGAAAGGGAGAAACCTGATGCTGCCACATTGTTTGCAGCTCATCCCAGCTGTGGCTGTCCTTCCACCAGAGCACCTCCCGGGCAAACCTGCCTCTCCTCCTCCCACCAAACAGCGTCATACCTGACACAGCAACTCACAGAGGCTCCTCTGAAGCAGTTCCCATCTCAGTGCAAGAGCAGTTGCTATGAGGAGACATTTACAAACCTGTCAGGGTTCCTCACAAACTCATAACAAGGAGCTGGATGTTATAGAACCTTTAAACCTGACTACAGCCCATCAGAACTCACTATAATTTGCATTAGTCTAGTTATGCTCACAGCAATTTTTCCACAGGAAAGAGAAAACACCGGACACTTTCTTCCCTGTGGTTACATTTCCCCTTGCTGTAAAGGGTGGAGGGGGGGCAATGCTTTCCAACGTTATTAACACTGTGGAAACAGATGAATTATTGCAGGAGAAGCATTTGCTGTCCTGTAGAGAAGTTTTAAAGTTGATGGGCTTTATGTTATATTTAGAAGCGCTCGTTGTTCGAGTTTGGCAACGCCAAGACCTGCCTCGAGTGAGTTCTGCCTTAATTCTATCATCTCTTTTATACCACAGTTAATATGGAGGGTGAAGGGGGGGTTTATTAGCACTGCAACCTCAGTGCCCAAGCACTGAAAGCAGCTCCCAGCAGCTTGGGTAGCATTTTCACTGGATGAGGGCTGGAGCAATTTGGGGCAAAGGCACAATTAGACACCTGAAACACAGAAGGAGCTGTGCCAGGCTGACTGAGGTCGAATACCAGGTTCCTTAATTTCTCACCTCTCACCATGCTGGTGAGAGGAAGTAGGGGAATGGAGTGGGGAGGTGGGGAGGAAACCACAGCCCAGCCCTCCAGTCAGAAGAGGAACCAGACCTGTGTGGCTTTCTGCCAATATAAGGCATTTTTATTCTTCCCCCAGTGCCGGCCTTGTTTCTCAGCCCCGTTCTTCGTAACGCTTTGCAACTTCTCTGCACATCTGCCACTTTAATTCTATTAAATCCACAGGTTTAATGTATTAAATCTAGAGATAGTTTGCAGAGATCTCTAACTTGGGCGATTCCAGTCCATATGCCTGGGGTTGTCTCTCTCTCCACTTAGTCTAGCTCACTCTGCAGAAGAGCTTTGTCTATTCAGAGCAGGGAAATGACACACTATTTCCACTGTTATGCCTCTTGTTAAGAACAACAACAACAAAATCAACTTCACAGTTCAAAAGAAGCAGCGAGCATGAAAGGAACATGAGCACACACGTGAACAGTGCCAAAATTACGGATCACAAGTGGGTGAGCACAGTCTGGAGCTGTTCCTGCCATATCAGTGCATAGCAGTTGTGCCTCAGAGCTAAGCTGAAGGGTCATTTTTCCTATGAAAATGTGATGTTTCCTACAAGACAAGCTGTGGTTTCACATGGAGTTGTTTACAACGCACACATAAACGCTGAGCATCAGCAACATCGCCTTGGGAAATTCGCGCCTGAGGCCAAACGTTCAGTGGGATAAGTCAGTGGGATTCCTCTTCTGTAAGACAAGTGATCACACTCCAGAATTTGGGGAGAAGCAGCCACTGCATTATTTAGTCACCCAAGTTCTGGAGGTTAGTGAGTAAGAGGTAGCATGAAGTTTCCGTGACTCTGTGGCAGAAGCTGCACGTGTACAACGCAGTGACACGATCGCTTTCCACTGAAGAGAGCAGCCTAACGCCACAGCAGTCATTCAAAAACACAGAGCAACTACAAGCAGCAGGCAGAATGCAAAAAAAATATTAAAAAATATATATATAAATCAGGTCTGTTTGTTCCAGGAAGCTTAAGAAAGAGGGATGACTTCGCTAGGAATAAGGTGAGTTGTTCAGGTGTGGGAACAGCACCTTTGGTAAAGGAGCACCCCTGGAGTTACAAATCCTTCCTCCTCAGACTGGAGATCTTGTATCAGGAGGTTCTGAAGCTTTGGGACCCCACCTGCTTTTCAGCCCAGGTGCCATGGCAGCAGATCTCTTAGAGGAGAAGTAGAAAGAAAGGAGAGGGGAAAAAAAAAAAAAAGGACTCCACAGAGCATTTTACCTGCAGATCAGTCCTACCCTCCCTTGCTGTACCTAAACCATACACTATCTGCCCATGCAAGAGTGAATATGCTGGCACACTGCCAGTAGTTACTCACTTTTCTGGTGTTCCACCTTTTCCTGAAGCAACTGGCAAGTGCTTGTTAAAGCTGCACTCACATCCCTGAGCCTTTGCTGCTCAGAAATGGCTTCCTCCAACTTGCTCTTCAAGGATGCTGCTTCCTTACGAGCAGAGTGAATCGCTTCAACTTGATCCTCCGCCTAAGCACAAAACAATATTTAGGGAAAAAAGAAAGGAATTTAAAAAAAAAAATTTAAAAAAAAAAATAAATAAGGCTGCCTGGCTAAGACAAGGAGCCTGTACAGTTCATGTAAATGAAACCAAACTGCATCTGTTCTTTCTCAGGAAGTGATAAAGCTCCCTCTGAACTTCTGCATTTTTACGTTGGGGTGGACTGTGTATGGAAGCTATTTTTGGGCGCTTTTTTTCTCTTTTCTTCTTTTTTTTTTTTTCTTTTAAGCCACCACAAATATGCAATGCTGCCTCTTTCATCAGCAAACTGTTGTCACCACCCCCTCAAATTTTACTTCCTCTGCTGGTTCCACTTTTGCAGCGAGGCACACCATCCTGAACACGCGATTTCCTCTCCCGGGGGCAGCCGCGCGTCGTGCGTGGCCTTTGGCATCTGCCTCTTTCCTGCTCCCGAGGAACTGGACTGCCCCTTACGTGTCTGCTGGCGTCCTCGAGCTGCTTCAGAGCTTCCCGAAGCTCTGAACCGAGGGCTTCTGCCTGGCCAGCAGTTTCTTCTTGGAGCTGTTTGACGGTTTCCAGCTCGTGCTGCCTGCGGGGTGAGAGCGCAAACCACAACCCGTTACTGACATTTCGGGGAGGTCGTGCCCAGGAGATGACACAGCCTGGCTGTTGAGACATGCACCGAGAACCACAGTCAGCTGTGACATCCTCCAGACACTGCCCAGCACCAGGGACTCAGTCCTTGCTGAGCACAATTCACAGAATCCCAGAACGTGCTGAGCTGGAATGGACCCACAGGGATCATCGAGTCCAACCCTCAACCCTGCACAGGACCATCCCCAAGGGTCACACCCTGTGCCCCAGAGGATCATCCAAACCCTCCTGGAGCTCTGGCAGCCTTGGGGCTGTGCCCACTGCCCTGGGGAGCCTGTTCAGTGCCAACCACCCTCTGGGGGAAGAACCTTTCCCTGAGATCCACCCTGAGCCTGCCCTGACACAGCTCCAGCCATTCCCTGTGTCCTGTCCCTGGTCCCCACAGAGCAGAGCTCAGTCCTGCCCCTCCTCTTCCCTCCCAAGGAAGCTGGAACTGCAATGAGGTGTCCTCTCAGTCTCCTCCAGCTGAACACACCAATTCAACCCAGGCTGACACAATTTTCCTATAGCAGGAAGGGGATGGAGGTTTTTCCTCCAGCTGAACCAGTCCCAGACAGCTGGCTACCATAATGGAAGCTTGTGAAGCAGCAAGAGGACTCAAAGAGCAAGCGATTAGTCAGGTAAACTTTTGCAATTCCATCAAAAGGATGTGTTTTCTCTTGCTTTGGGAGAAACAGGATTGGATATAAGTCCGATACCCTGGAGCTATTAATGCAGATACACAGCTTCATCAGGCTCATTTCCTAGTGTTTGAGAGGGCATTTCTCTTGACAGCAGGCAGATGCCATCAGAATCACTGCTCGAGCCAATGTCTTTCAAGGAAACATTTATTTTTTTATCACTGCAGAAAAACCCTTTGCCCATTTCTTCTCTAACTCACCTTCACTATTCTTTCTGTTGCTACCCCCACGAAAAATTTTGAATACAGAGAGGCACAGCTTTAAGAAAACCAAGGCACCAATATTTTTATCAGCTCTTTTCCAAGTGAAGGGAGAGCATGTGGGAGGCCCACATTAACAATGTTCAGTGGAACATAAGTCAGGCAAGAGTGTGGCACAACTGCTCCACATCAGCTCTTGGGGCTGCCAAAAAAACCCACCTCAAACCCAAGTAAAGGGATGCAGGCAAAAATTTACATTTAGCATAGGACAGCAGAAGTTGACACTCTGAACCAGCCTGGCTTCCACAGAGACAACAAAATAGAGATAATTTTTTCTGGTAGAAACCAGACTATCTATTTTTCAGAATGTCTGAGGAAAGGAGAGAGCAGACAGGGGTTTGCACCTCCTGTCAGTTGCTGCTCCAGCTGACAGAGAGCAGGTTTAGATTGGATATTGGGAAGAAATTCTTTACTGAGGGTGGGGAGGCCCTGGCACAGGTTGCCCAGAGAAGCTGTGGCTGCCCCATCCCTGGAAGTGTCCAAGGCCAGGTTGGATGGAGCTCTGAGCAACCTGGGCTAGTGGAAGGTGTCCCTGTCCATGGCAAGGGGTGAAATGAGATGATCTTTAAGGTCCCTTCCAACCCAAACCGTTCTGTGATTCTATTTGTAACATCAAAAATCACAGCAGGAAGGAACCACGTGCCAATAAACTTAAATTTGAAGTTTCATTTTTATATTTAATGACATAAGGGACTGAAGTTTTGGGAAACTGAGACATCACAGTGCCTGGGCCCAGCAATTGCATCCCAAAGCAATGATACCTGCAGGGCATATATTTTACAGATCTGCTTCACACAAACCCAGCAGTTTATTTAATGGTTGCACCTGCTGGATAGGCAGAGCCCTCTTGCTTTAACTCCTCAGTCTGTGGTCTCCCTGGTGTTTTCAAAGACATCTCCAAGACCATATGTCAGTTGATACATCAACCTTAACTCCCACAGTGTAAACGTTATGCTAAAACCAAATCCACTCTCCAAAACAAGTTAATTTCCTCGGTGGGGAAAAAAAAAAAAAAAAAAAAAAAAAAAGTCGTGAGAATTCACAAAACTTTGTTTCACAAGACAAAAAAAAAAAAACCAAACCCCAAACGAGTCAAAACAAAAGGCCCAAACAAACAAACAAAAGCAAACAAATCACCTGAAAACAAAATAAAAACCAGCTCCAAAGCTTTCCCCTCAGAAAAAACACACAGGCTTTGAAGTGGTACCTGGCAGAGAGCTCTTTCCTTAGGTGGAGTTGTTCTGTCCTGGTTCTCCTCAGGTTCCCTGCCATTCGAACAAAATCCTTGTCTAAGCTCTCCTTGCATTTTTCCAAGAGCTGAAGTTTCTGGATCCAAACATGTCTTTTTTCTCTTAGCTCTCGCTTGAGAACCTGTGGGATTTTGAGACAAGAGTTGCCATGTGGTAGGAGGAGGAAGAGAGACAGAGAGTCAACCAGAGCCTCAACTCACATGATGAGAATTGATTTCCCTGCTCCACCACTCGCTATCCTCAACTACATCCAACATTATTTAGTGTTAAATAAAGAAAGTAAAGAAAAAACTCTACCACAACGGGCCCAGATAGAGCAACAAAAAAACCCCGTATTTTGTAAGGGGAAGTTTTAATAATGACCACCTTGCAGGAAGCCCTAAAAGTGATAGTTTAGACTTCTGTGATGCTTTCCTCGAAGTACAGCTCAGTCCACTGGTACCAACTTGGGTTTGTTATTACAGCCAAATAAATAAAATACCCCAATAAGTCCCTATTTCAGTTTGTCATGCGTGCCTAGCAGATGATCTGCCCAAGGGATGACCCCTGTGACAAAGGCTTTCAGTTTTACCTCTGCTTTGTAGGAAGAAAAGGGGAAAAATTAGGTTCTAGGTAGCATTGCATCCTCTGTTTCTCTGAACAGTGACTTGCAGTACAAAGCAGGGGGAAAGAGCACTGGATTCTTCTTCCTCTGACCTTGCTCAACTGAACACGTGAAACAGAGTCCTCAGCTTCTACAGAATGCCTACTGGGAGTCAAACAGAGGTCAGGAAAGGATGAGGTTTATGTTTCTGGGCTTTCACATCAGTTCTAAGGGGAAAACATCAATCCTCCAAGCATGGGCCACCTTATCTGCTTGCAAGTTGGAGTCAGATAGTTGTTCATGAGCTTCAAACAAAAAACCCACAGCATGTCAAGTGAAAAAAAAAAAAACCAAAACAAAACCAAACCACCAGCCTGAGCAGTTTTTGCTGATAAGTTTTCTGGGATGACATGGGATGTGAACCATGTGCAAGTGCCCACATCCTGAAGATCAGCTGCTCAGCCAAGGCAGGCAGCACTAACTCTCAGAAATGACATGGTTTTGACACACGAGTGGTGCAGGCTTATCAGGGCAGATGTGCCACTCTTATCTCCCAGCAGAGAGAAGGGTGAAGAAGATTTTGCTGGCACTATCTGTATATACACTTAAATAGATGTATGTATGCACAAAACCAGGAGCACACTTAAAATCTACTTTATGTGTAATAACCTTTAAAATATACTTGAAAACACCAAACCCCAGCAAAACGTGTCCATGATATGTTTCCCAGGGAATGGTGGGGAAGTGTTTAGGCTTCAAGTGATGGTCCCTGGTCCAAGATTTAATTAATTTGTCGACAGAAACTTTCTCTAAGGCTGGAAGAAGCTACTTTGAACCTCTCTCTTTTTTTGAGCCTACCTTTGTTCAGCTCCATACACCAAATTCCCCACATATCTGGCTTGTTCTAGCTAGAGGAAGATAATATGCTTGACCACTTCCTGACTGGAAGTCACTGGACTTCTTAATTTTAAGTCATCTTATTCCTCCTTAATCCTCTGGTAGCTTATTTTCCAAATGCATTGCTCTCCAAGAGCCAGAATAGGATTTATCTGCCATGATCAACTCCAACCCCCACACCTAAAGTTTTTAGCTTCATGTGTCCAACAGGAATACGATCCCAATGTAATTAAAAAAAGCATTTTCCAGCTCTGACAGCTTTGAAGGAGAAAGGTTTTAGTCAAGATCAAAAAGCTACAGCAATTCACAAGCCAGCAGCTTCCCAGAGCCTACCTAAAGTCCCATCAAAGTGAAGAGGTCTAGATGCCTGTACTTCCTCTAAGAGGGAAGTTTTCAGGATTTACTTAAAAAAGAAAGAAAAATTAAAAACAAACCAACAAACAAACTGGCTCCAGAACTGGATGGTTCCCAATAATAGCTCCACCCTGCCCAGGAAAGGTGAAGAGGGCCAGCTACAACATTTTGCAGCACTAGAATGAAAGAAGGGTGGTTTCTGCTTAAAGGACTAATTCCAAGCAGCACATACCATGGTGCTACCTGGTGTTACCCAAGTGAGATGAATTGAGGGGTTTTGCTTCTATTAAGGAGCTGAAAGGCAGCATTAATGTACAGAGTTTTCTGTAGCAGTGTTCCTAATAACAGATTGGTATCAAGGAGAGGGTCGGAGAAAAATCTACATCCAATAAAATAAAGATTTCAGAAGCTGTGCTGCCACAGGGGAGGGGAAGAAGAAACAAGAGCAACAGAGTTTGAGTCCTCAGGCACCTGCTACCACATGGGGAAGACGTTTTTGCCAGTTAGCTTGAGCAAAAGTCTTCACTTGCAAGCCTCACAAGAGGTGTGAGGGGTAGGAGAAGCACATTATGCAAGAATAAGTTGTAAAACGTGGTTTTGTTGAAACTCTTCCTGTGGAGCATGTCCAGCAAAAGCAGAACTCGTTGCCTTTCAAAACGAAGTAAACCCTGTGAAGGCTTTGATTTGGAAACCTGGTTATAAAAATTACATCTCTTCTTGTACCATCCAGAAGCACAGTCTAATTCAGAGCAGAGGGTGAAATGGGTTTGAGGCACACAGAAAAGATGGGCAGAAGAGACCTCACATGGCCATCTGACCTCATTTTCCTCTTCAAACTGACTGGCTTCACCTGCCCTTTCCTTCAAGCACGGCTTTAACAAAGGGAGCTCCTCCATAAGACAGGTCAGGAAGAGCACGGTGTCTAAGTGAAGAGCAATCACCCCTTTCCTCCTCAAAACCAAAAGTAACAGATGCCATTCCTCTCCATAGAGCCACCTCCAACCAGGCTATGATCCCAAGTAATTAGTACACAGAACATGCAGCAATAAGATACCCACCTTCAGTTACTGCCCAGCCCCACTGCTTCACTAAATATCTTCAGAGAAGCAGTTACTTACCACAAGTTTGCTTTCCCAGGTTTGTTGCGTGTCCCCCTCAGGATCTTTTACCCACTGCAGCGAAGCCATGACCAGCTCCTCCACTTCAGAGGCTTCCTCTTGCTAAAAAAGAAAATCAAACCCAAAACAACAACAACAACAATCACCACCCCCCCAAACCCTGGCATTTTTAATGCTGCCCAGACTCACCCAGGTTACAAGTTCCAGTGTCAGAGTAGGTACCAAGTGACGTTGTTAAATGACGCCCCCCTTCCCTCCACACCCTCAAAGAAACCATTCTTATTTTTTGAAAAGGTGCAAACAATCTGATTATCAGCGCTTGGAGAATTAAAAGGCTGACAGAAGACCACACCCTCATGCACATCAGCTCTTCCACTGACCAGGTTTTGCATGAGGGTCTTGAATTTTTCTCCCCCGTATTCGGGCCCCTGAAGTAAAAGCAGCACTTCACGGTCCAGGGTTTCATCCAGGGTCGTCCATTCAGTCCTGATCGTCTTTGAAGAGATGGAAGAGCCAGCTGGTTTATTTTGACATCTCCTTATTGCAAACCAGCATTCAGTGACATTTAGACTTTTCCTGAAGTATTTCCTGCACCGTATTTACCAGAAGGTCAGAGCTACCCAAACTTGAAAAGCTTGTAAAAAGCTTTTCAAAACAATCACGTCATGGGGAATTTTAAAAAAAAAATAAAAAAATTAAATAAATTAAAAAGCCAGCCAGCCAAGCTGCTGAGTGACCCAGTGTAAATATTCACGTCAGGGTAGGCAAGGGGAAGTCAATAATTGGTTATCTTTATTCAGAAGAGGCTCTACCAAGTGATGAATAAGCAGAGCCCTTACTTGCTTTGCAGGTGGAATTGTGTCTCATCGCAGCATTAGAGAGGCCAACACTGACTCACTGTGGCCCTGGGGAGCTGCAATATGGGACAACACCTGAACTTTTGAAACAATGCTGCCTAGCCAAGCACAACTCTCCTTCCTGGGCCTGTGGTTTTAGTCCATTATTAGATTTTTGTTGTTGTTGTTGTTGTTTTTTGCAAACTCACCCTGTACAAAAATAAGCAGCTGCAAGGTGAAGTCTCACAAGAAAAATTACTCAATAGCATTTATTTCCTATCATCTGACAACAATCTCTAATAATCTTTAAGCTAGCTTTGAAATGTTTGATTTAATAACTCCTGCTCTGTTCAAGTGCCTATAACTAGTCATACTGTAATAGATAATTCTGATTAAAGTCCTTCAGTCCAATCATTCCTGTCAATTTAAATAAATCATTTACTTCATTCATTTAAATGTATTTGGCTTGCCATCCTTAGCCCCATGGGGCAGAGTTGTACAGGTGTAATTGAGCCTTTATACAAACTTTTGGACATAAACTGTTGACCAAGTCTGGGAGCAGGATTGGATCCAGCTGCACCTGGATCCAACCTCCTCTTGGAGAAGGAATTTGGAAAGCCAGGGAGTCCTTCCTGCACCTCGTGACTCATCAGGGGGGTGTCCCTGATAAACCTTGTCCAAAGCTTCCATTCTGCCCTCCACAAGGAGCTACATGGAATTTGGTTTTTTTCCAGTAGTTCTCCATTGGAGCACTGGAAAGCCACGAGAACAGTAAGTTAAAGACCAAATTTCCAGCGTTTTGTCAAGTGTGCCTGATCAAAAACCAGAGCTCCCAAAAGTCACTAAACCACCTTCTGGGTGCCCTGCAACTTCCAACCAACTGGGTCAACTGCAGTACTGATATTAAATATATCCAAATATATTTGAATACTTTTATCTCCTCCTATCAGCCTGCTCTTCTGCCAGCTAAATGCATGAACTTAGCCCTTCCAGATTTACTTTCTTAGATCTATGAGTGTTTTGTTTGCTTTCCTTTGGACTTTCTCCAGCGTTCTTGGGACAACACTGTGACCTTCACATTCACTCTCTGCCTGCGTGATGGGATTAATGGCTCCAAATTCCAAGGTTATCTAATCATCTGCAGGGAATGAGCTTTGTTCTGCCTCTGCTGATGCAAGGCAGCAGGGAAGGGGTTCATTAAAGATTTAATTCATACCTCAGAGGACTGGGCAAGTTCCAGCTCACAGTGCAGCGAATTCATCCCTTCAGGAACGTTACTGTTATATTTGCACAGCAAGGGGAAACACAACCCATTTCTAATGGAAGAAGGGAAAAAATTACATGTCAGTCCTTCCTGACTTTGGACAAACTGCATTTCCTGGGGCTTGTTCACAATACTCACGAGATCAGCTCTTGCTGCATGTGTTGCATGTTCTCCAGTAGCTTATTCTTTTCTGCCCTCAGCGTCTAAAACACACGTGGGATTTGGTCAGAGGGTCAGTTTGCCAGGCAGAATGAACACAGGATATCCAAAGTTTTCCCCTCACACAGGCAAAAACTAAACCCAGTCCCATACCTCTATTACTGAGGAACACTCCACAATGGTTAACTTCAGTTCCTTGATGTCCTGCTCCTTCTGTGGAGATTGGGGAGGAAAAGAAAAAAGAAGACTTACTATATTCAATCCTCCATCCCAGCATTTAGGTTTGAGCAGCAACCTAATTATATAACATAAAAATAATTGCACATGTAAGAGAATACAGTCATATTAACAGAATACCTGGCATATTAATAACAGAAAATACTCCGATGACCTTTTCTATCCGACTTCTGAAATTAAGGTGCTGTACTTTAATTTATTCCTCACCTGGTTTCAGTACCAGCAGATTAAACTGGACAGAAGCCCCCTAGTTTTAGCTGAAAACAAGGACTATATTATGCCTGGCATGAGTTTAGATCCCAGCTGACCTTTAAAACAAGTTGCAATGTTCTGAGTTAACTCTCATTATTTTTCATGATGAGTGTAGCACTCTGTAGATTAAACACCCCCTTATAGAATCAGGCCTTCAGTCTTGGCAGAGAAAAGTGATAAAAATGCTAAAGAGTTATTAAATATTTTAAAAAAAAAAAAAAAAGGAAAAAAAAAGTGGTTTTCTCTCTTCACATACTTTCTACAGGCCTGGAAGAGAAAGGTTGCCATAATAATTTTTAATGACCATCAATCCTATCCAATCTACGCTCAGTCAGAGGGCCATGAAAAGGATTGTTTTTAGCTTACAGGTAAATCCTTATCCCACATATCATGATGATAACAAGCAAAGACAATTTTCCACACCAGTGTCTTGAAAAATTATACAAACCAGTTGTATTTATCAACATGAACTCTGGTAGTCTACTCTCAAATTTCCCATTTAGTCAACAGACTAAAAGAATCTTGCTAAAATGAAATGATACTACAGAGCTCACAAAAGCTCTGAATCGTTCAAGGATGAGAAAGAGAAAGCTACTTTTTAAAAAGGAATTTAATAAATTGGTGCCCTCAAGCTACTTCTAGGGGAGCAAAAAAATAAATAACCAACAAACCCAAAATTATTAAAACACTCAGCTACAAAGTTATCAGCTACACCACTTTTTTACTATTTGAACTCAGCTGCACTCCCTTTTGCAGATAGGGAGTTAAATATTTTATCAGGTGATTTAAAACATGTTCTGCTAAATAGAAACTGCCTTGGCCTAGGAGGAAATTTGCATAATTCATTAATCCAGAGAATGTCAACACTCTCGTGTAGTCCTATATCTTCTTTTTCCAATACAGAATACAAGTTTGAAGATCTCAGAAATGCTTACTCTTCAGCAAAGCCTGGATAGTTACTCCTTAGTAATGGAAGGACAAATTTGCTTTTACAATGAGCTCCAAAACACCATTTCTTTTTTGACACAAAAATTTAATTTCAGTAAGAGACATGAAGGAAAGGAGCTTCTGCAGGTACATTCTTTTAGCAACTGTAGAAGGAAGCAGCCTTTAGAAGTTTCTGTACATTTTTTTCCTGAAGTTTGCAAGTTTGTTTAAATAGGCTGTGACTTTTTTTGCCCCCCCCCCCATTTTTTTTTTTAATAAAAGCAAAATTCTAAAACCTTTAACTATGCTGGCTCATAACCAGGTCCTAAAGCAGAGCTCGCCTACTTTGAAGCCATTTATAGGATCAGGTTCTGCAGTGTGTGAAGAGTAGAAATAAAATGCCACAGTGAATACTACTGCCTTGCCTTTTTACAAATCACCCCATAGAGCAGCAAGCTGGGACAGTGGAAGGTTCCCTGCCCATGGCAGGGGTTTGGAATGAGATGATCTCCCAGGTCCTTCCAACTCGAACCATTTTGGAACTCTTATGATTTTCAGTCAAGACAGTAACAAAGGAAAAGCTACTGACCTGGACCAAGCTTGCCTCTTTATTCACCACAGTGCTCTCGTAGAGATTTACCTGGATCTAAAGAATGAAAAGATCAGAAGTAATTCCAGTCATCAACATGGATTATGTAATACAACCCTCTTCCTATTTCCTTCTTGGAAGGGAAAAAGGGTATCAACCTTCCTGGCTCAGAAAAAAATCAGATTATTCTTGGAATACTCTGTGTGGTGTTTTTGAAAGTACGAATCTCGTACCCAGTGAGGAGTGAAAGCGGTCTCAGCTTTCACAGCCACCTCTGTTTCCTCTCATCTCTCCAGGCCAAGACTTCCAGCAACATCACCCAAAGCATGACTAATCTATTTTGTCAAATAATGGGGAAAAGGTTCCTAAAAGTCTAACTTAGAGGAACAACTTAAACAGTTTTTGGCCTCCAAGCAGCAACTTTCTCAGCAACTTTCTCAGTCAAAGCTGTCACACTGCCCAAGCTATGACTGCACTGCTGTCCCTCAATATAGAGAGATTCAGGCCTGTCTGCCTTCCAGAAGTAGAAAGATCCCCCTCAACCAGACCCAAGTAAAACTATTTCATGTTCTTTTTGTTCCTCCTGGAGCTGAAATGCTTACTTGAAGCTCTGCTGCGTTTTTAGACAGCTCCAAGATCTTCTTTTGCAGCCCGTCGGTGTCCATGCTATTCCTAATATTCTAAGCAAGATGCAGAGTGTTTAGGCACAGCTGAATGGATTGACAGCTTCTCCTTGAAGAATCCAGGCAAAAATGACATCTCCACCCCCAAAGCTGCTGCCTACTCTCAGACACCACCAGCAATTCTGCACGTACATTGTATGTGCTTGCCCCACCAAAACTGTCTCTGCTCCTTTCCCCCCCCCAAACCCCGTTTCTCCAGAGCACAGGTAAAAAAGAAAAAACCTCAAAATGTTATTTATAAGCATTAGCAGGCCTAGAAAAGCTAAAAAAAAAAAACCAACCAACCAACAAACAAAAACAAAAAAAACCTTTCAGGCCTGCAGCATGACAATTATTTTTGGAAAGATGCTATTTAACAGCTATTTGGACTCAGAAGCTTTTCAGAAAGATTAATCTGGAGGTGCTTTTAGTTACTATGCAGTATTTAAGTTGTTTGTTTCATCCTGAATAGTCTGAAATACAGGCTGTAAGCAGGTGTTAAAACAGTTTAAATTGGCTTATAAAATATTTGCTATGTTTGCTATGTTTCTCTAACCTTAGATCTTTACTTACCCACCAAATGGAAAATGTGAAGCACAGTGCAACTTCAAGATAAGAAGTTTTATGACAAGCCATCCTTGTAAAACATTGGATATTTTAATAACCTAATTAGCGTGTCAGGCTTTAAACACTTCATTTCTTAATGGCAAACTTTGAGCCAGGCAAGACCATGTAAAACCACGATTTATTTTTTTTTACCTCTTCCTGGAGAGAAGTAACTTTGATGCTGAGAGACTGATTCTCTTTTTCCTGATCAGGTTTATTACCAAAAAAAAAAAAAAAAAAAAAAAAGAAAATAATAGAAAAAGAGAAAAACAGGAGTTGTGTCAAGTACAACAGTCAAAGCCAAACCAAGACAGAAAGCAGCTGACCACAAACACATCCAGAGCCCAAGATGAAGCTGTGCTGTTTCACCCCTTTGCACAACTACAAAATTCCGATAATATTTTTCACTCCCACCCCCACCTCCTCCTCACAAGGGAAATTATGCACAAAATCTCGAATTAAAGCAATACCAAAACTTACGAGTACACACTACAGCAGGATAACCCCAAAAATCTTCAAGTTCCTGCTTGGCACGGAACTCCTGTCATATCTCCCAGTCCCTGTGGACATTGACAGTAACCTAGGGGTGCTTTGGAAAATTCCTCTTTTGTTTGGACACCTGAACTGAGTCCCCTGTCCCTGCTGGCTCACCAACTCCAAAACAGAAGTTGCTCAGTGATGGCAGCAAAAGAGCTGCTGCCTTTAAGCATGACTGTATTAAGACAGGCCCTTTAAATGATTTTCTTAATTGTTATTGACAATAGCATAAAGAAATTTCCATAAACACTGATAAATCACATTTCAAACACCCTTAAAAGGCCTCAGTGCCCACTGGCAGAGAGAAAAGTCATCCTCCTGATTTTAAACAGCCTGAGGGGTCATGCCACTGTCACAGCAAGGTGTGAGGTGCTGGACAAGGTAAGCTGAGAAATAAGAGCACCTACTAGTTGTTTGTTCTGACAGAGAACCTGCTCTCTCCTCTCCTCTGACAGGTTCAGATTGTTCCTTGCATCTTCCAGTTCTTCTTCCAGTGATTTGGCTTTCAACACATAGTGCTGGATGCTGCACAGGGAGAGGTAAATCCAGAGCAATTCAGCCAGTTAATGCTGGTCATCAGAGAGGCTCGAAATAACGATATTTCTAGAAGCCACCAGTGACTTATGTTTTGGCACAGGCACTTAACAGATGAGCAACTGCCAAATTAAAGCCTTTTTGTCCAGCAAGTTTACGGACTCAATGACAATTTATCACCTCCTTCTGCTGTCACAGGAAGGGATGAAACCCCAGGCAAACACAGCATCCAAGGCAGGTGGATGCAAACAAAAGCATGCTGACAATTTAGCTTGTTACAGTTAAATATATCGTGCTACCTGAGCACATAAACTCATCTTTATGATGTGTTATTAATACTATGAGTATTAACACTTCATAGTTAGCAGCTGCAGGAACCATTTTACTCCAGTTTTCCAGGATAAGCTCCCTATCATTTTTTAAATCCTGATCTGATATCCTAAACCATGTATATTCATACAACCCTTTTCCAGGCTGGCTCTACCCTGCAGAGCATCCCAGAGCAGCTGGTCCAACACAAGGGCACGTGTCCCATGCCAGCAACCCTGCAGCATTCTTGCCTTAATCTCCCTAGAAAACACTGGGAATGGTTTGGCAGCTGACCAAAATATCCCATTTTAATTAATTAGGTCAGAGGGGTGCTACGAAAAATAGGTTTGTGCTCATGGCACTGCTTTGTCCCCAGGCTACAGAAATACTAAACAAGGGAGACAACTCACCTCAGTTCCTCAAAGGAGTAGCAAAATAGATCTCACACACTCATTTTCCCTCTGCTTGGCAACGAGTATGTGGTCTGGGATTGGAAGCCTTCCAGTGCTTAGCTGTTCTCTTGGTAATATTAAGCCTTTTTATTGTTGTTGTGGTTGGTTTTGCCTGGTTTATTTTGCTTTACCCCAAGATTTTGCCTGTGTTTACCCTCACCCTGCAAGAGCCAGGCTCTGAGATGGATGACTGATTTTATAACAATAAAAGCAGGTCTATACAAGGAGGAACAGGGCACAACAACCGGGCAGGAGGGTTAAACTACAGAAGGTCAAGAAAATTGCTGTCATGAAGCACTGGGGAGGGGAGAAAAGCATCAAAGCAAGGCTGGACCACTTGGAAGAACATATCTCTGCCCATGGCCATCACAGCTTAGACCTGGTGCCCCTCAGGGTCTCCTACCTTTTAATTTGTTGATGTAAATGCTCATTATCTGCCAGCAGCTTGCTGCTGGTCTCATCCACAGCTTCCAGTGTGAGCTTCAGCTTGTTGTTCTCTTCCTGAAGCTTATGGGTTTTGTACTGCAGGTCAGCAACACAGGTTATCAGGTCAGAAGTCTCCCTGTTCCAGCAACAAAGCCAGGAAAGATTGAGAAAGGTGATTTCATCCAGTTTATGCTTTTTAAAATTCCTGATACTGTGCTGCACTGCTTAGAGGGGAGAGAAGAGCCCACAGAGGAACTTACAGTGCTGCACTGTCCAGTCATTTGCTTTGCACAGAGGTGGCAGAATATCTTCAGGTGAGTTCTCCAATTTCATAGACACCAAGAACTGTTTTGGTTTTAAGCACTTTTTTTAAATGCTGCCTGCAGCTGAAATATGCCACCAGCCACCTGCCACATCTGGATATCTGCGTGACAGGGCCTTAAGCTTGCAATAAGCTCCTCTTTGGCCAATTCTAATAGTTTTGTGTTGACTCCACAATTTCCTGGGTTCTTTCTTTTCCCCTAAGCCATTCCCCACTTGTGCTTTCAACCAAAACTTGAACGAGGAGCACCCTTTTGAGATCCTGAGAAATTCCAGGGAAGCATCAGAAAGCAGATCTTGGATTTCAGACTATGCATAAACTACAAATGAAACTTCTGGTACTTGCTAAAGTACTTTGCTAACATAGTCCAAGTCACAGATATAACTACCAAAAAACCCAAAAAAACCCCAACAAACTCCCTACCACAAGAAAAACAACCTCAAACAAAACCAAAGGACCAGATTTGGAGGACATAATGTCTTCTTATTGTTGTACACCTCAGAATTTGGTGGAGGGAAGGAACCAGTTTAAACAGGGAAACACATGGCAAATCCCTGCCCACAGGGAATTGAAAAGGCAAATGGACACAGAAGCACCAGGATATCAGTAGGAAAAACCACCAGTGTGTTTTGAAGTCTGAGTAGAAGCCATGAGGAAGAAGGTGAGAGCACCAAGAGACACTGTAGGCTGAGGTCAGCATTAGAAACTCTGCCAGAATAGTGCTCTGGAACAGCAGTTCTAGGAATTTCTGCCAAGTAATTCAAAGCCAGGAGTGCTACACTCTGAGAAAGAATTGTTTAAATGGACTTACATGTCTCCTCTAGACACATCACCCCCAAAGGCCTCCAGGCTTCCTGATGTAACATTCATCCGGGCATGTGTCTTTTTTGCTGGAAGAGGTGGGGGTTTTGGTTACAGAGCAAGAAAGGGGAGTTTTCCCTGAACAGAAACACAATAAAACAGTCTGCACCTTCCGAGATGTTTTTAGGTGCTGGCAATTCCAGGTCTTCCAGGCTTGCTGATGATTCCCCAGTGGCACTATCTTCCCTGCAATAAGAAAGCATCAAAATCAGAGTGACACTGGATTGCTTACAACTCTGTAGCACCTATCAAATTTCAGCCAAATCCCACTTTGTGGACGCTGTGTCCCAACACTGTCTTCTTTCCAGAAGCCTCAGAGGAACTTTATCCTCTCCTGTTTTCACAGGAGACTTGTGAAGTAGATCTATTAAAAAAGCCATTACCACTTTCTCTTGCGGTCTTCGATCCACTCTCCCATGACTGCATGATACGTTTCCAGGTCCATGGAGATGTCCTTCTGATCTGGGTCCAGCATGTTGCACAGCTCTTCAAGACCACTGTCCTCTGATCCCCGACTAGTCGTGTGCCTCAAATAATCGACTATCTTGGAAACTGCCACTTTTCCTGAAACAGAAACGGGTGTCAAGTGCCAGATTCATTACAAACAACTGCACAAGGCCACGCCGCTGAACTGCACCGGATCCAATTGCCCTCAAGAGCTGTAGGCAAGCAACTGATCCCTGCAGTTGTAGTGTGACCTGGAAAGAAGTAGTTTAGATATTTTGGTTGTTTTGTTTGGTTGGTTTTTTGTTTTGTGTGTGTTTTTTGTTTGGTTGGTTTTTCTTTCATTAGTGGTAGGGGTTTGATTGTTGTTTTGTTTTGGTTTTTTTCCTAATACAGAAGTGTGAGAATCGAGTTTACCAGTTTTGTGGCCTTCAGTTTAAGAGGAACAAGAGTTGACACATTTACTGTGCTACTGCTTTCAGGTCTCTCATCAAACCCTGTGACTGCCACTATATTATTCTGCCAGACTACTCCTTTCTCTGTTTACTACTCCTTACTCCCAAGGCCAGGCTGGATGGGGCTCTGAGCAACCTGGGGTAGTGGAAGGTGTTCCAGCCCATGGCAGGGGTTGGAACTGGATGATCTTTAAGGTCCCTTCCAACCCAAACCACACTGTACTCTATGATCCTCCCACTTTTAGACATGTTTAGGTAGAACTGGAAGGAATTCTCTCTTGCTCTGAAGTTCCTGAAAGTTCTTCTTTTCTATGCTAAAAGAAAGAAACAGTCCTTTCCAATAAGGGTGTTCACCAGAAGAATGTTGCTCCTCTACCTTCCCCTGCACTGAAATCCTGCAAAGCTCAGCAGGGAGGGAGTGCAAAAGAGGCACAGATATTTATGGATTTACTCTGCACCTGCCACTCACAGGCACCTCGCTAAGGGAGTCTCGGCACAGCAGGGTCTGGCGCGTTCCAGAGACCATGACAGGATCTGAAACGTGAAAAACCCGAGAGAACAAAGCGATGAAAAGCCCCTGGAAAACCTGTGTGTTCTGTGTCACATGCCCAGAAGATTGTGGTCAGCAGGTCCTCCTCGGAGATCAAGCTCACGTCATCGGATTTGAACTCCAGTATCTGCCTCTCTCCTATGAAAAAAAAAAAATCAATCTGTTATTGTCCATCTTTATTTGTTTTCTAACTGCAATATTAAGTTTGTAACAGCAACATCACACATGGAATACACCACTGCTTGAATTGTATCTTTTTAGACTTTGGTATTTTTTCAGGTGATGGAAACAAAATCAGTCCCCTCCCCCCCCCAATAAAACCAGAGCTTTTACTGCCAAATAACACCAGGATCCTCCGAGTTGGGAACAGGTTTATGCTTCTACTTCCAAACATGCATTTCCTTCCCTCCCACTCCAGATATATCATAGGGAAATCATTATAGTCAAATTAATTTATTAATAAAACAATCCCCATAAAAATAAATAAAAACAAACCCCCAAACCAAGAGCAACACCCAAACTCATGTATCTTTTTATGCTAAATGCAGTCTGCATTAGGAGCCAAATCTCTTGACCATGAAAATTAATTAGGATATTTGGAAAAAAAAAGTTTGACTTGACTTATTACTTCCTCACTTTTACATCCACATTAATATTTTTTAGAGAAAATTTAAGACCTTATTCAGCCCTACTTGTGGTCTTATTAGATCTAAGTGACACTAAAATGTATTGCTACCAGTTCAAATAGTAAATAAATGTCATCTATGTAGGCTGAATGTTCAGATATCTAGGATTTTGAATTAGGAGGTTTGGGGGGTTTTTTTCAGGATTTTTACCTCTTTCACTTAAAGGAAATGCCTTTGGCACAGGAGGCTGGACCCCAGCACTGTCTAGCTTTTTCTCAGACGTGAAGAAATACAAATTTGGACTCGATGTGAGATAATTCTGTTTATGACGCACATCTTCAGATTCAAGCTTTGAGAAAGCACGCGGTTTGTTGGGAGCATTGGCCTCCTGGGGTCCAAAACAGAACGGAGAACAGTCCTCCCTGGCACATCCTGGAGCCCAGGGGTTGCTGGATCTCTCATTGCTTTTAACGACTGTGAAGGTGGCACCTGCAGCAGAGGAGTCCGAGAGGGGCCCGAGAGAAGGGGACGAGTTTGCAGAGAAAACACTGTCATTGCTGGGGCTGATTAAAGCTGGGCTGGTGCCATCATGACTTCTGAAAGTCCTGCCTTTCAGTATTTCTTCCAGATTCTTTCTGACGTTGCACTGTGGGCTGTCGAAGCTCCTGGACTGGAACTTGGGGATCTGCAAAGCAGGGTTAGAGACCTGGTCCATCATCTGGATGGACTTGATCTTCCTGCATATGCTGTCCACTGGGTTGTGGTGCCGTTTCTTGGCTCCCTGCTCTGTAGACATTATCAATTCCCTTCTCTGGCAAAGGATCTGGAAAAGAATAGGGACGAGAGATAAGAGTCAGGATGACCAACACACACGTATTCTTTGTGCCAATTCTTCAGGGGTTTGAAAATTCAGCTGTGACAGAAACCTTCAGTCACGATGTTTCAGTCATCCAGAGAACCAGAAGTGGATGTAGATTTGGAAAACTTGCGTGACAGAGGCAGAAATACTTTCTGAAGTCTCACTGCTCATTCTTAAATACTGTAATTATGGGAGGGGGAAACGAAAATTAAAACTAAAGAGCTCCCTGCAATTTAGCAGCTGACTCTTTGGGTTAAAGGAAGCACCAAGCAATGTTACTTACACCAATTTATCCCAAAATTGAGAATTGGGGGGGGGATGTGGGGAGAGGCAGGAAAAGGGAAAGCAACAAGATTTTCACCCTTTCTATGAACCTACAAGAACAAAACCCCAAAACCCACTGTTTCTTCTGTTTCTTTTACTAATTAGCCACATCTAAAGCTATCAATGCTATCCCACAGGGAATTACCCAAAAAACATACCCTGCAAAGTCACTTCATCCTATTTGCATTTTTATTATCTATTTTATTATCTATTCTCCCAGGCAACATTTAAAAAGGTATTTCCTATAAGTGTGTGTGTGACCAAGGCAGAGGAGGTGCATTTTTCAGGTGACTGAAAGGTAAAACTAGGTGTTCCTGGACTTTTAAAGACCTCCCAAGGAGAGTATGAATATTGCATCCTATGGATTGCCACACGTGAAATTGGTTTATAATTTCTTGAATTCAAAATTTGGTACTAGAATGAGAACTGTTATGTAGGGAAACATGTAATCACTTACCCACAAAAAAACCCCAACAAAACCAAAAACAAACAAACAAAAACAAAACCCAAAAACCCCAAACAAACAAACAAAAAAACCCACCCAACCCAGACTAGTAGAATCAGGTTTTCACTATTTCATACACTAAATTTGCTGGGAGTTAATTTTAGAGCAACAGTCATAATTTCATATTTGGTGTCAACACTTAATATCAATCAGTCCTGCAGATAATAAACTTTGACTTCCATCTGGTTCTGCCCATCTTTAGATGTCCTCATCAGTGGATGACCATGGTTTTTATATACACAGGTGCATTGCCACATTTCAAGTGAGGTTTCCATGTCCATCCTGGTAAATTGCAACCACCTCCCCTGAACTGGGCATGTGGGAGCTTTCAGTGGCCACCATCCCACTGTGAAATTCACATCTCAAGTTTCTTATCTCCCCTCCCAAAAAAACCCCCCATCCTGAAACACCAGCACTGAGAAAGGCCATCCACCACCCAGTGTAACCCAGCTGGCCTGGAACAGAGCTCCTCACCAAATCTTTGGCATTGGAAAGAAACAAAAGGAAAACAAGCAACACTATTGGCATTTACCTGTGTCGGCGAGGTCATTTTTAAGAGAGATGTTGTTAAGTGATAATAGTAACATCCCAAATGAAGCTAGCTAAGGTCACAAGAATCAGATTTTAAGGGATATTTTGCACCCAATGGTTGCAGCTAAATACCTGTGTCTTTTTACTCAAACTCTGCACCAAGAAGTGAAACAGAGAAACCTCCCCTTCCCAAGAAGTTAGATCCCTGGTTTTCTTTAAGGTAGAAAAGCTAATTCCTTTCCCCAAAACAGCAACACGATTCACTAGCACATAACACAAGAATTGCCACTTGTATAATCTTGTGAAACCAGGAATAAAGTCATATGGAAGTATTTATTAATAATGGGCTGTAAATACTCAGTGCTCTACTTAAATTGGTTTATTACAAGCTGCTTGCATGGCAGCAGCTTGGTTTTATATATGCAGAGGCAAGACACCCAAGATTATTTTTCTATTGTTGTTTCTGTGAGAAGTAACATTTATCTTAATGAATACGTCCTTGCCCACAAAAATATTTTAAAATAATAACAATAGTAAGAAGCTCAGAAAAAAATTTAGAGGAGAGACTGCTTTTAATTATGTCTGTTTTAAAAGATTTACTCCTTAAAAGTAAATGCCAGGAAAGCAAAGCAGTCTCCTATATTAGGGACACATTATCAGAGGTGCATTGTCTTCAAAAGGTAGATGCATTGTCTTAAAAACCATTGCAGTTAGATTTAGGTGTGTTCTCTGAATGTACAGGAGCCTTCAAGCAGATAGAGGTAGCACTCCATTAAAGGATATTAGACTTTTTATCTGCAATGTTTATTTAAATATCACCTGCAACGCCCCAGACAAAAAACACAAACAAAAAAAACCCCAACCAACCAAACAAAGCCCAAGACCTTATACTTACACAAGCACGTGGAAAAATAACTTCAATTCCTCGCTGGGAGAAACAGCACAGATATTTTACCTGTTATCTGAGCAGGAGAGGCTGTCTGAACTTCAGTACTCACAAAAGAAAAGGGCTCATTTGCTGGAAAATCACCTTTAATAAGATATAACTGTTGCCACTCATCTCCCAGGCTGAGAGGGACAACCAGCTGCAACCAGGAGCTAATCAAGCATCAGGCTCCAGCTTTCTACTCTTTGTACTTATTTTCCTCACATCCCACCTGCAGCTGTTACATTAATTGCCTGCAATTTCAACGCCTCTTGAAGTTCTCCCTGCCCTCCTGCACTTATTTTTTAGAACAGCGAGGAAAATCAGGATAGAGCTTCTTGCTGTGCCTCTGCTCAGGTTCCTGGGATGTTCCTCATTTCTATCAGCAGTTCTTTCTTCCTTTTCCCACTTACAGCAAAATTCCATGCAGGAGCAGATCTCTCCTGATTTCTCTGTGACAGTTAGAGCAGAGAACACAGAAATTATAAATTTCATGGCTCTTACCACTTCTGAAAGGAAGATAAGTGTTGAAGTCTCTGGAGCTTATGGTGTATTAAAGAGTCTCTGTGGTAACTCCCTGCTCTGCCCTTGGTGCTGTGAAAAAAAAAAAAAATTTGTCACTGGGATCCTTAAACAGTTCTTCTTTTTATTATTAAATTACCAAACACAATTTGCATTTTAACAGTGTGGATCTTTGGGTATATGCTGTACAAATAGCTGGAAACAGAGTGTTGTTGTGGGACTGCTGCCTGCCCTGTACCTACTGAGTGCACAACCCATCAGACTTCTCCACACACTTGGAGAAATGACACCACTCCTAGAAAAAAAAATATGTTAGAAGTGCTCTCACAAGTTCTTTCTGGTGAAAACCCAAAATGTGGAAGTGAGCCAACACTGCTGTCCCTCCTGTTTTGTGGGAAAACTATTAAATAAAAGTGAAGGTATTGTCATCCGGCAGCATCACCAAAGTCCATGGAGTTGATGCAATCGGAGGGGTGTTTTTGACTGGCCACTTGTTCTTCCTTACAAATCACAGGATCCCAGAATGGTTTGAGTTGGAAGGGACCTTAAAGATCATCCAGTTCCACTGCCCTGCCATGGGCAGGGCCACCTTCCACTAGCCCAGGTTGCTCAGAGCCCCATCCAACCTGGCCTTGGACACTTCCAGGGATGAGCGCAGCCACAGCTTCTCTGGGCAACCTGTGCCAGGGCCTCCCCACCCTCACAGGGAAGAATTCCTTCCTAATATCCAATCTAAACCTACTCTCTTATCATGCAGTCTCTCAGAATAACTTGCCTTTTTTTTTTTTGTCTCTCACAATTCCATCCACTGTTGACAACAAAAAGTTGGCATCCAGCCACTCTGGACAATACGTGTTTCTTGCCCAGGTCGAGGGGTGAGACTGTGACAAACCTGCTCAGCCAAGAGCGTGTGTAACACATGAGCCTCTTCTGTAGCCCAGCTGTGTTGACTTCTTGACAAAGACAAAAATCCCCTCTGCCAAGTTCGTGGGGGTGGAAGGAAAGGTCAGATGACTCCTTGGCCTTCAGCGCTTCTGTCACTGCAGAAGGGTAAGTAAGTCCTGCAAGATCCACTCAGACCTGCCTGTCTGAAGAGCTGTAGAGCCTCTGCTGTGTTATGTGCTTCTTCATACTTAGATGGTCAGATCTCTTTTCCAGCTTGAAAACTGGAGAAAACTCCTTCTCAGCTGATCCCTTTTTCTTGGTGTTTGCCCCAGAGATGTCCATTATTGAAAAAAAAAAAAAAAGTTGCACCATCCTATGGTTCTCTGAACTTCAGAAGTAATACCTCTCTCTGTGATGTTTACACTGTGAATTCTACTCTTTCCTGGTACTTTTGAGCATCCCTCATCCCACATAACATATTGATCTTTTACTTTCACCTACAACTATCCCTTGAACTTTCTTCTCTTTTCATTAACGTGCTTCTGCAAACAGTAGTGCCTGGGCCTGACTGCAGCACTGATCACACTGCAGTCCTCAACAAAGGCTCTGTTACCTCTCTTGTGTGAGGCATTTCCATGATTCCTTGTTCTTCTACACCTTGTTCTGCACCTCAGGTAGTTTTTAGCACAGTTCTTCCCATGCAATCCAGAGAAAAGAAGAAAAGCAGCTCTAGCAACTACGTAGTAGTGCTGGAATCAGACCCACACACATATTTCTGGTGCTGAAAGTGCAACAGAGTAGCTTGGATAAATTTTGGGCCAGCAACTAATGGCCTCTGCAATCATGCACCTGGTTTACATCCCTTCAGAGCTGCCCCGTGGAAACAGCTTCCCAGAGAAGCTGAGGATGCTCAGCTCATTGCAGGGGATGTTGGACTAGATGGCCTTTAAAGGTGTCTTCCGACCCCAACTACTCTATGATTCTGTAAATTAGGGCCTATTCTAAAAAATAATGCTGACAAACATGTTTGTGGGACATCAAATGGCTGACAGAAAATGTCTTGATGGATTGCAGGTGAGATTTGCTCGATCAGTAGGTTTTACAAGGTGAACACAAGAACTTCCCCCTGGTCTGAGAGGAGTGTGTGAGGGGTTAAAGTCCAGAGTCAGCTTTGAAAGGTGACAGAAACACAAAAAAAAACCAGTCCCAAAGAAGATGTTAAGGGGTCATACAGTTCATCACAACGTGCCTGGGCAGGATCAATTTACCAATGAGTCCTAGGAAGGGGTTGGCTCACCTGTTCTCTGAGTTTCTCGGTGATAATAAATCCACAGCCTTCCAAAACAGCCTATTTGTATTTGCTAGTGGTAGAAAGCTCACCCCACCACCCAACTTAAATCCCCTTACTGCAAATTAAATGCAAAAATTCTGTTTGCAGCTCCCTGCTTTGCAGAATCTGCCGTGATTTTTCACAGCCTTTTGAGATGCTGTGGCTCCTGTGTAGGAGCCACAACTGCCCTGTTTTGGGTGCTGCTCAGGTGCCAGGCAGGAGTGAGATTTAACTTCCCAGAGAGCTAACAAGCTAGCAGGAAAGAACAAAGGAAATGAGAACCAGCACGAAACAAAGGTCATGAGTTTCAGGAGACCTGCACCCTGACAGCATCAGAGTATTGTGTTTGCTGACGCACCTCCTGGCCACCCACACACCACAGCTACACCTTCTACTCAAGGGCAAGCCACGGATCACTGGTGTCCTTACCAGCAGTTAAAAATATAGAGGCACAGTGACTGTAGCCTGTATTTTTGGGAAATATTTGGGAAGAACACGGCCGTGACGCAAGTCAGTGATGCAGGATTGACCCCAGCAGTCAAAACTCCACCACAAGGGAACTTTTTCACTCACCTCAGCACTGAACTTCAATCCCAGAAATCGGCTTTTTATCATTTGCAGTGTCAGGATACGCACTCCCTGCCCTTTAGGTTGTCTTTAGGAATAAGAATAGGTTATTTTCTTTCTAATAAGGGGTCGTGCTGGCTATAACAAGCTTCACTCTACTTCCCTCACTCAGGGTATTGATTACATGCCAAAGCCACTTCCTCCTCTACGTGAATCAGCTGAGAAATGGCAGCACTGACAAGGAGTGCTCCACGTACAGCTCATCATCCTGAAGTGCTGCAGTTTTTTAGTGTGTTATGATCCATAACCCAATTACAGGCCACTTCATTTTCCAGGAGTACCAGCTCACATATGCCCATACACATCCACATTCATCTTGTGAGCGCAAACACTCTCCTTTTTGAAACGCCAAAGCAACTTGGAGCCACTGGTCAGAGTAAAAACAAATTAATATAGAGCTCAGACTTTGCAAAGTGGTCACAAGGTAAGAAAAGCTGAAGTTGCTTTCTTGCAGTGTGGTAACAATATCAACCTTTCTCCACGCCTCCCATTCCCATCCTCTTTCTCCCCGGTTGCAACAGGAGGGGCTGAGCTGGTTGTCTTCCCAGTTTGTTTTGCTTTGCCTCGTCTCCTTCCAGTGGCAGGAAGAGAAGTGTTTAATTTTCAGTGCCAAACACATTTGGGTTTTTCTGTCACAAGGAGAACCCTCACAAAGAGAATACACTTCACAGTGACTGATGCTGAAGGCAGAGGGTTAATTTTCACGGGCTCAGCTGAATGTTTTGATTCTGGTCCTTTGGTGTGTGCATAAAGAGAAAGGTCTAAAGTCACTCCAGGAGGGAATAGGTGAGTAGCTTTACCTTTTCCAAGTCTCTGAATGTTAAATGTCTCCTGGATGCAATGCATAGTTCCCCTTCTAAGGCTAAGGGTTAAACACCATCAAGAAATGTCTCTGATCTGTCAGAGCAAGAGGAAAAGAGCAGGGAAAATATGTATTTGAAACTGAAGTAGATGCAAGTAGAATCCTCACTGCTGGCTGGGATGCACCATGGCATGGCCTTTTAAAAAGGATAGAGGTGAAACAGCAGCTCCCAGCCATCACAAGAGCTGCTTGAGACCAAAACCTGAGCTTTTTTCTTGTTTCTTGTGTCTACACCAGAGTGAAATGCTAGTTCTGTATATTCAACAAACCGTGAGCAGAGAACAGAGTGATATTCCTCCTAAAAACCTGGACAGCAGCGGCACCTGCACTGCCAGTGTTCTTCAGAGCCCTCCCTCAGGCTCCACAGGCATCCAGAGCAAGTGTTTGTCACACATTATGGGCCCACCTGAATTTGTTGTTCCACCACAGGCTGGCCCTGTTGTGAGGCTGCTGCAGGAAAATTCTAAGCAGCCGATTTCTAACTCCCTCTTTGCTTTTCTTTGCTTCCCCTTCTGCTTCCATCTCCTATTTTACAGAGGTAAAAAAAAAAGGCAGGAGGACAGATGTGAAAATCCTGGTTATGGAGCAAGCAAGGCCAGGCATCAAGCATGATAAGCTCTTTGCCCGAGGACCAAACCCACTGTCCACGACTGCAGTGACTCCAACCATCACTCAGAAATAGTTTATGGAAGTGGCTTCTCTAATCCTTGCCTCTTTTCTGTTTACTGCTCCACTGTTTGACCTATTCAAGCCTATGGGCTGGGCTTTTCCTCCAACCAGTCCATGAGACAGAAAAGCGTTTCTGACGATTAACAGTTCAGGGTTTGGTTCTGTTTGTTCGTTTGTTGAGTTTGTTTGGTTTTTAACTCAGCTTTGTATTTTTGCTTGTGTGTCAGAAAAATAGATGCAAGAGATGTTTAGAGAATCAAACAAGAGACTGCTTCCTCGAAATGTATGCTAGGAATAACCTCAAGCTGGTGACACTTGATAAGTCACTTTTTTTCGGGATGCTGGCGCGTTATGACTGGCGAGTAACTTACCAACTTTTCCAGCTCCCACAATGGAGAGTAATCTGATGTAAGTTAGGTTATCCTGGGTAGACTCTCATCATCCATATTAATACCTGCTCTGTCTGTGATTATTGATCATCCAGCAGGAAGGTGATGTGCTGCAGATGCACAGGGCTGACGTTTTCAGAAGGTATTCACCTGGTTAATGGGGTGCATCTCCGGGTCTATCCGTCTTTCAATCATTTCGGTCATGACTTCCTGCAAGACTACAGGTTTCCCTCAGGAGTCATCAGACCTTCTACTTCTCCATCTACAGGGCTGACAAGAGATCCCTTCAGACTCCCCCGCCCTGCCACAAAAAGGGGAGGGCCCCTGCACTCCCAAGGCTTAAAAAGGGACCCCTGAACACGTAGGAGATCTTGTGACACGTTATCCCGAGAAAAGAAGACTGAACCTTTGCTGCTGAGATAAGCATGAAGGTAAGTGAGACTTTTCTTGGTGTGTAGGAAACATTTAGCTTGCAATTTATGGTGGGTTTTTTTCCATGTGAGTGCAATATTTAGGAACTGTAGAGGGGCTTCATGATTTTACCTTGAAAATAACCTGAGGCAAATATATACATACTTCTATTTAGTGTTCTTGAAACAACTGCATTAAGAAAAGAACATAACCAGGATGAAATAAACCGCTGTGAATCAAATCTGGGTGGTTAGATGCTCCCTGTTGCCCATCACTGTTCTCAACACATGGTCTGTGAGCACAAGCAGAGGTACAGGATTCATGCTTAGTGCTTTCATTTGCATGTGCTGCATCAGTGGACAGGCTCCAAGAATCAAAAAAAGCCTGTCTCGTGACATGTCTTGTAATCATGGTTGATGTGAATAGGATGATAAGTTTAAAAACTCCTTTTTGAACTCGAGGAAGTAGTGATTGGGTCTCCTGGTTGGTTGGCTTGTTCGTTTGGAATGACACATCTGCTTGTTGTCTAAGGTGTGGTAAAAGCAAGGTAGACTTTATATCATCTTTCCCCTTAGCTTGTGCATTATTCTCACTTTTGGAGGATCTGATGCCTTTGCAAATAAGGAGCACAAAAGGTACTTGCCTTGATGGCAGTTCTCCCCCTTGCAATGAATTTGACTGAAGAGAATAAAGGATGTTTATTTTAACATCCATCCTCTGATCAGACCAGTGTGCACTGAAACACCCACTGAGCAAGAGGGGGCTTTGGCAGCGAGGCAGCAACGAAGGGAAACACCCTCACATTTAGATGGGAAGGTCTGAAAGTCTTTCCCTGTGCCTTGTTGGCTCTTTGTTGTGCACAGGGGCTGCATAAACTGACAGCATCTGGGCTGGCACTGCTCCTGGCAGCATCCTTCGTTGTGTTCTCCTGGAGTGCCCCTCAGGTGAGCTGCTCAGGCTGGACCTGCCTCCCCCATGGAGCTCAGAGGCTGGTGCCACCAAGTATTTGTGCTAATTAGCAATGCCATGAGATGCTGACACGTCTCTTTTCTCTTTCTGTTCTGTGCAAAGGCTCATTTCCAAAGGAGAAACTGGACCCCCCAGGCCATGCTCTATTTGAAGGGTGCACGTAAGTCCCGAGCTCTTTCTGTTCTGAGCAGATGTTGGCTCCACACAAGCAGTAAATCCTGAGGATGCTGTGGAGGTAGAAGCTCTGAGGACTGCAGGGATGTGCTAATTAGTAATTTCTTCTTGTCTCTGAAACAGTGGCATTGGCAATATTATTATTATTATTATTTAAAGAAATCGAACAGAGGACAGCAAGTGTTGGAAGAAGAAAAGCGAAAGAAAGTGGCTGAAAACGTGCAGAGTTTGAAACTTCATCGTAAAACCTATTAGAAAAGCAGTTTACTTACCTGAAATGATCTTAAAGGGGGCTTAAGACATACTGGATATAGTTATTATTCCTTTATTCCCATTCAGGCTTTATTAAAACAGCTTCTCAAGCACTTGGAGAACATGCATTCCTATTTCAAGGATCTTTGCATCAGAGCTGGTATTAAGACCACAAGCTAAGAGGAACTTAGATCAATATTGTGATTTTAAGGTGGTGTAAACGACATTTTGAGTTTCTGCTGTTAGTCCATAGTTAAAGTACAATTAAAGATAAAATTCGAAGCCTAAGAGAGATTTTTGTCCGATTCAAACCCACAAAAGTAAATGGAAATATTAATATTTTTAATAAATGATACTCTGAATTGTTAATTAATTAGGTGATTTAATTAATTAGTTAATTAGTTAATTTAATTAAAAGCTGTTAGGTAGGGTAGGTATTAAGAGAGCAAGAAAAATAGCTTCCTTGAAATTAGAAAAAAAAAATGAAGGTCATAATCCCAGGAGAAATGCAAAATGGAGACAACACAAACAATGACAACACAAAATAAATACAGGCTCCAAACATAAACATAACTGAAAGAAGTTCTAGTGACATTAATTTCTATTCATTAAAAAAATAATCCCTTTTTTGTTTGTTTTTATTTTCTAATTATCTCAACTGAACAATACATTGTGTTACTTCTATGCCAAGTTTTGCATCATTCTTACTGCTGCATAGGAAGAAATGTGACTTGACTTTGTTAGTTTGGGGTGGGTTTTTTTTCATTTTTTAAATAGAAATATCACTGTAAATGGCAGTACTTTATAGTCCAGCAAAGAGATTGAAGGCTCTTGACCACAGAGCAGGAAAGAGGGAGGAAAATATAGTAAATTCCTCCCTATGTACAGTCCCTACAGCAGGTTAATACAAGAAAGAAAAGTGCTGAAACAACAGTTCTAGGGAATAAAGGATGTTCTGGTCCAGGATGGGCTAATCCTGATTAGGAAAGACCCTGAGATGGACCTACACCTCCCACTTTATGCTCGCAGAAGCAGCGCTGCAATTCTGTATTTTGAAATGAGCACTTTGGGGACTGCACAGGAGGAATTCCCACGCACTGGGGAGGTTGTTTTTAACCCTTCTCCCACTGCTTTTGTAGAGGGACGTCGGTTCATCCCAGAGGAGAGCCAGAGAAAGGATCTGTATGACAGGCTGCAGCTTGGTAAGTGCACGTGCACGGGCAGGTGGCACACCAGTCTTTCCACAGGTTATGGGACAAATCTGTGGGATTTGTTTTCCTGGAATCCTAGACAAGGCAGCAATTAAACCCCCTTCTGTTAGTTCCTTCACTCCAAAAAGCCCATGACGAAGTGGCTTTCCATTCTTGTGCACCCCTGTGACTTTATTTACATAATTTCCAGACTGACCTGGCTGTTCAGTGGGATTCTCATCAGTATTTTTGACTTGCTTTCTCCACTGGGATAAAATCAAGTCAAGTTATTAATTGTGCTGAACTGAAATATTACAAAAGGAGACAACATTAACCCCTGCTAGGGCAATGTTTCTGGAGGAAACAGGTTGTTGTAACAAAGTAAGGAACATATTAAAAAAAAAAAAAAAATAAAATAGACTTTGAAATAACCTCCCTCCTAAAAAGATTGCTAAATATCTTCTGTGTTATCTATCAGGCTCAGCAGAGAATGTTACAGAGCAAAGGAAATAACAATATTTTCTTCTCTTTGTGTCTCTAGTTACATAAATAATAATAAAACAAAGAACAGAGTAAAGAAATGCCCTCAGACACTAACAAACCACGCATCTGTGATTTTATAATTCTAGAGACACGAAGCCAAAACACAAATCCTTTATCTCTTTCTGAAGCTGCTGCACTGCTCCTTAGTTCCTTACAGAAAGCAAAAGAAGGTAAATGCATGTTTTGTCTTACTCTGGCTTTTTTGAAAAAGGAGTTTTTCAGCATTTCATTTACTAACAACTTAGTAAGTTGATCTAGTTTGAATTAGTGTTCTACAGAGTGCATTGTGTTACAAGTCCAGGCGTATGCCCAAATTATGCTCTTCCCCTCTTTGATTCAGGACAGGGAGGGACAAAAAGTGGCTAAAGCCACCTGGCTGTGAGTTCCTTATTCAAACTATTAATTACTGACATCCTGACAGGAAAAAAAAAAAAAAAAGGCTTTATTTGAATTAGGAAATGTGAAGCAAACCCTTAGCAAAATACGAGGTGATTTTGTACCTTTCACACCTTTCCTGAAATGCCAAGAGGGTGTGAGAAACACCTCACAGAATTTACCTGGTGTATGGACAGATGTGCTGGGACCACTCCTGTCTTTGCCACGTCCTAAAATCTCCCACTGTACCTCACGTAGTGCTGAGGGTCCAAGCTCAGCTCTACCTCCCCTGTCCTGGCCTAACTACGCTAACAAAAAGAAAATTCAGGGGCATTTTGCCAAGAGAGAGAGGCAAATTTAAACATTAGCATTGTGCTTTGGACAAAATACATGAGCAGTTCTAAAGATAAAACAGTCAAAGTGTCATTTGTATTCCAGCAAAAAGAGAAAATCCTCCAAAGGTGGATTTTTATAAATTTTAGTGGTATTTTTCTGAATGCTGGTGCTGTTCCAAAGAGGTGGTGGACAGCAACAACCTCCTGAGGAAAAAGGTGATGGATCTGAGAGAGCTCAGCAGAACTGGCAGCCTTTTGGAAAAAAATACTATGTGGAATAACATTACTATCACTGAGCAGGGAATAATAAGATATTCAAATCTGGGCAAGCCAGGCACTTTCAGGAGATAATTTTCAGGTGATCTTTAGAGTCCTCTTGACTGAGGGCAATGTGCAATTAAAGAACAAACACCTTCTTTTCGTCTTTATGAAAAATTTTTGCCCTGTACTAAAAGACCCCTCGGGAGGGGGTTGTATCTTTGCTCTTCAGCAAGCAGAAAAATTCCTACATTTAAAATGAGAGAAGACATCCCCATTTCTAGAGATGCCTGACCCTCTTAATATGACTAAGGAGTCACATTACACTAGGTCTGTGCTTGAGGCACATCTATCTCCTGAAAGATTTGCCTGGCTGAACTTACCTTTATCCACAACTTACTTTTCCCCCTTGGTGTTTTGTCTTTACAGCTGAAGAGGAAAACACTGATCATCCTGGCTACTTGACAGACAATCTATCAAACTGGTGAAATATTTCAAATTTCTTTAGCGTTTGTATTGCATTGACCCCCCTGAAAGCATAACTTGTGTAAGCAGAGTGTTTCATGCATTCTCACTTAAGTTCACCCAGGGTGACATATATAATTTGCATTGCAAAATTCTGAATGCAAAGGGATTAAAAGGCACAAGTTCAGGTAAGGGGAAGCGTATGTAAAGTTCCTGCTTTCCTTAGGCCGTTTGGTATGTCATGCCCAAAATTTAAAATGCACCAAAATACCTGAAAAGAGGATTAAAATGGTCTTTTTGGACAACTCCTTCATTAAAAACAGTTTTTCAGTTGTCATTGGGGAAACTTTTGCCACCTTCCACCCAGGTGTATATTGAAGCTTTTTTAATTTTCACAAGGACAGATTCTTTTACCACTTCACTGCTGCCCCTGTAAGGTGCTGATGGCCAATAAATTCAGTGAGATATTAAAGAAATCCAGCTATTTTTGGCTGCAGGTATCAGTCACCACAGGGAATGGGCAGCAGCACCTACTGCCCCAGTTACACACACGCAGAAATGTGAATAATTCTACTGAGCAAGTCCCACCACATAAAGACACTATGGGGACTTTTACACTGTCAGGGCCTCATTAATGACTTCATAGTTATGGTGCTTTTTGTTCTTGCTTTTTGAGTTGCAGAGCTGGAATTGTACATAACTCTGTTCGTTATCATTCCATGCTGATAAGGATGTATCCAGCATTATCCGTGTCACTTTGTGCTCTTACTGGAAAGCCCTCTGTAGTTCTCATGGTAATTAAAAAGTAGCCACATGATTTTTGTGTCCAAGTAACTATGTTTTATTTGTTTAACCTTTAACCCTAGTCATGCCCTTCATCTTTGAACACAGCTTTCCTCCAGTCCTTCTCAGGACACTGCTAATTAACTTGGTTAACTCACACTAACAATAATGCTGCTTCTCCTCAACACAAAGAAAGGCAGCTGAAGGAAGAGAGGAATTAATTTCTATCATGGGGTTAGAGGCACTTTCAGTAATTGTTTATAATCTGTATCATTTTATGGAGGAAACATAACTGGAGAAATCAAAACGCCCAAGTTTGCTCATTTTTTAAGCACTAATATATCTTTCAATGTGTTGTGCGACAGAATACATTCATGATGAACTTCACCTGAAGATCAGTGGTATCCACCAGAATCCTTTCATTAATTTAACTGCCCTTTGTTTCAAGCAATAATGTCAGGTTTCTGGATTTATTTTTTTTAAGAGAACATTAACTTTCAGTCAATATGCCCTCTGAATGTTCTTTCATTGGGACTCTCAGCCATTACATTCTTTGGCTTTGCAAGGGAACTCTGATTAAAAGCACTCTGTGGAAGAAACTCACAAAGTGCAGTTTCCCATTTAGTAAACTTTATGAAGGAAAATATTGGCAGCATCTTGGCTTTCACCACTTTCACATGAAAAACTACTCACCGTTTTAATTATTTTTAAATGGTTAAAAAATAGTGACTCCTTTTAAATCCAAATAATTTTGTCATAAAAGCCTGACCCTACTTCTGAGAATAGTTATTCTTTCAGGTATCCAAACCAGCTTAAGACTGAAAATCCAATTTTAAAACTGATTTTAGGTGGCCAAAAACACAAATAGGCACATTGTCACTTTTATTTTATATGGCCTAAAATAAGGAGCATGTCAACAAATGATGGTTAAGTGTTTGAAAGGGAGGTGTCTCATCAAAGTTGGACATTTGGGGTCCCCCTGAGGTTGGTAGTGAAGGCACCTCCAAAGGTTACATCCTCCTACCTGCTGAAGAACAGGCTGAGTCAACTCCTGGAAATGCCTTTTCTTGAACAGCATGAGAAATTCTGGATGGCTCCTTCTTGACATCTTCATGTCAAGATCTGCTTCTGAAGAGCATTTTCAGGAACTCTCTGCACCTCTAGGAACTGAAAAGCTTCCTGTAAGGCAAACGAAAGGTCCAGTTCTTGTTGTGAGGTTAAATTATTCCCCAGGCACTTCGAAGTTTCAGGTGCATTTCCAAATCCGCCTGTGGGTTCTTTTAGCATTATTTTTTAGATTAGATCTCTTCTAGAAGTGAAATAAATCAGTGGGCTAATGGAGCAATTGTTACCCCTCTTCGAATGTTGCCACATTACCCCGTGGCCTGGAGGTTTATCTGCAGGGGAAGGTGTTACTTGAGGAAGTTTTGCCAATCACTTTACCCAAGCCACGTTAATTTCCTCCCAAACCAGTCTGTTAACAAACTTAGAATCTGAAGCAAGATGAAAACAACAAAAGAAACACACCAGAGGAATCAGAAAATAAATGGTCTGCTGTTTATTGTGGGTCTAAATGGCTGCAGAGAGACGACTTCTCTAAAATTCAAAATGCCCACTGCGTGAGACTTTATATTGTTCCACAGGAAGAATGTTTTACCACTGGATCAAGACACTTCTGTGTGCTGTAAAAAAAAATGTTTTAAATTATGTAAGCTTACAATAAACAGCATAAGGAAAAAAGGAAGACCATTTTCTTTTCAGTGTATCTTTTTTAACTCTTCCAATATTTCTCCGCTGAAAAGCTTTTTTTTCCCTCTAATTTTTTGAACTCTGGTTTAAAGTTCACGTTAGTTTAGGATGGAAAAAGGGGAAACATAAATGAAGCAGGAATTCATTCATTTGGGATACCCAAAATGGAGCTATCTGTGTAGACTATGATTAATAGAGTGATTCTGTAGACAAAGGTATGATCTGCAGTTTGTAAAAGCTCCCGAGGGGATTGTTGCATTCTCTAGATTTATTAAGCTTGAGAAATCTCTCCTACCTCGAAGGGGCACAGGAAAATTGTCATTTAAACTACTTTCAAGGTGAAATAATATTAGGCTTTCCAACAGTGTAGCTCAAATAACATTTAAGGTTCTCCTAATTATATCACGCTGTCCTCAACACAAAGCTTGCCAGGGCTACAGGAGGAACTGCTGAACGGCTGGAGGGACACCCTGCCAGGGTGAGAGCAGTGAATTCAGTTCCTGTATTCCCCATGCTGCTTCTTTTTTCCTTGTGGCAACGCTCCAAGGGAAAAGGGAGACTTGATGTTTTGCCTGTCCCTCTCGGCCTCCTCGTCCTCGTCGTATCTCTCATCCTCATCTTCATCTTCGGCCTCGCTGTGGTGGGGGCTGGAATGCTGAGAGGCAGAAGGTGATGGTGGCACTGAGGAGGGCCTGGGGTACCTGAAACCTTCCGTCTGGAAGAGAGAGACACGAGTTGGAGGTGTTAGCACGGTGTTGCCCAATCGGTTGTACACAGAATTTTAAGGCTATCAACACTTCAAAGGGAACAGGGGTGCTCTGCACTCTAAAGTTAAACTCCCTCGAACCCAAATCCCCTCAGTTCTCCTCTGTCAGTATGTACAGATCTTTAGCCTGTGCCATAAATAATATGCTGCCCTTCCAGCACTGCTTTCTGCAACATATGACAATCTTTACTGAGCCTTAAAACCACCGGCACAACTCAAAATCCTTCTGTATTCTGTAGTCCGAATATGCTCACTGAAATTCAGGACTTCAGCCTGAAACTTCCAAACAGTTTTCCAGTTTTAATATCAGTATCTGCAAAACCAGAACCAACCAAGGGGTTTAGGTCTGAGCCTCCTTTCTGCTACTTATTTTAAAAAAAAAAAAAATTAAAGTTGCTCTCTGGAGGTTTGGTTTCAAATAACATCGTTCTTACAGTGGTTCTGAGCAGCCTCCCTTCTCAGACTAGTGATAACACATACTAGGCAAGAACTGCTTGAAGGTCTGCCATTAAACTGACCCCTCGCAGTTCCAGACAACATAACCATGTTTAGATGAAGGCAATACTTTGCCTCAGTTTCCCTAGAACATCCTTTCCCAGCTCCTTTTCTATTTGGTTTGTGCAGAACATCTCCATGACATTTATCAGAAGCTGCCACTCTTTTAAGAGGAACTTCAGAGACCAGTTCCTCAGCTGGTCCAAAGTGTCATAGTCCCATCCAGGGCACTCTAAATCATCTGAAGAGTCGCTCCTTTATCATAGTTAATATTTTAACTATGAGTTCCTATTTCCCTCCAGTTAACTCAAAACTTGCTGATTCTCTTCTCCCTCTTTCTGCCAAACACACACACACACTTTCTCTCTCTTTATTAAATGAACTCAAATTAAGTTAAAATAAGTTAAATTAAGTTAAAATCAACTCAAAAGCAGACTCTACCTTTGGTGGAGCACTTGGTTCCATCTCAAATTTGTCTGGGAATGTTCTGCTGAGGGCCAGGTGTCGGGCGTGCATGTAGTACTGCAAGGTAAAAGAGAAGCCTTTACAAGTCAAGGAAGCCTTGGGTAGATTTAAGCAGGGAGACAAAGGAACAAAAAATTAGAGTCTTCTAAAAGATGATGCTGAACAAAGTCTAGACATCTTTTCAGCTAAGCAGAGTCCAGCTGATACTGCTGCCTGTAATGAAGACATTGTTGTGAAGGAGCAAACCATCCATGTTAGATTCACAGCAAAAAAGTCTGGAACAGAAGCTGAATAAGGACCCTGTAAGAATAAGATGTATTAAGATGGAAACTAGGACTTGGTCAGTGTAGTTCTTACTGAGGGACAGGTATTCTTTATCCCTCAAGATAGACCTGGCTCTTTTTTAACCAGGAAAATTGATATCTCTAGGTGTGCACATGTATACACATAAACTTCAGACCCATCATTGCACAGGAAGCACGTGTAACAGTTACAGAAAAATAGTATTTCTGAGTTTACTGATGCCTGGCTTTTAAGAATTTGGCAAAAATATTTATGGATCCACCATACTCCTGAGTTTGCAGCACATGCACAGAACAAATAGCTTGTTGTATCAGGGCCTTATGCTGTGTGGAACCATATAAACACCAAGGTTCTCACACACAGGTATCAGAGCAGGCAAAGGTCCCAAAGAGTTACAAAACTAATATATAAGTGCATCCACTTCTTTACTCCTGTGGCCTTGAAGTATTGCTTTGCTGCTGTCTTCTTAGCAGGTGGTCCTGCAGTGCTTTCTCTGTCAAACTAAAAACACTGCTTTGCCTTTTAAGGCACAGAGGTAGTTTAGGAGCGCTGAGGAGCCACAGGGGCCAGAAACATCTTAGGAAGAATGGGTAGGATTTTTGAAAGTGTCCAGGTGGCTTTGGAGCACAATTCCTACTCAGTGCATGTGCTGCCAGTGTCACCAGGTTTTTATATCGTCTTTAGCACCAGGAAGAGCTCAGAGTGACTGCTTGTTGCTCTAACCTATTCAGTCAAGTCACATCTCTCCTTGCCACTGGAGCATGGAAGCACTACACTGGAATGTCAGGGCAGGCTTTGCCTTTAGCACCTTTGGGAGATGCTTTTCAGCACAGGGCTGTCTCACAGAATCACAGAATGTGCTGAGTTGGAAGGGACCCACAGGGATCATCAAGTCCAACTCCTGGACCTGCAATACCATCCCCAAGGGTCACACTCTGTGCCCCAGAGGATCATCCAAACCCTCCTGGAGCTCTGGCAGCCTTGGGGCTGTGCCCACTGCCCTGGGGAGCCTGTTCAGTGCCAACCACCCTCTGGGGGAAGAACCTTGTCCTGAGATCCAACCTGAGCCTGCCCTGGCACAGCTCCAGCCATTCCCTGGGTGCTGTCCCTGGTCCCCACAGAGAAGAGCTCAGTCCTGCCCCTCCTCTGTCCCTCCCCAGGAATTCCTTGCACTTCAGCATGATGTGAAGATGGTTGATCAGACTGAGAACCTGGAATTTTTAACACTTTTGTTGCACAGTTCCACGCACCCTGCCGAGGTATTTCCAGTCCAGGAGGTCCGAGAGCCTCTCGGTTCGGTTCCTCTGGATGATCCTCTGGCGAAGGGACTGCTGACAAAACCCATACAGGAACTGGGTCAGTTGGTTGCACGACTCGTCCGGGGAGCGGAACCTCCTGTCCACAATGTAGATACCTGAGGGACACAGAAAAGGTGGACGTGAGCGGAATTAAACATGGGATCTGACCTCTCACATGTCCAATCTGCCTTCTTCCACATGGCCTTACAAGCATTACGTGTATTACACACTCTTTTTAATGTTAAAACACAGCTACAACTGTATAACATTTGTCCCTGCTCTGATGGAATGGGAAGCTGAAGAGAACTAGTTTTTTTATTTTCGTTTTCTCTATCTGAAATTCAGCCAATTCTTCAAAACTCAGAGGCTTTGTTGGTGCTGTGTAAGTATGTCCAAAAGGATTCGAATTTCCGGATAAAGAGACCTCATTTTTTAATCTCCCATAATTTTCAAAATACTGACTGATCAAAAAAAACTCACATAAACCAGTGTTTTTCTAGTTTGCTGTAGAATTTTTGAGTGTGGATGGTCAGAATCAGCCTGTAGGAGAGAGACTGTGTTTTCTGTAGAAAGACAAGTGTTTCCATAGAGACACTGAACTCACATGCATCAGTCAAGAGACAATTCTGGCAGAGAGAGGGCAGAGGTGAGCTTGGCCTTTACGTAGTTTGTTAAGATTAATACTTTATTTTCGGCACCTTCCTTACACCAGGGTGTTGGGAATAAGATGGAACTAGACCTCAGCTATCTTTCACTGCTCCTTTTGAAGGGCTCAGAGGTATTAGAGGGAAATGCAGGGAGACTCTACATCAGTATGAGCAGTGGGGAGTTCGGAAGGATAAAGAAGATAACAGGTTAAAGGGAGACAAAAGAGAAATAACCTGGGAAGGGTTTGGATAAAAACGAAAGTTGGAAAGGCTCATTCAGCATAACAAGCTATTGAAAGCTGTAGATATGAACTCCACTGCATTAGTGAAATCACCAAATTGAGGAGTGACGACACGGTTGTTGTGCTTTTTGCCTCCCTAACTCAGAGGGGATGAGTTGATGTGGCGGGACAAAAATGTTACCGTAAGCTGCTGGGTCAGAAACGTGTTCCTGCATGAAACAGCCAAATCCAGAGAGGTTTGTGGTCACACTGGGAATGCCCATCACGGTACATTCAGCTGCCAAAAGAAACAGACAAAAAAAGCGTTTCAGGGCGACAAACTTCGTGTGGTTTCACCTCGAGAGAGAAAATAAAAGGAAAAATAAACAGGCAGAGAAGAAGGTCCCGTAACACTGGAGCTGCTCTGAAAATGTCAAGTGAAAACTATAATGCTTTGTTGTGGATTTGGAGAAAAAGTTAACAAAAAAAAAAAAAAAAAAAGGAAGAAAAAGAAATTTTAAACACAAAATTTCATACTGTGTTTGTAAATAGATATATCTGAGTTTTCCAGTAGCTACACTGAAAACTTTCTGGGAGTGCAGCGTTGAAACAGAGAACCCCAGTATATAGTCTGGACTGTTTGACTTTCAAATTGAAGCCTGGTTCATTAGCTGTTCACAAATCTTTACAAAGCTGATTCTCTAAGGACCAGGATCATCTTAAACTTTGGGTTTGATACTCACTGTTTGTAAACTGGTCCCTGCAGCAAGAAAAAAACTCAACCAACAAACCCCACCACTAACTCAGGACTGCATTCACAGTAGAAGTGGAGCTAATTTTATAAAATCAGAAAAATATAGGCCTATTTTGCAGTTATTTCTGTCATGGTCATGAGTAAGGATAACTGTTCCCTCAGACTTCAAAAAGTTGTTGCAGATGAAGTTAAGCCCAACCTAAGCCAGCACACAGGTCAAGTAAACACTCCAGTCTTTGAAATGCAGGAAGCCATCTCTGGGGCCTCCATTGATATGACAATAAAACATGTCTATAAAGTATACTTATAAACCTATATTTAAAAAAAAATCACTCTTCGTTTCTGGGAGATTTAAATGGGTATCAATGAAGAAAATTGTTTTTGCATCAGTAAAGAGAAACCACTCTTTTGACAAGTATAAAGCACAGTTTTCCTCAAAACTGTCAAGTACCAGTCTAACTTTTCTGTCCAGGTCAGAAATCATCCCTGGCTGTCACATTTACTTTATACCTTGGCTAAGATTAGAAGAGGAAGAGAAATTGCTGGCATGCAAGAGGGTTATATCTTGGAACTGAATAGCTCTCTTAGAGAGAGAAAGCTCTGGAGAACAACAAAACTTGCAGAATTTCTATTCTGATTCATTGGCTTAAAACAAATGTTCTTACGAGGGGTACCCCAACTTCAGATGTGTATGAGGACTACAGAAAGTATTTTGGAGGACATGAAAAACATGGACTTGTCAGCTTTGATCTTCACAGGTACTCAGGTTCATAGTTCTCACTGATTTCATCAGGTGTTCAGTGCCTTTTTTTTGAATGGGGGCCAAATTTCAAGTCAGAATCTATATGCTCTCTGTATTTTTAGAAATTTCCACTTAATTCCATGAGATTCAGTACCACTGTGTGTATTTGTGGTAAATAACTTAGCTATGGTGTTACACAATTCTCTCAAACCAAGCTGTTATCTTGAATTAAATCCACTGAACTCTGTCAGCTCATAGCATCAGATTTCTTGCCCTGGTTTTTTTTTTTTCAACATTTACATTCCTGTAAATCTTCTTTGAAAACCCTTGAATCAAGTTAAGAATTAAGTTATAAAAATTATTTCTTGTTCTAAATCCCCAGAAATCAAAGGAGTACATGTTAGTACGGGAAAGGGTGCAGTGCAAGGACAAATGTGAGTAGTTGTCAGTCAGTGGATGACATTTTATACCACCCAGCCCCACAATTTTTCCAGTAGTAAGACCTTTGCACTGCAGAAAAACAGAGCCTCAAAGAGTTTTTGCAGCCCTCCAGAGGAAATTGGTTGCAGAGTTATTCTACACCAACAGAATGGGTGTTCATCTTTCCATCCTGGTTAAGGGTACACAGGTTGCCTACCTGGAGTGTAACCCCAGGGCTCGTAGTAAGATGGGAAGACACCGAGGTGGCAGCCTCTGACAAACTCCTCATAGTCCAGGGGCAGCAACGGGCTTGTTGAAGAAAGAAACTCTGGATGAAGGATCACCTGGATATTCAAAACTTAACGTTAGAGGTGCAAGAAAACCATCGTGGGTACACTTTAATTATCAATAAGCTTGAGCAATTTATTCACCCTCTTCCTAAGTATCTGGACAACACCTCCTCTGACCAGTCATCTGTTATCTAATCCACTTCCCACACTGAAATGTATCCTCCACACAAGAAGTTTTGCATTCTTGTCCTGGAAACAGGATTGATAATGAACTTTTTTTCTGGACAGGCCTTCAGCTTTATCATTCTTCACCAAGAAAGACCATGTGCATTGAGAATTATGCCTAAAGCTGTGGTATTTAGCAAGACCATATGGGTTGTCTTGGTCTGGTGTACCAAGGCAGAGGATTTCTAAGGGCCTGGAGGGACAGGACAAGTTGGAATGGTTTCAAACTGACAATGAGCAGGTTTAGATTAGATATTGGGAAGAAATTCTTCCCTGTGAGGGTGGGGAGGCCCTGGCACAGGTTGCCCAGAGAAGCTGTGGCTGCCCCATCCCTGGAAGTGTCCAAGGCCAGGTTGGATGGGGCTCTGAGCAACCTGGGCTAGTGGAAGGTGTCCCTGCCCATGATAGGGGGATTGGAATGAGATGATTTTTAGGTCCTTTCCAACTGAAACCATTCTGGGATTCCATGATTTGGGATGTCTTGTTAAGAGGAGGCCTCAGGCAGATAAAGCTCTTGTGAGCCCCACAGCATGCACTGAAATAAAGCAATATTTACCATGCTCAACAGATCTCCCAAGAACAAGGAGAATTTTGGAACCAGACATATTATGGCCTCATCACCACATTCCTGTGCCTAGGGCAACTAATCTTGCTGGAAGACAAAGCTTATTAACTTAGGCTGATGTCCCACCCTCAGGACTAAAGCTAATTTGTCTGCATGACTCTGCAGGGCTTTGGGGTCACTGCCCCATTTCCACTGGCAGGCAGGGAAGTGCCTTGTATGATCTGTCCAGTCAGCTTTGGGGGGAAAAAGTGTGTGGAAAATGGTTTAAACTCCCCTGGGTTTATTTCCCTGCATAAACACACTGCAGCCATCCCTCCATGCCGAGGATATGCTTTTATCCCTTCTTAAAAACAGAGTCATGCTACTCACTTGAGTAAATAAATGAAGGTACTCAGCCAGTAAATGGGCTGTAGACTCATTCTGCAAGTTTATTTGATGCCAGTGATTCCACTGGCATTGCTGAGGGTATTTTTCACATGCCAGCTGTGTCTGAGTGGGTATGTCACACATTTCTCAAAATTTGTTTTCCTTCTGAAGCTTTTTTTGTCCATGACATTCAGCTCATTAAGAATATTAAGAATTAAGCCTGTTCATGCAGCAGGTAATTTTCCAGTGGTAACAACAGTTTTCTATAAACCTGACATATGCCAAGACAACCAAGTCTGCTGAGAATCAGGAAGAGGTGTCTGCAGTGTTTTGTACTATTTGCTTTCTAATTTTCAAGCAGTTGTCTAGTTCCAGTTCTGGGGAATTTTTTACAACATTTATATCCAGTGCATCTTTCCACCCTGCTTTTGTTATATCCAGTGTATCATTACCATGTTATGATCCCAGAATTCATTGGAGACACACATTTAGGAGAAAATATGTTAAGCCAAGGAGAAGCAAGTAGGAAGTTAAGGAAAATATTTACTCAGTTACTGACATGGGTTTAAAAACACTGAGAACAAGTAATATGTTCTTGTCAGAGATACTATGGATATGACTTTAAAAAGAAGGTTTGGAAGAAGAATAATTTGAAATATTAGGTTCTACTTGGACTGGACAGATGTTGAGAAAGTTAACAGAAAGATTGCCAGAGCAAAAAAAAACGTTGGGAGAACTTGTGAGAGCAGGAGCTGATCGTTTCTGTGGTTAGACAAAGTAACACATGGAAATAAGGAAAGGATTTACTTACATACATTTAGTTTCAATCAAAACAGGAATTATTTCTGCTTGGGATTGAAGCCCTGGTTATTTTCTACAGCAAATACTGATTATCAGGGGGCTGTTCTGAAGAGAGGAATCAACACTCCATGAACGTTTGTGCTCCAACTTTGGACCTCTAGTTTTAAGCAAATTAATCTGTGGCAGGGTTTTACATCCAGGTGCAAACAACCCGTGGCACTTTCTTGATTTCAGGAGTAGAAACTCCTCACTCTGCACAGGAAGCAGACTGATCCAGACTGGGACTGGACCAAAGAAAGTCCATTTTACATCTGAAATTCAAAGGGCAGGACGTACCTTTACTCTGTCTGTCCGGTTGTTGAAGAGGCCGATGCGCCGGATGGTGTTGAGGATTGGGTCGTTGCCGTCGTCAATCATGTTGTGGGTGGTCACTGGGGGCAGACAGTGTCTCTAAAGACAGAAAAAGAAACCCATAAGCCAGACAAAACTCTTGGTAAACAGTTCTGTCACCATTTTCTGTTACAGTTCTATCCCCATTTTCTAAGGTTAGTGGAAGACAGTGGGAGATTTTGTCATTGATGTGAGTAGGTTTTCATTTTAAGGTAAGAAAGAATGATCACATAATGTTGTCTTCCATATAGCTAAGGCCAAAAATGAGACCATAAAGTCTGGATTTGCTTCATTTACCTCAAAATACACATATCTGTAGTAACTTTTAGAAAGGCCTACTGTTTAATTCCAAAGGTTTTTAGTCAATATATTATATCTTCCTTAAGAGTTTGATTTTACCTATTTAGTAGATCCAGACTTCAAGAACAACAAAATATTTACATGTAGTGCAGAAGAAAAGAATTAGAAGTTTTGGTGTCCTGCATGTGTTCTATGAATTTCCCAAAAGAATTAGTTTAGGTCATGCTGGCATTAAAAACAGCCACAGCTGATCTTTCAGTGTTACCAATGAGAGAGGTATATCTGCTGAAAACATCTTCCCAATGCACAGACAATCCTCCTACAACATAACATTTATCATTTGTACTAGATATTTATGAAAATAATACATTTTCTGACCTGAGTTGAATAGATGGCTCTTTTCATAATGGTTATATCATCTCGGTCAAGAATCTTGTTCAAGTCTGGAATTTCTCCTCTGCAAAATCAACACAAAGGCTGTTTTACCAAATGACTTGTTAAGAGGAGAAAGAACACAAAGAAACAGCAAACAAGGTCTGATATCAACATGAATCTTTACTTTTTTTTTCATGTCCTTTCTATATTTCCTCTATTTTGTTCTCCCATACACTTGCTGACCTGTCAATTAGCTTCCAAAAAAGCTAAGCAATTCTTTTTTTTTTTTTCCCCCCTCTGTTCTTCAGACACAGTTTGTTTTTTTGCTGAAGTTCCAGTCATCTCACTTGTGCTTTGGGCCATTCACTTCCAACTGTCTTTTGAAACAATATGACTAAAGCACTAACAAATATTACTTTATGCTTTATGTTATGTTACTTAGACATCCCAAATGTCTATTAAGATTCTTTACACCATGAGATGCTAATATTTTTTTTTCCTCTGTGATTTGTGATTTGCCTCTATGTGGTCCCACATCCTTCCTATGGATGTCAAAATTTCCTCCACAAAGAGCAGCAGCACAGAAGCACCACAGGTGAACCACCTGCACATGAGGCTCTGCAAGGCAGAGCAAAGCAACCCATACACTCACTTTAGCAGGGCATTGTAGAGCTTCTTTCCAAACTTTTCTTTCACAGACTGGGCAATGTCCCTAGGAAGATAAATAAATACATGTTAAAAAAAAACAAACCAGAAGAATCCAGGACAAAGCATAAAAGAGATTTCCTGCTGTGGGAAAATTAAACTGTGCTCTGATCAGTGGGCCACGTTTCCCAGGTGTCACTACAAAAAAGAGAACATATACATGACCCTACACATTGAAACATGATCATTAACACTGGACATTAATCAAGGCTGAGAGGTCTCCAATTCAACTGATAAAAAGATACAAGGGATTTTAAAAGAAGCTCCCTCTTTCTGCCTTATTTCCCAACTCAAAGACTTTTGAAAACAAGCGTTAGACTGAAAGGCAGTTTGTTGTAATTAGTTTGGAAAACAAAAAGAAACTCCCTGAAAAGCTCAGGCCAAGTTTTAAGCTCATAATAAAGCCTGTGCCAGACAAATGTCTTATTTTTGGCTAAGGAAGAACTCCAGTGAACCACTGTTCTAAATGCAAAGAGTAAGTTACATTATTCTTTCCCTTGTCGAAACAACTTGAAAATGTAACTGGAAGTTCTGCTGTCAAAACAGCAAAAGCACTCTGAATTTGAGTAAAATACCCACTTCCTGGAACTTTTCCTGCCTTTCTGATTTCTATCCATACTTTGGGCTAAGACAAAGCTTGTTGAGTGAAATCCTGAACTTTACCAAGCTGAGAATCCACACACCTGTCTTTAGTTGCTCTCTCCCAGCTCACATAGACACAATAGTTGATGGGTTAATTTTGGATGAGTTGTAAAGCAGCTAAAATGTCAAACCACACTGATCCAAATCCCACCAAACTCGTCCTCCCCATCACCATATTTTCTTAGACTCATGCCATGCACAATATCCAAAACTTAACCCAGATGGGATAGACTGCTTTTGCAGAAGCAGAGGAATTTTATGTCCCAGATCAGCCATCATCCTCTCCTTAAAAACTGCCAACCTCTTCTTGTATTTCATTTCTGTGGCATCCTTCAAATCATCTAATGCTATTATGTAAGACTGTAGTCAGGTGATTTTATCCTGGAGCTCCAGATTATGACCATGATAATGCTGTATATGATGATGATGCAGAGGGTCTTTTGCTTTCCATGGAGCACAGTGGGAAGGACAGCTGGAAGCAGGAGATTTTTGCATGATTTTACATTTTAGTTTTACCTTTACTGTTAGTTACTACTGTTCCTGCATTACTGAGTACCAGAGAAATAACCATGTACTAGAGATACAACACTCTGCATATTTCATGTAATTTAAACTTTCCTTAACATCCATACATTATTTATTCAATGTGTACCTGTCGAATTATAGTCAAACTTCACATACTTTATATCAAAGACAAAGCAGAAGCCAAAAGCACTCATTGCAAGCACAGCTGTGTCTCACTGCACTCACGTTATTTTCTTCCAATTCCTGTGTAGTTCTCATTAGAAACCCTGGCACAACTTATTAGAAATTAGAAAATTCTCTTTAGAAACTGTCCTCTCACTTCAACCATCTAGATTTTAAGCTGACTGCACAGATCCTCCCCACATCCTCAGAGCGTGACATTCCATTTCAGAGCATCATTCCTTTCACCCATCATCTGGCACCTCCAGAAGGGGTACAGGATGAAACATCCTCTGGACTGAATCATCACTCTCCACTGGCAGTGCTGAAGGCAGCTGAGACACGTCATTGCTGGGAAGCCAGAGCTGGACAGTTAATTCCAACCTGTACATTTGTGGGACCTGTTTCCAGAGTGGTGACCAGGCAGAATGTTCCCTGTAAGTCCCAAGAAGCTGCTGTGTGATGACATCAGAGATAATCCAGAGAGCAGAGACATTTCTCATACCTGCCTTCTTTCCCAGATATGGCAAAAGCTGAATTACTTCAGTGACCCCTGTTAAACTATTTCTGTCCCTGGTTTTGGGGAGGTTTAGTATCTGTTAGTCATCGAATTCAGCTTGATTACAGATACCCAGAAATTAAGCCAGAGATCATCTGCTGGAGGCATTTAATGAGATAACAAGAAAATCAGTATCTTTCTCTTACACGGTGCCTTTCATCTACAGATCTCTAAACTAGACTTCTATCATTTTATAAATACAGAATTGGCATCACTTTAAAGACTTTAAACACGCTGAGACACAGGCAGAAAAGGAGGTCTTGTGGATTTTAGTCCCTCAGTTTTAAGACCAGCTTCCTTATTTCTGCAGCAGAGTTTCACTGCTGCAGCCCCTGATAAGGTGCCCGTTTCCATTCCCCTGCTCAGAGAATTAATCTGTAAATCTGTTGAGTGCAATGGCATTTTTCACCTTTGTTTTCTTAAACAAAATTCCTCCCTGATAACCCACCACTGGTTTTTCTTTATGAATCCCAAACTTCAGTTTTTGCCACATCACTTGGTTCAGAAGTACCACAAAATATGTGCCTTTCCCTACGTAGAATCACACAGCAGTTAAAGTGAGGTGAAGAACTCTGCTCTTGCTTTGTTTTTTTTTTTGTGTGTTTTTTTTTGTTTTGTTTTGTTTTGCTGTGGGAAGTTGTAAAATTAAAGCTTTTAAACTGAGAAGGCCTGTGACGATTTTCCCTTTATAGTTTTAAGCCTCACTGCTTATTGTAGGCTGCACACAAAATTACAGACAATTATTATCAACTGTTATTCTGCTGCCTCAGCCAGCACAATTTCCGTATTTCTACGTAGAAGAGGATGTGTCATTAATTTCTTTTTCCTGCAGAGAAGCTTCCTGTGATAAATTAGCAGTGAGTCTTTATTTTGTGGGAGCTCTATGGCACATCCAAAGGGAATACCAGAAACAGTCAGAAGACATCCAGAGCAGTGGATTTTCTAGAACATTTGACTTTGTGGCTGCAAAGCAAATACTACTTGCTAATGTGTTACAAAGAATGGCAAGGGAAGTTTACTACAAAAAAAACCCAAACACACACAAAAAAATAAATCAAAAAGGAGAAATATTTACCCTCATTTATCATTCTCATCTCTTTCATCCCTGAAATATGTTCTAGTTACCCACAACCCTCAATTTTAGCAGAGCCAAAAGAAAGGGCATCGTTCCTCAGCTGAAACTTTTGCATGTGTCCCGAATTCACTGCACTGAGCCCTTGGAGAGAGCGGGAATTACCAGAGCTGCTTCCTGACTGCTTGTCCTTTCAGGGTTTCCACGTTGAAATTGTTTGTCTTTGCTGGCATGATGAAGAACACAACAACTGTAACGTCAGTCTTATGGACCTACGCGACAAAGAAAGGAGAGGAATAAATCAAAAGAAAAATAAAATCTCCCCACAAAGTGTTTTCAGCCAACTTTAAGAACTAGTCACAGGAAAATCCAGTGCACTTGGGCTGCCCAGGAAGGCTCTGACCTCTTAACTCTCCCTTTTTGTCTTGCCAGAGATACAGCTGAGGATAATACAGGTAAAATATATGTCACACAGTGTCAGTATGGTTGGTACAGACCTTCCTGACCTCTCATGGTTTAGAGGCCACGGCTGAGGATGTGGAAATATAAACTTTAAAATAAACAAGCAAACACCAAACCCAAAAATCCTACACACATTTTCTCACCTGACACAAACTATTTTGGCTTAAAGGAGGGAGCAAAGGATTCCTTGCATGAATGAGGTTTTATTCCTGTCAGCAACTGTTTAAAGAAAAGCTAAGGGTGAGCCCTGTTCAGTGCAGTAAAAATTAAATTATTTTGGGTTGCCTCTGTTTTAAATTTTAGACACACAAACCTGCTATTAGCAGGCCTGCTCTCAGACTGAGGGACAGGGAAATGCAGAGTGGAAAATAACCTACAGGAGTCATCTGTCATGTTAAGGTTCTTCCCTTCCCTCTCCTCAAGGCAGGTTCAGAGCCCACCATGCCATGATCTCAGTGTGTATTAACACCCTGTGCCAACATTAATATCTTACCTCCAAAATGTTAGTGAGGTACTCAAGCAGCAAAGGAAAAAGACTCTATAAAATAAAATAATTGCACCCAATTCTATGTGCTTTTTAGGGCACACCACTACAATGTGTTTCAGAAGCAGCAACATTTCCAGATTCAGAAGCAGTACAGGTATTCTGCCATTCCCAATGGAATTACCCCTTGAAACAACTACAGAGCAATAATTACACTTGAAAATGATAAAACACTTGACAGAACTGCAGAGCTGTTCTTTGAACACCTAATCAGATGCTGGCATCCAAAATGGAGCAGTAATGCAGTAAAGTCAGGCTCAGCTCGTGGGAGAAGCAACAGCACAGAGTTTAATGATTCTGTGATATAAATAATTAGCTACAATAAGAGATTGCTGCAGCGGTTGCTCAAGCAACTCTTTCTCTCTTATCACATGAGACTTTCCACATTACCAGTTTTCAGAGTTGTTTAAATGCCATTAACAGGTCCTTGATGTTGCCCTGAAATGCCAAACAACTGACTTGTGTTGTGGAAGAAACACTTGAGTTAAGTGAGGTTGTGTGAGTGAATGGAGGAAGGATTTGCAGAAAGGCTCTACTGGTGTCCTAACAGAAGGTGGTGGTAGAACAAGTGTTCTTAGGGCTTTGAAAATCAGTATTTTTTTCAGCCCTGCTGGCAACAAAGGATCGTTCTTTTTATCCAGATTTTCCATATCATTTAAATGGTAAGAGCACAAAAGAGAGAGTCTGGCAACAGCAGCCAATTGATCCTTGCTACATGACCAAAAACTGAATATTACTACTTTTTCAATCAATGTATCAATCTTTAGGAAGACATGGAGACATTTTCAACAACCTCACTGTGGGTGGTAAGTGCTCTGATCTTTGGTCAGAACAAGGCCTAGCTCCTACCTTCCCTAAATTAAAAGTATATGAATTTTAAAAATTATTTTAAAATATTTTTGTTAAATAAAACATATTAGAAACATTACACTCATTTTATACCTGAGGGAACAGGAGCATGGAGAACTGAGTTCCACTTCCCCAGGCTTGCTCACCAGCCCGCTGCCACAGTGGGAATTTTCACTGCAAGATTCCCATCCAGTGTGGCAACAGCAGATTTAAAAGATCATTATCAGGTCCCAGTGAATTAAGCAATTTGCTTAAAAAGATATTTTTAAAAGGCATCATTAAAGGATTACTTTTATTTCCCTTCTAGTGCGTAAACCTTCAGGGCAAACACTTGAATAGCATTTTAATTATTTCTCTCTGAAAACGAGGGAGGTGGCCACGGATTAACCCCTAGAACTATGTAACCAATTATTTTTAAGCCGTCTGAGATCATTACATCCCCTGAGGGTTCAGAGAAAGAGCTCTGTGGAAACTGTGAGCATCCCATAATTCCTTTCCCACAAACCAGAGCTTATAGGAATTCTTGCAGGTGACTTCCACGGTGTGATAATTTGAGTACAAGCTCTATGTTGTCAACAGCTGCACAAGGTTTCTTACCCTCAGCAAAAAGTTTAATCTTGATAAGGCTTCTAGAAACATGTCAGCTCCCTTGTTGGAAAACTCATATCTCCCAGCAATGAAGAAAAATAAGGTCTTCTCGAGATTGAAGTCCAGGTGGCTGAAAGCAAGAAAAACAAACAGACAAGAACAAAGTATTTCTCTAGATGTAATCGAGCAAAGCACACAACAGCTTTCTATTCTGGAGGAATTTAATTATCCCGAGAACATAAAAGAAAGTGAGGCTTTTCTGCTGTTCTTTAAATCGACTGCCTTAATCTGGCAAGCTGCATCTTGGGTAAATAATGAACAAATCAGCACATCTGCTCTCTGATATCACAGTCTGTTAAGCAGAGTTAGCACTGGTGTCTAAAATCCCTTTAGCTTCTGACTGAGAAATCCCAGACAGATATTCGAAGAAGCTGGTAGCATTTCAGCCCCTCCATGAAGCACTCATTAGTCTTCCTGCTTTGGTGCTTGCTTTAAATAGTGTCGGACAACCGTTGCTAATTTTTGAAAAGTAAAAGCATACCCATAGAAATGACCTCGAATGAACTCTTGGATCCTAGCCTTGTACATGGAATGCAAATTCTGAAACTCATGCATTGCTGAAAATTTCTTAATGTTCAAGCCATTTGGGGTGACAACATCTGGAAAAGCAGAGAAAAGGCAGAGGTAGACATCTTGAGAGTCAGAGCAATCTTTCAGGAAAGAACCACCGTGCCTCCCGGCTGTCAGCACGCGAACAGGTTATGGGTTAGGTTATTTCTGGAGAGGGGACAGCACCGCCTGACACAACAGTCTCCACCAGCTCATTCCACAAAGCTCCTGCACGTGGCCATGTTGGCATTGAAGTGGCTTTCCCCTTTGCTCAGCACTAGACAGACCCTGCCCTTTCGTCCCGTCAAGACTCGGGTTGTGTCTCCGTTTGGCTGTGTTTGTTGTGCAATGTGCCCCTTCCCTCTTTATTTGTGCTATCACTGGTCCCTGCTCTATCACTAGGGATTGAAAGTTCTTGAAAGCAAAAAAACTGCACAGGACTATGCCCTTGGTTGCTGCATGGCACAAGAGATATCCATCCTATCAAGACTTCTGAGGGTTTATCAGAAAAAGAGAATATAGTAAACCATTTAAAAAAGACATCCCTTGAGTAATCTGTTGGATTTCTCCTAAAAATAGCCACAGAATAATACGCTTTACACATTTATAGCTGTTCTCCTCCAAGATTCTAAAGGATTTTTCAATTAAAATTTGTCCATTTCCAGAATTTTTAAGGTAGAGTTATAGGATATACACAGAGGACAGACATAGCTTGTTTCAAACAACACTGAAATTCTGTCCCTCTTCACCTTCCTGGTAGATCACAGCAATTTAAAGGCTTGCCCTAAGTCTAGCTGAAATAAATGGAAAGAATGCCACTTTCTTTTCTTTGAGTTGGTTTATGAAAGCCATGTATGGAAATGAAAGGGGAGGCCAGTTCCTCATTTCAAAGGAACTCAACTGCCTTACACAAACCTGCACTTCTCTATGACACCAGAGACCCTTCAAATACAAAGAATCTTCAAAGCAACAAGAAGCACTGATTATTAGAGGGCACAGTGGTGCCAACTCCAACCTTGTTCTCCTGAAGGGGTCATCGGGTGTCTGCTCCTCACAACCATTAACTGGAGTAATTTTAAAGGTTCCAAAGGACCTTCAGTGAGATATTATCATTCCCCACAACACATGGTTCATGTAAACCAAACAGCACCTCCTTTGACCCCAGTGCTCATGGTTAACTCCTCCCATACATCAGGGTTGCTGATGGGAGCACAGTCTCTCCCTTGCCACCGATACAAGTCCTGAACGTCCCTTTTGCTGTGATTTTTCAGTCCCAGATGCCTGACATTCAGGGCTTCCCATCCTTTCCCCCATTAATAGAAGTTTGCATGTCTAGCATTAAACATCTGGCCTGACATAAAACAGTCTCCTACTTGTGGAGAGACTTTTGGAGACTTCCTTTAAACACCTATGGCTCTTCTGATTCATCCCCTATCAAGATGATCTTAAAATAAGTACAATCAGTTCTCCATATGCTATCCAACATATTTGCCTGACATTTTTCATGCAAATGCCACAGCCATTTTCAATTACTGCCTTGAAATTCAAAGTCTACTTCAGCAATATAAGTGTGTCCCTGACAGGTGAGTGATCTCTGATTAAACCTTATCTTGTAAAGGGTTCTGAAACACTCAAGGTTAAACAGTAGTAGATAAAAATTCAGCCTTTATTAGCAACCACGAAATACCCAAAATTTTGATGGGTCTGTCTTGGAATACCACATTTGAAACTAAAGACCAGGAAATCTTTACTTGCTAGGTATTTAGGATTTGGTTCTCGATGACAAAAAAAGGACAGTCTTGGTGGGCCTGACAAGGAAAGTTGTGCTTTTACTTTCTCCTGCCCAGTACTTAAAAGTTCTCTGAACAAAGACCTCTGTGGCCTCACAGGAGCAAGGAGGTAGCAGAGCAGACACATCCTCCCTTGCCTTTAGCGACCACCTCCTCCTTCCTCTGCCCTGCTCTTTGTCCAGCATGGAAGAACAGGCTCCTGCAGGACACAGTTTTGAGAACACAACCATTTCAAACTCTTCCCAAAAAACTAAGAATGCCTGACTGGGTATTTCTGGCCAGTTTCCATCCACTCACATTTATTTTTATTTATCAGGGAGTTTTGATCCCTCTCAGCCACCAACAGCAGCCTGTGAATAACCTACTGCCAAATTCTCTCATTTAACTGCAGCCTCATTTACCCTTTCATCAGGATTGGGGCTCAACCCATATCTTAGTCAAGCTTTTGAGATGCAGAACAAAATTTGGTGGCCCAAAGCACCCAGTTCACTATTCCTGCTCAACAAACAGGAACATTTTGAACCTGTGTGGGGCAATGTGCCCTCACCCTGGGGAAGAAGCGATAAAAAAGAGCTTTGTCCCTATGCTGAGTGTTTTCTTGTTGTTTAATGAATTAATGACATTTTTGTTCAAAAAATCGTCCCAAGGAGGTCAAATCAGAATGTTTTGACTTCTGTATTTGTAGGAAAGAAACTGGCACTAATTTAAGTAATATTGGCACAGTAGGAGGTTTTCTGCTGAGAAGTCACTAACATTCAGGGTTGACTCATACTTTTTCAGAGTCTTCTTCCGTGATTTTGATCAAATATATGAAAATAGGAAGCCTAGATCTAGATCTCAACTGATACCTAAGTCTCTTGGAATTTTGATTCAAAGCCTTCTGTACTGCCAGTATGTTTCATACCTGAATGAAAACATTAGAAATCCTGTAGTATCAGTTTTTAAATCACGGAAATGTAACTTAGGATCACTGACAGAATCTTGCTTGATACTTCAGAGAAAACAGGCTCAACATCAGATAGTCAAACTTTCAACAAATAAAATTTGTTTGATAAAATATTGATCAAATCATAAAAAGCAGTCATTCTGCCCGGTTTAGGCTGGCAAATTGGTCTTTGTCCTGGTGCAAACTTTCCCCATGCAATCAGGTTAGCTAAATTTTAAAGGCACTTTTCCAAGTGATAAGATTTACAATTTAAATTATAATCCAAGTTTAACATTAAAGGGAAGTAGCAGAGACAGCTCTACTTGGTGCATTTCTCAGTTATTTTTAGCTAACAATTTGGTTACAGAGTTTATCTCTCAATAAATGCAAATAGAAGTTAATTGTGCCAATTCTTCATCCCCCTTTTAAAAGTTTATTTTTGAGGTGGGTTGAGAAACATACCCATACTTTCAGCATTCAAGTTCCTTTGCAGAATTCAAGCTCAATGACCTACTGAAGGACGAATGCTGAACTTTCCAAATGGCCACTGCGGATTTCACAACTTCAGAGAGAATAAATAGTATGAGAATAGATTCCTACCCAGTCTTATCTGTGGTCTAGGATTCAAAGAAACTAATAAAGTACTTATTCCCACCAGAACATCCTTTCCACTTATAGTTGTCTCCCAGGATTTGGGGTGGCAATTCCTATTGAATTTCTATCTAGCTCTGTCAACATGAAGCATGATATTTGTCAGTAATTTTTTAACCCAAACATTAAATATATTTACTTGGTTTCTTCACAGTTGCAAGAATAATCACAAAAAGCTCAGGCCTGTGAATCTCTGTGCATGGAATTCTCTTCAGCTTCAACTGAGTTTTACCTGTGAGCAGTCTGCAGATTCTCTCTCCCAAATTAAACTGGATTCAGACTCATTTCACTCTCCTAAAACCCCAAAACATAAACTATGATTTCCAAGGGCAGCTGTTGTGAGGAGAAGCCTCATCTCAATATAAAACAGCTTCAAAAGTCGGATTTTCAGAGGTCGAGTACTCTGCACTTTGTAAAAATCAAGACCTTTCAGAGAAACTCCAGTTTAGATGTCTGAATGCTTAAGGGACTTGTTAAAAACTGTCATGTTTAAAATGAAATTTAAAATAATCTAAGTTCATCATCCTACTGACAGTTAACCAGGAATGAGGCAAAGGATTCAATGAACATCTCTTTTGTTTTGATTCAGGAACCACAATGTGGCTTGAATGGTTGAAATTAAAGATAACAATCCCAAACTATAATTACCACTGCAAATCACCTAAAAAATCTACAAAGAAAAAAAACAAAAACCAAGAAAATAAAGTCTTCTGAGTGTTGCTTAGCTTAAAATAACCAAGATGTGAACACACCTGCTTAAACAGCCTCCAAAATTGTTGTGCAGTTTTCCCCTCATGACGCTTACCTGCACATGGACTGACTTAAAGAGAGCTTTAATGACATATCACACTGGGACTCATTACCTTCCTCAAACTCCATGCATGAAACACAAAAAAGTTTTGAAATTTCATATTTTATGAGGCCAATACAAAGGGGGAAATCAGGCAAACTGCTGGGCACATAACTCGACTATTTTAGAAAATATTATATGTACAAAGCTTTTCATGGTTTGGCCCTAAGAGCATGGAAACCCTGACCCAGACAAAGCTCCTGAACCTGGATGTTCTTGCAAAGAGTTAAATCAATGCTCTCCTAAAATGATCCTGAAAGCAGTTATTAAATGATGCTGAACTTGATTTCTTCTGGACTACACCACACGCTGCTAGAATGTGTTTGGAGCGGTATCATTCACACTCGAATTTTGAAAACTGGTTATTCTCTGCCTCTATTATGTTCCTTCAGTCTAAGGAAATGTAGATAGTAGGAGGAAATACAGCAAAAAAACCCGAAAACAAAACAATTTGGGTCTTACCAGGAGTTCTTTTAAGCATATGTTCTGCTTCTGTGGCTGTGATCTGTGAGACTGTGGTGAACACATGGGCGCAGTGCACAGATGCCCGTTCCATACAGTACCGGTGGTAAATCTGCCTCTCTCCAGCTTCCTTGTCAATGTCAAACTGGTAAATGACAAAACAAACAGAGAAAGACACCTGTGTGTGATGTGCCCCTCAGACTCATGGCCTCAAAGAAGGTTCCTCGTGCCAAGCTCGGTTTCCCCAGGGAATGAGGATCGTGGGATAATTCTGCTGTTTTGCCGTTCTCGTTTTTGGAACTATTTTATCAACTTCAAAGGGTTCTGAAGGAGCAAGAGAGGTCTCAGGTCCTGCGTGTTCCTGAAAAAATGGCAGCTCCACAATGGAAGGACAACTAGATTAATGATGCCACGAAAGGTAAGGATCTGTGGTCTTCGGCCTGCTGGTTGAGAATGTATCACACTGCATCTCGCCAGGGCTCGCTGGAAAACTTGGGAGAGCAGGGAAGTTGCTGGTTACTGAAGGTATGGGGGAGAGAAGAAAAAGGGGAATGAGGATGTGGACAGAACCTGGGGACTGGGTGGGATGGTGGGAATCACGGAGAGAGAAATGTAGTTGTGGTGGAGAGGCAGGATATGAAGACTCGGACACAACTCCTGAGCGGACAAAGAACGTAGAAAATGAGATATTTTCTGATACTCAGAGATGTTCTTTCTCCAGCTTCATCCCTGTTATTTTGCTGCTTCTTGTGTTTCAATTTGAACTCCATTAATTTCTAATTTCTAAGTTAATTTCTAAGTTTTCTCACTAGATGAGACTATCCCAAATACCAAAGCATTTCTGAATCACCTTTCAACCAGGCAGCTACTGCTTTTTTTTTTTTTACTGAGCTTACATCACCCTGATGCAAAGAAAAAGCACACCACCTTCCGAGCTTAAAGGTTCAAATGTTCACTCAGACGTCCGCTGCAAAACCGCTGCAATGAGTCTAAAAAAAGGTGTCAATGATTTCAATTAAATTACAATCTTCTTAGTCCCAAATGATGTTTCACTTATGGGAAGAGAAGTCTTGACCTCCTAAGGTTGACAGAACAGGCACCAAAGGGACTGTGTGAGTTCCATGGAGAGTGACAGTGACTCTCAGTGAGCTCTGCCCTTATCACTGCCTAAAGCTGCACGGTCTGACTTTGATTGCATTTGACTGTGGGACTTCATGGCCTGTCAGAGATTTAACCCTTATTACAGGCAGGGCAGACAGCACTTTCTATAGTTAGGGCTGTGTGACCTCTGCTTCCAGCACTTTAGAACTCAGCCAGAATAAAGCTATTCAGCCCCCGACCTTTCCTGCCAAGTGGGTGCTTAATGTTGGTACAGAACATATTTTAAGAAACTTGATCAAATGTGAACCATTTCAGGGGACTAGAATTAAGCAAACAGCTTTTAATTTTTACTGAGGCAGGTATAGATACAGATGTAGCTATGAATGTCTTTGCTAAGAAAGTGCTTTTATCCACTGAGCACTAATTCTGCAGCGGTGCTACACTACTTATGAGGAAGTGGCTTCCACTCTATTACTTGAAAATGCCACCCTAATGAGACCAAAAGAAAAGGAGTCTTGATAAATCTCAGCTAGAGACTTCTAGAGAAATTTATTTTGGCATTGATGGTCTTCTAGATCAAGAGTTTCTAAGTTTGCCAAAGAGATTTTTGGAAAAGGCAGGAAATGCACTTTACAATGTGCTACCATTTCTCAGTTGTATCATCACATCTCGTATTTTCAACATTCCCCATGGGAATCTTAAATGATCTTTTCTCTAGGACACACATCTCATGTGTCACAGAAGTTGAATGGTAGAAGGAGCACTGAGCAGGAGGGCAGAGAAAGAAAAAAATAAAGGTGAATTAATTTGACTTAGTAGAGTGCCACAAATCCCTAGCATTGTGCATCACTTACCCTAAACCAATTCACACACAGCTTTTAACTGAGTATTTGATTGTTCAAACATTCTGTGCAAAAGATAAAAAAAACCAAAACAAAACAAAATGGAACAGTTCTTTAACATGCTGGACAAACACACAAATGGGATGGGCACCACTACAGTCAAAACTATGTATGTCTTTTCAAATGCATCTGATTTTGCATTAAAAATAATTTTTAAATTGCTAGCAAACAAACAGTTGCTCAAACTTTCAAGGGTTCTTGTTGTATTTTCCCTTTCTCAGCAAGAATGGATTTCAATTACAAAATGTAATTAAAAACTAAATGTGGGGCATTTTCACTAACTGTGGAAAAACACTCCCTCCAACACTACTGGGAGAAAGGTTCATAAAAAAATTGTTAAGCACTATGGCTTATTTCTAGCTAGCTTTTACTTCTTTGATTGCATGAAAGCACTTTACACATTTAACACATTTCAGTGCTTATTTCTTCATTGCTATTCATTGTCTCATCTTTTGGAAATGGAAAATATTTTATTTTGCACATGCTTGCATGACTTTTGGCATTTTTCTGCAAAGGTTCACGATTCCAGGGCTGTTGGGAAGTAGAAACAGAGGTCAGGGAGTTCTCACATTTCATTTGCTCTCACTCTCCAGCAGCTTCCACCGCCAATCAGCAAAGCAAGCCCCTGACTTTTGACCTCACCTATAATGTGGAGCAAGAACTGTGCACTCCTGAGCAGGCTAGACAAGTGAAAATAGCCTCAGACAAGTTGAAGGGCAGGTTAAATGAAAATTAATTGATGAGACAGGGGACAAATTTAGTCCACACCGCCCTGTGCAAAGACAGCTGAGCTTGCTGTGCCAGCATCAGCTCCAGAATTAGAAGCAATGCGGGGCTGTGTGGAGCCAATCTGCCCACATGAACAGCAGTGCAGCCGCTTTGCTCTCCACCCCCAAACCCCTGTTCCTGCCCAGCAATGGGCTCTGCCCTCTGGGTGCTTGTCCACCTGTGAACTGTGTCCCATGTCCCTCGTGTCCAGCGGGAGCGAAGCAAAGCACCCGAGAAGTGCGTCACGCTGACTGCTGTTTGTTTGCTGTTATCAGCCAAGGGGAACACCAGCAACGCCACAGAGGGAAAGCTGCACCCAGGGGAAAACAGATCTAAGTCACATTAACTGTCTGCAGACCCATTTAGGGTGGAAAAGACCCCTAGTGTCATCGAGTCCAACTGTTTCATCCCTCAGTGATTGTTAATGGTTCCTTCAGTATCCACTTCCCTGTAAATATTTTGCTGCTTCTCCCAGCGAGGATCCCCTCCTGCCCTGACTGTTAGAAACCAAAGCAGATTATTAGAATTTACAAGATGGAATGAACTAAAGGGGGGAAATGACTCCTTTATAAGGCCACTCTAATTTCAAAGCAACACAGGAAGACGTCCCACAGGCTCAGTGCTTTTGGAGCAAAGCTTGCATTTGCTGCAGTGCAATCCTGAGGAAAAAATTTCAGCTCATTTCTGCCTTTTCTAGGGATCCATGTAATGAGCATAACATTTCATTCATGCCCTAAAATTTAACGTGTTAGGAGGCACAGTAGGTAATCACTGAACCTCCCAGCATGGCATTCTGCTTAAGACACCTAAGATGAGCTTTGAATGAAAAAAAAAAAAAGAATATCAAGTAGTGATGGGATACAGGTGTTCTGTTTCTTCTGGAAGCAGTGAACACTCACTGAAGTAGCAAATCCAAATCTGACATTCCTACTTCAAAATGATAAAGACAAAGTGCAAAATATTCCCAAAGCACAAGAAGAATGATTTGAGAGTGGAAAAGAAGGAAGGACTATACTGGCTATGTAAATACTTTTCTGAAAGACAGATAATTTGGCACAATCTGCATAGACTGTCTAGGTATTGATACTAGACTATGCTTTCCTAAAGAAAAAAAAGAAAAGTTATGATGAAAACCAATGGAAGTTAAACCAGTACAACTGCAAACTGGAATTAAAATATGTGATTTTCCTGAATAAAACATTGTGACACCTTTGCAGAAGTAACACAGATTACCCTCACCACTTAAGCACTACTACCTTGAGACTGGATAACACTTTTGTAAGTATTTTACATCTAAAAAAAAAAAAAAAAGTACATGTTTGATGCATGAATATTTAACTGAGGATTTTAGTCAGAGAATGAAATAATCTCTTCTGGCCTTTTAACTCAGCAGCACACTCGAGTTCAAAGTGATGCTGCAGTGGAATCAGGAGCAGTCAGAGGTGGGTCTGAAGTCCAAATTCCTCATCCACCAAAGGGAAGAACGGAAAGCCCTCTGCTTTCAGCACAATCTCACTGGCTGCCAGTGCCTGAATTATGTAAGAATGACTCTTTTAAAATGCAGCTTACGTCAAATTTACCTCCCATTGACTGTTATCTTGTGCAAATAGAACTTTCATTCTGGCACAGCTCTGCAGTGCCAAAAGAGAATGAAATCTACACTTCCTGGCTTAAATCAGATTTCCCTTAGCTGCTCTGCTGACAAAGAGGATCAGCTTTGTATCACAGGGAGCTCAGTGACAGCCTGGACAGAGCAGCACCAGTTGGAATGAGAGCCTGGGCTCTGATACTGGCAGCATAAAAGCTCTTGACTATTCATTTTCACTGGGATTTTTAGTACTGTTCCTTTCAGACTTCTTGGGACAGGGTTTTCCACCCCTTTGCAAACTAGACTCAGCTGCACTTGCATGAGCCCAATGAAAATGTTGCAAGTTCTACATAGAAGAGTCACACATGGCAGGGTAACAGCAGTAAAAAAGCAATGAAGAATAATACTGAGCTTTCCTTCTTCTCATTGCAGCACTTTTCCCATTATAACTCAAATGGGTTTTTTTCAGTAAGAAGCATCAGAGGCAGAAGTCTACAAACTTCTCCATTATGCCAGGCCAGTGGTCCCCAAAACCATTCAAATGGTCACCTCTCAGATGAAATTCCAGGTTAAATCATTTGCCTAAACAAGCTGCCTGGTCACCTATCAGCTTGCTCAGCCTGTGTCTCAGTCAATTTATGAAAGGTGTTGGCCTATTTAAAACCCTAAAGGGATGAAACGAGACCAAAAAAAAAACCCACAAAAAACTAAACTAACAACAACAAAACCCCATTTAAATAAGCTAGGCTCTTTAAACAACAGGAAAAGCAATAAAAGATTAACATTCTGGATCTTCAGCTGAGAGGTCAGTTCCTCCTGAGAAGAAAATGACTCAGAACTTTTTTCACAGAACTTCCTAACTTCTGGATTAGCTGTTTTGGTTCAGTTTATCTTGGCAACAAACATAACCCTACACTCACCAGTGTAAAAGCCACACTGCACATGGGGATAATGGGAGAAATGCTCTGCTGGTTGGACTCTTTAGACCTCCAAGACCTCTCCAAAACTTCTGTGGAGAATTAAACTCATAACACACTCTGTTTGTTAGTGAAATTATAAAGTGTTGCCTGTGGAAGAGTTCAAGCCAGTAGGCTTGGACATGCCAGAGTTACCTCTGGTGTTCACTCTGCTCCTGGGCACGTGCTAAGGGTTTAACACCCAGGTTTGCCCTGGAGCAGAGGCAGCTAAATTTCTCCCAGTCCCCAAGTTTTAATCCTTTAAGAATACAAGAATTGTATCATTTCATACAGCAGTCACAGAATGGTAGAGTCGCAGAATCCTTAATGTTGAGGAAGATCGTAACACTGAAACAGTAAAACCAGATATTTCACTTCAGGGTGAGAGGGGAGGATATCCCCTAAAAATACATTGTTTCCTCCAAAGATCAAATATTACAAAACCCTAAAGAATCTTCTTCACTGACAAGCTGTTTGTTTATATATATATATATATAATAGTTTACTGCTAGAAGACAGCAACAAGAATAATCTGACGATCTCTCTCTCTGTATCTAATTACAACCTCTCATTTCTCAACTGACTTCTGGGCCAAGCTGACCTTTTTACAGGCAAAGGAGCCCTCACTAAATAGTTAATTTTATCAGGAGCAGCTTTGTCACACCCTGAGCACGTTAAACAGTGGTGCAACACCTTGGCATGATTTCCTCCATTGGCACCTTTAAATGTCAATCCACAGAGGGCATAAAGCATTATTATTATTATTATATGCACAAGTTTCTTCCCTTGAATATTATTTACAGCAGTTTACAGTAATACTCTAAAGTGATACTTATGTTTCATTCCATATATTCTCAGAATAAAATCTGAGGAGATATTTCTGTATTTATGATGTAGCTGATGGTTACCAATGGAGTTTGTGAAGGGTGGACAGTACCTTCTTACATAAAGTTGTCCATCCCATGTGTGAACAGAAAAAAATATATTATTACTGTGGCTAGATTTAAATATATTCAAATCTTCAAGTCCACTCTGATGTGAGATCATTACTTTTTCTTCTGAGTACACAGAAAAGGGTGAGGCATCCAAAGTTACCGGGCAGGAGGAAAAAAAAAGTTGCTTTTGAGAAAAAAACAGACTACTTTCTGGACTTCTTGCAGCTCACCAAATTAACCAGAAGCAAGAGAAATAGTTATTTTTTTTTTTAAATTTCCTTTCAAAAGAAAAACAAGGCTCTGACATAGTATTTTAAGTAAATTTTAAGTAAAACATTCAACATTCTCTTTTTTTTAAACACTTGATTTCTCATTTTGAATGCCCCCATTTTTTTTTACTATTGTTTCCTTACTAACAAATTATGTGTAAGAATGCAAGGGTTAATAAGTGAAAAAAAAAAACACCTCCTCAAGAGTTCAACCTGACACCACATGTGTTTAGTTCTTTCAATCCAGCTCTTTCCAGTAAAAAAATAATTCAATATACCTTCAAAGCTAAATTTTGCATATGTACACCTAAAGAGAGTATGAGGGAGCAGGAATGTCTGGACTCCTCGACTGGGTTATTTGTGCAGCCTCATTAATGCACCTAAAAACATATCTAACTTAGGAGACTGGTTTTAGTAGGGGAGAGATGGAGAGAGATCGGACAGACAGAAGGGATGGGACAAGAGGGAATGGCTTCAAACTGACAGAGAGCAGGTTTAGATTGGATATTGGGAATAAATCCATCCCTGTGAGGGACTGGCACAGGTTGCCCAGAGGAGCTGTGGCTGCCCCATCCCTGGAAGTGTCCAAGGCCAGGATGGATGGGGTCTCTGAGCAACCTGGGCTAGTGGAAAGTGTCCCTGCCCATGGCAGGGGGTGAAATGAGATGATTTTTAAGGTCCCTTCCAACCCCAACCATTCTGGGATTCTGTGTTTCTGAACAAGGCCAGCACCTGAGGCCTTGTCTTTGGAAGACAACATTCCACACCGTGTCAAGCTTCGAACATCCAACCTAAAATTGCCAACTGATTAATTTTCTTCACTGCTTTCAGCCAAGAAAATACATGCACAATGACTACTAACTACTACTAACTTAACTGCTTCTACCCTCACTAAGTGCTGCAATGCAAAAATCTCTTTAATTCAGTTTTGTCTGGGACCATATTAGAAACCCCAGCTGGTGCAATGCACCTGTGCTGAAAGCGGTGCTAAAGACATTTGGGTCCTTGAAAGGTTGGTTTCTGTAATGCTTTGAGTGGAAAGAAAACAGTGAAACCCAAACACCATGAGACAGTTAACAAAAATTCCAAGAAACAGGTGTGGCTCCTTTGAACTCAGAAAATACTTCCTTACGTTTGCCAGGAAGTATTTGCCATTAAGCCTAACCTGAAATGGTTGAAACTGGAACAACTTACTAGGACTTGCAAGAGTTAAGAAATAGGCTGGGGAAAGAAATAAACCACCCTTTAATACAATTCCAGGGTATTTTGAGCAAGATGAGGGCTGCTGGTTATTTTTTTTGCTGCCTTTCATAACGAAAGAGTACTGTGAGGCTGCATCTGAAGGGTCAGGTGATGACTACAGCTAAAGAAGTTTTACCTTCCCTGGTTACTCATGGTGCTCTAGTCCACTGAGCTTTAAGATGACATGCCTGGACACCTCACAGTCTTACAAATACCATTTCTTGTGCTCTGGAACCAACAACTGATCACTCAGATGTGGGTCAATCACAAGGGATCACACCAGACAGAAAACACAATATATAGTGCAGCACAGTGAAGAGAAAAGGAGCCAGGAGCTGATTAGCTCAAAGAAAAGGAAGGCATGAGAAAAATGTCTCTCACCTGGTCAAGGTTGTTGTAGAAATCAATACTGGCTGCACACAGGTATCTCCCAAGCAGAGTGGCGTGGGTGGTGAAAATTGTGGCGACAGGAAGTTTCTGAGACCGAGCCAGTATCAAACCCACTCCTGCCTGCCACTCGTGGAAGTGGGCAATTATATAGGGCTTGTCATCAAACTGACAGGAAAGCTGTAAAGAGAAATAACATCCATGGAACAGGCATTATCCTGCCCATCATCCCAGACCCATGAAACCTCTGAGTTTTGGTGTTTTTTTAACATGATGCCTTTTGAGTGCTTGCTTTCTTTCTTGTGACAAAACAGTACAACTTTTGGAGCGGTCATGTGTCTTGATTTCCCTAATCCTGAGCCTCAGAACAATCTCCTTCCTCAAGTGTCAGGGAACTCTTATTTCCTTTTACTTGCTCTTCTGCTGTTGAAGCTCTTGTTTGGATAAGAAAATCGTGAGCATCTATGACAGACAGGTGATGCTGCAGGTGAGCTGAGCTTCCCCTCTGCAGAGTGACATCTGAAAGTCACAGTGCCACCCTTAATTCTGTCTGTCTGTCTATATTCCCTGTTCAAGGCAGTTTCTTGTTGCTGAGACTGTTCTTGACTGCCTTCGAGGACAGTTTGGGAGTGTGACAACTTGACTTCCACAGGAGAGGAAAAGGGAGTTTGAGATCCTACTTGTAAGAGCATCCTGTGACAAATGAGGGAGTTGAGAAGAAACAGTGGGAAGTGACATAAAGACACAGCAGAATTCACACAGGGCAGCCCCCTCGCCCTTCTCCTGGAAAAATATAGTTAAAAGACCATAATTACAAATTTGACCTACATCAGGTATCCAGTTCCTTAAAATTGTAGTTTTTAAACTGGAGAATAGGAACAACATCCCAAAACATTTTTTTGCTCTGCAGACAAGGCTGAGGTTTAAAAATCTCTAGGTTTAAAAACTGTACCTCTTTTAAAAACCAGGCTGTTAATGATCCAAAAATCACAGCATCGTTGGCTTCTTGGTCATGAAAGGGGATCCCTATGTTGCTGGCTTCCCAAAATTCACCTTTCCACTTGTCCAGATTCCAAGCTGCTGATCCTATGTCAAACAATAAGACATATGGGCTGCCCTCTATCAGCCATCTTCCAAAAGAGACCTACGGAAAAGAGGCGAGGTTACGTTAAAGACAGTAAATAAACAAAATGTAAAATATAAATAAATATAAAAAATAAAATATAAATGAAAAAGAAAATAAAGAAAATTGTTAAAGTGAATGTCAATGTAAGTGAGAACAACTGTTTTCATCCATCAAATCTAAAGTATTTTACACAGGGAATATGTAATCACAGTCCCACACACCCAGAACCTGCAGTTTTCCTTGCAAAGTGCACTGAATAATATTGGAACAAAGGAAACTACGATCTTTAGAAACATTTTATTTTTAAGACTTTCATTTTAGATTTTCATGGCAATATTAACCTTTTTTTCCACGGAGAGGAAAAAAAAAGCTTAGGAGGACTGCACGTGGTTGAATAATGAAGCTTTATGTTCCTACTGAAGAACATTTGGTTTTGTTCTTATTTCAAAATTATTATTTTCTTTCAGTCATATTTGCACCCAGTCTTTTGCCATTTATGCCAGATCACTGGGGATATCTGTATCTACCATGACATTTCCTCATTCTTCCCATCTGGTAGAGTAGAAGGATCAACAAAAGGTGTAATAGTACCTAGACCCACATCAGGCTAAAAACACAGCTTTCCTGCTTTATCTTTAAACATCTCTAAGAGTTTAGAACTTCACTGCCTTAACTGACCCAGCTGTGCCCAGACTGTACCAGTCTGCACAGTCAAATTACCTCACATTAATTCTGCCATCAGAATGGCTGGGACCTCAGAGGCTGAACCCAGCCCTGATGTTACAACTGGCTGAACAGAGGCCAGGTCTTGAAAAAAAGTGAGTTGAAAGCTCTTGGGCCTGTTTGCACAAAAAACACAGGGCGTAACAAAGAGAGGTTTGCTCCTTATGTATTTATTCCAGGCCATCCCGATTTGTTTACTCAGGAAAAATAGGTTAAAAAGCAGGGACAAACCAGACAAACCTATTCCCCCAAATGTGTAGTCAGGCTGTGGCAAGGGACACACCTGAGCTGAGAAGTTTGGCACCCTGGGTTTAAAAAGACCCATTGTGATGCATAAGCAAAACCCAGACATGAATGTTAATAGGATCAGTGCAGCTCCTGGAAACTACAGCGTCATTATTAGAGATCAAAGCTATAGCTGACGTCCCTGGGACAGATTTGCTGCTGCATATGAATATTCCAGCAGCACAGTGCACATGTGAGTCTGGCAGAGTTGGCTGATTAAATGGAATGTATTGCTGGAACAGCATGAAGTGTATATATAGCACTGCAATTAATCTGCCCCACGAGTCTTGAGCTGCTTTCCAAACAAAGGAGCGTTACACCACTTGCAGAGACACCTCTTTATAAGCAACAGAGGCAACATGGATAACTTGATCCATCACTTATGAAAATCTGATAGGAATAAGTTAGATTAGACCTTTTAGTTTGAGCCTGAACAGCGGAAGCATCAACATCAGTGTCCCCAGCAGACACTTTCCCAAAGCTGTGGCACATATTCATCCACCAACACACAGCTGCATTAACATGCAACAGGGCATTAAATCCTAATAACTGCAGGACTGCTCTTACAAAGAGAGAGAACACAGCTGGTGGCAGTCCAAGAACTTCATGAATTTTTACATTAAAGTGTAATGTGTGCCCCTCGGCCACAGACACTTGTAAAAACTCTTCCTTGCTGCTGTCCCAACATCTGCTCAGCACACAGTATAAGCAGAGAGGTTTTTCCTCCTGAAGGACCTAAAGGCTGGATCAGAGTGAAGGCAGGTTCTAGATCTCTGCTGAAGACTGTCAAGAAAGGAGGTCAAATTCAGCATATGTTATCTTTCACCCATTCTCAGGTCATCAGCTGTCCCCAGGGCTGCAGGTGCTTGCAGCTGCCCATCAGCACAGCAGATTCCATCCCTTTCATCGACACCAGAAGAAATTAATTCCTAGTATATTGTTGGAGAAACCAAACCACGAGGTGTGACCGAGATCACGCAGAAAACACTGATTAAAAATTGTGTTGAACCTTGTTAAAAACTAAGATGAATTCGCTGCTGGTGTTGGGGTTTAACCTCCCATCCTGGGGAATGGACAGTTCCCTAGGACTAGCTGCAATGAGCTGAGGAAGCTAAAAAAGTCCCTTCCAGGCTTTCAATGCAGTATAATGCTACAAAAGAAAAACCACAAGCTAGTGGAACCCTCTCCTCGCTCCAGCACTAGAACGTGGAATGTAAGGGCTCAGTCAAAGTAAGGTCATGTTATATCCACTGAAATCTCACCGTACCTTGAGACTAGATAAATAAGTCATTAATCCAATCAAGCAGTTAAAACCTGTAATTGGATAAACCGGTTCTTCCTCAAAAATAACCTTTAATGAATTGACTCTGCTGTTCTAACAGTGGGTTCTGAGCCTCTCCCGTGGTGACATTGACCAGGACTGCTGTGTCAAGTGGAACGGCGAGAGCATTAACCCGAACCGTAATCTCCTCAGAGTCAGCTTTGTTGCCCTGGGAAGCAGCAGCAGCACATCTGATTTACCTGACACCCCTGGCTTTTCATGGTGTCCATTGCCTTCTTAATTGCAGCGCTGGGAGGCTCACAGAATTCCACCTGAGTCTTCACGTTCTGCTCAAAGTAGGGGCCGATGAGGAAATAGTTCTCGCCCCATTCGTCCGCTGTGGTTTTGGCTTTGCTCTGGATCACGGTGTAAATGCCTCCCACTGCAAAGGAAGATCACAAAGAACAAAACATAGAAGGGGGAATGGGCCACAGATCTCTGTAAGAAGCTCCAACCCACCTCTAGTTAAACCACCTCACATATGTAGGTTTTGAGTGAAGCCCAGACTCTATTGAATAAATAGACGTTCGGTCTCTTAAATGGTATCAGAGCTTCACTGCTCAGTTGAGGGATTCAAATTCTGGGGCTCATGCTTCCACTCTCTCATTGATTCTGCTGCATCACAAGCACAGCCTTCTACTTTTATTTTATTGCTGCAGTTCTAATTTTCAAACATATTTTTCATTATGTGGTAAGAACTGAGCCGGCACTTCCAGCTTGTTTGACACAAATCACTGAGAGAAGCTGAGGGACTGATGGGTTTCATTGACTACTAACGATGAAAATGGATTCAAACCAATATCCACAAGGCAGAAGGTGTCTTGCTCCATCATCCTTCTAAAGAATTATTAAAGCTGGAATGAATGTAGCCTACACTGACAATAGAAATGTCTGCACTGTCCTGGGCAATACTCCAGGCAAGAAGACTGTGCCACACCTCTCAGCAGCGACATCCAAATTGCATGTGGAACCAGCACTGAAAGTTGCCAGTGATTCAGAGCTGGCACTCCAGGTTCACTTTTATCAAGGTACTGGGATATCCAGAGGTGCCAGTGCACCTCATCCAACTGCACTTGTCGAGAATCTTGAGAAGCTACCCTCTTCTCCTTAAAAATCTGCCACAACCAACCACTATTTACAATGCAGCAGGATGAAGTTTCTTGGGAGATTAGTTCCCAGATTAATTAAACTGTATCCCCTGACAACTACAGAAAGCTTTCTGCAAAGCCTGGTATCTTTCAGCCCTGAGGATCCCGACAAGAGAGATACATATTTAATTACGCTCCTAGAAAAGAAATTGTGCACCTAATTTCCTTTTTGCTACAAATATCCCATTTGTTTTGAGTGCTGGAAGGATCCCGAGCTCTAATATTTTCATGTCAGGATTTAAGGTACTTTACAGAAGAAAAACAAATGCAGTTTCAATCTACCAGCTTGCTAATTAGAATTAGTACATTAAATTATTTCCCTTAGTAATTCAAGACCTATTAATACCCTTTGTAATTCAAGTCCTAAGAAGACAAGAATCTTGCAGATCTGTGTTACTAAATCATACTCACAATTTTTAGAGTTTCATGTCATATAGGCATGGGACTGCAGAAGGAAATTTATGCATAGCACTATTATTCTCCATTTCATTAGGACCAGAAAGCCTGAAAAACCCTAATTAATAGCCATCATATTCTTCCATAGCTGCTTTGCACAGGGATTTAGAGAAATCTTAGGTAAGTAACACTATATTTTCCCTCTGCTCACAAGCTGAGAGATTCTACTCAAATACCCTGGATTCAGACAAACATAAAATTTTAATTATATGAGGCAAGTCGGAAAATTCAACCTAGAAAATGATAGTTACGATGGTATGCCTGTTCTTACAGAGTGGTAAATGCATCATGTGAGCATAAGGGGCTTCAATCCAACACGGGTAAACAGGAGGCTTGGCAGAAATCTTAGTCATGGTTTGAATTGGCAGGAGGACAGAGCTCACAATGAGGAGAGAAGTGAGTGCAAAGCAGCCTGGGAATCCAGGGGGAAAAAAAATAAAAGAGAAAATATGACTTGCAAGGATGAAAGATAAAACCATGATAAAGCTGTATATGGTTAGATTGGGGCAAAGGCCTTTTCCCCCATCACCAGAGTGCAAATCAGCCTCTTTTCACGCTGCAAGGGGGTGATCACCGAGCTGAGGAGATGAAATTTCCACATATATTGATTTTAAGAGCAATAAGGAAGCTGCAGCTCGTGGGCTGAGTACAGCCTGGACCTTTGTTCTGCACAGCCAGCAGCTGAGTGTTCCTTTGCACAAGGTTTTGTGTGTCCTAAAGCACCTGAGATGCAGGGAAGGCCTCTTATGAGGGAAAGGCTGCAGATTCTTCTGTGCTCTGCCATTGTAATCTGTTGCACAGCAAGGTTAAAAAAAAAAAAAATAAATTTCAGGGCATTGATTTGCCTGAAATGCAAGGAAAAGTACTTAGGATAAAATGCTAATTTTTTTTTACAATTTTTTGTAAATATATATATGTATAATATGTATATATAACTGTAAATTATAAAACCAGTGCATTTTAGGGACTGTAAAAATTCTTCAGAAAATAGCTAAATATTTAGATAGATAGATAGATAGATAGATAGATAGATAGATAGATAGATAGATAGATAGCCCTGTTACCTGGTCCCAAAACTGGTTTTTGTCTTCCCAGTTACTGTGCAAATATGACTCACAGAGCATCTCTGTGCATGAGCTTTTTAATTGACAGGGGAGGGAAACTGTGCAAGTGAAACTATGGACGTGGGAAGTGTTGGGTGTAACTTAAAAAAAGACATCTTGAGAAGAACAGAGCAATGTCTAGAATAATGCACTGACTTTCGAAATCACACTTTTCCATAGCAAATTCAAGGAGCACACTATATATCATTAAGAGACAGCTTATACATGCTCAGTTACTCTGAATTCCCTGGAAATATCTGTGCCAGGAAGGAATATCCTACTGAGTAACAGGGTTGATGATATATTCACTTGGGGCCTTGGAGAATTCTCAAATTACTTCCAACAATTTGGTTAACCTCCCTATTCCTCCCCAATAAGATGTTTTAAGGCCATATTATAACCAGAAAACCTTCCCAAACAAGAGGGGTGTACCAAAATGCAACTTGCAAGTTTCTGCATCCTGCCTCTGAAGTTTTGTACTTCGAAACTGGGTTTAAAACAAACAATAAAAGAAAAAAAAATGAGAAATAGAGGCAGAATCAGGAGAAATCAGATCCAGAGAGCTGGTTTGGAACATCACAAATATAGAGAATTAGCAGTAAAACGGGGATACAGAGATAGTTTAATTTTCTGGTCTTCACTAAAATGCTTTATTCAAACCTCTAAAGTTTTAGTCCTTTTAAAACGCCCTTGAAAGAAAAATATTTCTAGTATTTCTTTTTAAAATATGTTCTTAACTTTTCCACCAGAATAAATCAAATCAAGTTAAAAACTAAATCAATAAGTATTTTCCCACTTATTTATTTATTTATTTTTAATTTAAGGGAAAAAATGAACTGGCGTGGAAAGGGGAATGAAAATGTTTGGGAAAGAAGGATTTTTTTAATTCTGGAGAAGTTTGACCTTTTCCACACGCTCTTTTCCTACACAACAGAGGACCAGGGTAATTCCAGGGCTCTTCAGCCTCTTTGCCATGGCCTGACTGGGTCACTCTGAAGGCACCAAAGCTTTCCTGAGAACCACATCTGCCATGGGATCCATGAGAGCAGTTTGACCCCAGGTTCAGGATTCAGACTGACTTCACTGCCACAGTCCCTGATTACATCAAATACCCTTCTGCCCTTCTCCTCACAATGTGTCTCTGGTCTACGCAGCTGTGATAAAAATTGGGACTGAACTCCTTTTTTTTTTTCTACTACCTGATTGAAATTTTATTGACTGATTGATTGCCTGTCAAGATATTCTGGGGACCATTTATAGGATAAGGTTGTAAGAGGTGTCAGGTGGAAAAAAACCCCAGAATCTTCAGATGGCAGATGTTTTTTCATGTATTTTTTTGGGCTATGTTTGGGACCAGCACTCATCAGAAGATAAGAAGTTCTCTACGTTCCGTGAAATTCTAGCATTCCAAGCATATTTTGAAAGAATGCTGAAACACTGAAATTTACAGCAGATGCCCACAATTGAGAAGCTATTTCTGTGTGCACCATCCCCAGTGTATAAGATTTCATCAGAAATTGGTTTGACATTGACACACCACCCCACTCTAGAGAGGCACAGAGCTCTGATGCCGTGCTCATGCCAAGTTTATGCCAGCACATCCCCACTCCCCAAAGGGTGTTACTTCAGCTGTGTCAGAAATTACAGCATTCACCTTCTCCCAGGGAAGTTTCATCCTGGAAAGACATTTAACCCAGAGGATATAAAATCCTGGTCCCACTGACTCCGTGTAATTTCCAAGAGTCTAGATTTTCACCAGAGAAACTGCACAGAGATCTCTGAACCAAGTTTTGTTTTTAGCACAGTCTTCACTCCAGTGGGGATGGAAAAAAATATTTAAGATTCATCTCCCAGTGACTCTTGAGCTGATCTGTTCACAGCTGAATGATGATACAAGCTGGCTGTTTGCCCAGCATTTTTAAGCATTCTTCTATTTTCTGTCTAAAAGCTGCTAGTGGTGCAGCAGGGGATACTAATCTAAATATCACTGGAATTACTTTAAAGACATCTTCACAGAGAACAGACCAGATCTTGAACATTCTCAGCCCTTCTCATTAACGTGACAGAAAACCCACTGCTGACAAACCCAAGCCAGACACAAGATCTACATTGTCTGTAGGCACTTCATTTTGTGCTCCTTGTCCTTAAAGTTTTTATTGATCATGTTATGGGGGAAGGAAAACCAGTCCTTTTTTCACAGAGGTGTGACCAGACCTGGCTTTACTGGGGCATGATGGTCAGGAGAGAAGATGAAATGAAAAATGCTGAGCTTCCCCATGATTACCACCTGCGTTTCTCCCCTTCTGCTACAGAAACACAGTAGATCCACTTCCCAGTATGGGTCTTGCCCATCAGTGAAAAGCCAAATAAAGTGAGGAAAACCTTGCAAAACAAACCACACTTTTCTTATTTCCTTAGCAGAGGACTTTCAATGCAAGAGGATTCCAATGGTGTGCTTGGTTTAGGTGGCAAGGTCCTTTTCACGTGACTTGGGGGAAATCAGAGGGAGAGTTGTACTGGCAAATGAGCCTTTTTTATTCCTCATTCCCTTCTTCAGCTACCTTATCTCTGCTTGCTCCAGACAGAGAAGAGGAGAGAGAGGAGGAACTGAGAGGGCAGAGCTTTCCAACACTTATGTCAGAGGTTGTAACTTAGCACAGGCTGCAGCCAGGACAGAAAATATAGAAAGGGAACATGGAGTAGCAGAAAGCTCTGCCTTATGTGTGTGTTAAGTGATCTAGACTTTAAAAATTATTAAAAAAAAAAAAAATAAAGAGGGACAACTTCACTGTTCCAGCTGCTGATAAAGAAGTGATGAGACTCTGGAACTAATGGGTACTCGTAGATCTCTACTACTGCTACTCTGACACACCTCTACATTGCCAGAAAGGAAGAACAAGACCTTCATGTTAAATGCTTGAAATTAGCTTGCCAGGCAATAAATCCAGCTAATTCTTATCTTGCCCTCTGTATTAAGAACATATACCACAAGTCTATATATGCACAACAAACTCTAAAACATGCAGGAGTTTTAAATCTATGTGGGGTCACCCTACTTTGTCAAATAAACAATTCCTCCTTCTGCTTAAGGAGGTGGGAAATACACAGTATAAGCTATTATTTCCTAAGCCTATATATATGTTCTGTGATGACTCTCCCTGTACTTTGCTGGCTGCTCTCTCACAGAGCCCTAAATTTTCCAAGAACTGTTTATAAAAGTTAAGTCACCAGGGAACAGTATCTTATCACATGACTTAGACATTCAATTGCCTGGCATTTATACAAAAAAACCTCTCAGTATCAAGAATTTACCAGAAAAACAGTTTGAAACTCTCTTGATAAAGAGTTTTTGCACAGATGTTTCCAGTCAGGGTTGGTTAAAGGAAACTCTGCACAGAGATCCAATTCTAACAAAGAAATTGCTTTCCATGACTGGTTCTGTCAGCCCCGTTCAAATATATGGGATTGGTAAGTGGTGCAATCAAAGGCACCTTATTTTTTAACTGACTGAATAAATATTCACTCATAAATATTCACTCATAAATATTCATTCTCCCATAAATCGAGAGAACAGTAAATTTTAGCTGTGTCAGTAGTTTTGGTTTCAGCAAGAGCTCTGTGGATGATTCAGTGATTCGCTGCATTTTTGTACATACACAGCAAGAACAGATAAATCTAATTGTTTTACTTTTTCTTAAACATGCTGTGTGATAGCTACAGCCACTGGGGTCCAGATGACTCATTTTATATATATATATATATACACACATACTATGGAGTTCAGAGATGGTAGTGAGAAGCCCTGAATTTCCTGGATTTCTGCTGCCATCTGCTTGCCAGAGTCTTACTCATCATGCACACTGCAAAAGGGCATGCTGCACGCTCCAGGTTCTGCCATCAGTAAATGAACTCAGAAGTTTGACTGAAGCTACTGAAAAAGAAGCCCACGGGGATTCAAAGTGCAAAAAGCTCCTCTGTAGCACCTTTAGGTATTGGTGCAGCTCAGCATTTCAAAAAGAGCAATGTAAAATTGCCCTGCAGTGCAGGCTAAATACCAAAAGCTATCACAGAATAGTAGTTCTAAATTCATGGGGATAAACACCAGCACTGCCTGCTCCTCTCACATATATTTACCCTTTAAAGTTAAATTCTTTACAGATCATAGATCCCCTCTCCTGATTAGTCTCTATTTACCTGCCAGGACAATAATGCACACGGGGTCGATCATTTACTCAAACTAACTCCCTTTTGTGGTGAAAACAGAGCTTGTTCCCCCTCAGTGAACTGCACATACCTGAGAGGGGATGATTCAATGAGTGAGTTAGAAATGGAGGCAGGAAGATCTTAGCCTGACAAGCAGGTCCCCTTTGCCTGACCAGCTGCATGCAGTGAACAAATGAAGCACCACCTCTGTTTGCAAAGACCAGTCCAAAAGAGTTTCAGCTGGTCACTGACATTTGTTCAGTGGCTGCAATCCAGCTGTATTTATTTACCCCTCTTCCAAGTCTGCCCTTTTCTCCCCACTGCTTTAGAAAGTTGAGGGAGAATCACAGAATGTTCTAAACTGCTCTGAATGTGATTATCTGTTTTACACCTCGTTTTCACGCACGACATTCCCAAGTGAAAATCTGCGTGGAAGGTAAAACACAAACGTGTACAAAGCATCACCTATACATCCCATACATCTCTACACCCAGACTTAACCACCTGGACGCTTGAACAACCTCTCCCTGGTGGTGAAACACGTAAAGACACGCAGACAACCCGACTACGCTCATCCCACACGAGCAGAGGGAGACGCAGCCCACACGCGGCGTGCAGTCACGCACGGATGCCACACGCCCTCCTTCCAACCTGCTTTTCCTTCCCCAACCTCCCCTTTAATGCCTTGCTTGTCCAAGCCCTTCACACCTCCCCCACTTTCCCTCCCACGGAAACAGCAATACTAACCCCCAAGATTTATACTAACCCCCAAGAGTTGTACGAACCTTTGTTGGCAACCTCCCAGGAAACTTCGAAGAGCAACAAGTCCTCCACTGGCAGGTCTTCGTCCTCCCACTGAGGAAGCCCGTTCAGAGATGTCACGGACAGTGATCTAGCCAGTGGCATCTTCTTCAGCCCTTGAGTGCTCTCCACACAGCCCACAGCAGTCAGCCAAGGTCCAGTTACCGTGGCAGTTCCCTGCAGTTCTGGTCGGCGCAGTCTGCAGGTGTGCTGGGATCCGAGGAGGAAATTATTCGGATAGCTGGGAGCTAATGGGTTTAAACTGTCTGACCACCAGCATTAAATTGGCTCAGGGAAATCCTCAGGGCTTGAGAAGCAGCTGCTGGTAGAGGTAAGAATTTAAGACTGACCTGAGAAAGGTCTTGGCTGTTTTGGGGGCAGAGCTCTCCCTTTTTCTTCTTTTAGAGGGGGTAAAATCCTGCTTTGGAGCTCCTCAGCCCCAGCACCCGGTACCTCCCACCACCTCGGGGAGAATGGAAACAGGAGGGTTGTAAAATCAGCACCTCCCTGAGCAAACTCCAACAGGGAGGACCCTGTGAGTTCACCACCTGATTTGAGTCCAGCCCCTGAGTCCTCCCCTCGAGATACACCCTCCCATTACCAGCCGTGGAGCTTCCCTACCTGCTGGCCACTCACCAACCGGGTGTAGTAGAGTCAATTCTACACGATGGCTCTCAGGATACTGGCCAGGTTCAAGGCTGTTACCTGTTCCTCTTCAGTTCATGGTCTGTAAAAGCCTTAGTTTACCTCATATCCTTCCTCCACAATCATTTCCAGCTGTGTTTCCGGGACTCTGCAAGAGCTGTTGGCTGCATTCTGCTCTCCAGCAGCCCTGCAGCCCTGTCAGCTTTTACAAACAGAGCTACAAAGGCTCTCTCCCTACTCTGTCATTCTCTTTGCTCCTCCTTGCAGTCCTGATCCTTGATTTTCCACCTGGTTTCTCTTTCTTATGCCACAGATCTTTTCTGGCCTCTGGGCCCTTGTGCTCCACCCAGAGAACTCGGTGAGCACTGAGGCAGGGCTCCAGCACCAAGCTGGGGTGCTGCAGGCAGTGCACACACATCTGCAGGGATGTTCGTTCCTCACTCACAACCTGAGATCCTCCCAGCTTCCCTGCTTGGAAGATTCTTATGTCTGGTTGAGGAGCCGGTGCTTCTGGGGCAGCTGTGCGAGTTAAATCTGATGCTGAGCTCGGAGCCCAGCCTGCCCAAAATCCACAGTTCAGCAGGGAGCAAATCTCCAGGTGAGATCCAGGACATCCCTGGCACTGTGGAGAATAACACTGCCCCAGCAGAAGGCTCTGGGCTCACTTAAGACAAAACAAGTCCAAGACAATTGGTCTGTGAGACAGGCAGCCCATCTGCAAAGAACTCTCCTAGACATCATACATAATGAATGATACAGCTGAGCCTGCCTTAACTACCCCCCAAAAGACTTGCTCTTCCACTTCCACTTCCCATGCCCTCCCTGCATTTATGGCACTCAGACCCATCCCTGGGCTCATGGGTACAGCTCACTGAACTAAGCTAAGGATGTAGGAAACTGTTTTGCCAAGTGAGGAACTGGAGCTGTCTCAGAAAAGAGGGGATGGAGAAGCACAGCTTTTACTACTTGGATCAGGTAGCAAAACCAGGTCATCCTATAGTTTAAAAAATGGTGTTGTTTAAAAGAAAAGACGGTAATATTTTAAGGCTCCCTTCATTTCTGAACACCAAATCTGTTCCACACTTTTCCCCGGACACCCAGCCTGAGGGTGAGGCTCACAAAGGCCATCTCAGGTGAGGACTTCCACTCCCCCTAAGCATTCCAAAACCTGGAAAACATGCAAATAATTTTATAGCAATGAAGTGAAGTTGTAATAGCAAAATTTTTAAGCTCCTTGTATAGTCTGTGGTTTTCAGGTTCTTGGGTGTCATGTTTTTCCAGCTTCTGCTTGTAGTAAGAGGATACTTCTTTCACTTTTTGAATTTGACAGAAGATGGTCTAAGTCCTTAAACCTTGGAGAATGAGTTTGAAAGGGTCATCAGATACCACGAGATAATTTCACAAGCACCGGCAAGGCCATCACTGGGTGAACACGACTCACCTTTCACAGGCTGGAAATAACTCATGGGGGTTTTTAACTGATATAAAGTGCTCAATAGCACTGTGAACATTAGCATTCATTTGTATTCCGAGTATATTTCCCTTTATCCAATCTGCATGTCTTAAGGAAGGTTTTTTTCACACACAGCCATCCCCAATCCCTGCTTTTTGTTATCAGTGGGGGGAAAAGCATATGAAGTGCCTAGGAAAGGCTGTCTCCAACAGACAGTCCAGAAAGTTTCATCCCCTGCAAATGCTCTTAATTGCTAGAGGGCAAAGGGCCCTCCCTATTCATTATATTTATGGCCTGCAGGGATTATCTGTGGGATATCTGGTGCACTTGGAATTATCCAGCCATAAAGGAGGTCATAAAGCTGTGCACCTACAGCAAAATGACATCAAAACTCTCCAGCAGAAAAGCTGTGTTCTGACATCAGGAAGAACAACCATCAGCTGTCCTCCTTGTCAGGTGCAGTGAGGTGCAAGTGGTGAAATGGATGCTCTGCTGACACTACAACCATGTGCCATTTTTGTCACTGAGACAGGGAAAGGTTGTGACTACGACTGCACGGTTTGCTCCTTTTTCGCAAGAACAGAGCTCATGCTGAAGTGGGAAGGTGGAAATGTACCAAAAAAAAGAGGAGCTTTTAAGATATAACATTGATTCAAATATTTTCCAGAAGTCTGGAAACCAGTGAAACTGGTTTTGAGTCTGGCCTATCCAGGTTCTCACATTGTTTTTATCACTAACTACAGAGATGCCCTTTGGTAATGCATTATTCACTGTGTGGCAACTCTGCCAGACATCAGTTGTTACCTCTCTAAATTCTTTTTCAGCTCACAGAAGTGAAACAATTTGGCTTGCAAGGACACTGGACAATAGCAAGAACCACTTCAAGCAACCTTTTTTGGTGGAAAATCAGCTTCAGTCACACAGCTGCAAGTGGTGTAGGGGACAAAACACCTTCCATGTGTGGGAGTTTATGAGCAGGTGACTGTCCAGAACTGGCTTGCTCTGAACAGAACTGGGGTTTCAAGGTTTCCCTACAATAACTTCAGGGGGAAAAAAATAAGACAACAGGTGTTAAAAGTGCTCATAGGCATTGAGGCAAATTCTAAAGGAGGAAAAGGCAATGGTTTGTAGCAGTTACTGATGCACACAGACTGTACTTTAGGTATTGGGCAGTAGGTGGCAATGGTGGCATTAACATAAGTCCTCCGGTGCCCGTAGTTGTTTTGTCACTGCAGAGTTTAGGGAAAATCACCGAGGTGTTCAGAAATGCTCTAGGGACAGCCCTAAGTGCCTGCCTGACCTCAGCAAGTTCAGATCAGCCCAACTGCGAAGTGATGGCCTTTCCTCCTTCTTCGTGCAAGGTCAAAAAGTGCTCCAGGTCTCACACGAGTGGAGAATTATTCCTTCCAGTGAGAAGACCCTGGGAAGTGGCCAGGAGGGAGAGAGGGCTCAGAACCTTCTGAATTTTTGGGGAGTGATGTGACACGATGGACTTTCCTCAGAGACACCCAGTATGTTCTGTCCAAAATAAACAGGCAGGACACACCAACCTAAAGCCATCCATCTCAGCTGGTGTGAGGCTGGTGTTCCCAGCACTGCAGAGCACTGTGACCTCTGCTGCTTCATCCCAAGAGTGAGAATGAGAGTTACCAACCCTGCAGACACCATGGGCAAGTTTAATGTTAATCCTGTTGGACTTGGCTTTGGAAAATGATGCTAGACTGCCATTTTCATTGCTCTCCAGCTATGTGTTCTTTTTAATGGTATTTCACTGTTTAAGCCTGATTTCAGTGCCCTACCCTGATTTTATCCTTGGACTACTAAAAAAGCAGCTGATTTCATACTAAAAGTCAGTAAAATCCCTTGTGTCTCTGTTGTCTGTCAGTACCTGCTTGTCTGATGTTTGCAGGGTAGTCAAGACTGACCTTCTGTTCTACAGCCAGGATCTAATTACCTGGAAATGCAAGGGGGTCCAGGTCCTTACAGCAATTAAAATAACATTACTGATCCTACCTTGTGTGAATGGAGCAAGTTGTCCTCTGTCCAGAAGTGCTGCTTCTTACTGCTCTGTCCAACAGCACCACAGCGTGTTCTGGTAGTCCAAGGAGCGACAAAGGTACCTCTTGACACACAGGAACATGGCTAAAAACCTGTATTGCCTTTCACAGGATAACAAGAACAAAGTTCAGGTATCTTTTAAGTACTATGATAATAGAGTTATTAAGGAATTAGAACTATATTATGGATATTACGGATTGACTCCAAGGAATGGGCTGGTGTTGTATCAGCACACACAGGGAAGCTGTTTGTTCTACAGCCATGCAACTGCAATGAAGATAAAAGATTGTGTTAGAAGATTCCCAACAATAAAAAAAAAAAAAATAATTGTAATATAATTCATGTACTTGCGTAGGGCTTACAAACATTAGTGAATGCAAATAAACAGCCTGAAGAGCCTGTTCATAAAAATCTCAAAATCCCCTACCTGAGATGCTCATTTCTATTTAACAACTTTGAACTGATCCCCCGTAACATCCACAAGGCCACTTCATTGCTGCTGAAGTTTTTTTAGAATTTTCCTGCATGGTGGGGGAAAAAAAAAAAAAAGTAGAAATCAAAAAGAAGTAGCAGCACAGTGAGGTTGCTGATGTGCTAAGAAAAGTGCTCACCATGCAAACCACTGTTCTTTCCTTGTTCCTTCATCTGTGTTCTCTTTTAACAGACCATACTTTTGCCATTAGCTCTCTGGTTGCTTAAAGTCCAGGCACAAAAGACCTTGTACTGTTCAGTCTGTGACCACTAAAAAAATAAAAACCTCCAAAATGTGGCCTTGGAGGGGATTGAAGGAGCAGCTGACAAACACCAGGTGACAGCAGCTTCCCAGCTTAAAACACTGTGTTCATGTGTCAAAATGCACCAGCCTACCTTGGGGCTGTTTGCTGACCACAGAACAAGCTGTGACCCTTCACTTTAATGGGTGAGGATGCAGTCAGTGAGAAAACTGTCTTACTGCAGCCCAGTGATCTTCAGAAATGAAGATTCACCATCAGAAGGGGAAAGGCCCCACTCCCTGCCCTCCAAGGCAACCAGAGCCTCTTCGTGCACATCACTCTCAAGAGTCCTGCAAGATGATGTCCCACAGCAGAGCTCTGAATTACCTCATTAACTGAGAACAAAGCCAGGAAGGAACTGTACAAGGTTCCTGGACTAAATGTGCTCAGGTGAATATTCCTAATGGGTGTGTCCTGCAAAGAGCAGCATTTTATGCCATTTACCTCATAGCAGCTGATCAGGAGCAGTTCTCAGCAGGAGCCATAAGCTAATCTATCCAGGGGTGGAAAGCCTGAATCTCCACACCAAGTCATGAAAGGAGAAACTAAAATTTTCAATCTCCTATTGGAAAAAAATTCTGGTATT